TCTACTACTGTGTTTCCCCCTTACATCTCTATTTGACCCTTTCTTATAATGTTCATCTCTCTGCTCAAATTCCCATCGGTTCATACATGTTTTGTCTATTTTTCTATTGATGTAATGATTTCTACATTCATCACAGTTATTTTAAATTCCCTGACAGTTCTAACAACTGAGTCATTTGTGAGTCTTGTCTTAATTGCTTTGTCTCTTAAATGTGAATTGTTGTTCGCTTGCTTTTTTATGTCTTCAATTTTGAATGAATGCCAGAAATTGAGTGTAACACAACAGAGGCCTGAAGTAAGCAGTATTTAAGCTTGAAAATGGGGACAACTCTTGTTCAGGTATGCCACTGATGTGAGGAGCTGAGTCAATCAAGTCAGGAGTTAAATTGGCTTTGAGTTTTGTTGTTGCTGCAGTTAACTTTAGTGTACTAAATCCTCTAGTGTTGTGTTTAGAATGGGCTCAAGGGTTCTAGAGGGTTTTTCTCAATATTCCTGTTCCACCTTTAGCTTTCACTGGGCACTTGCAACAAAATGAGTTTCCCCTCTCTACACTCTTGCACCTTGCCCACTGGTAGATTGCTGCTGCTTGTTACTCAGTACTTGCTGGTCACATGCTGAGGATGGGAAAGGAGTAGAGCTCTGTTGTCCTGGTCCAGCATCAGTCCCAGGCAGATCCTGTGTGCCTGGCTCTTTCACTGGGGCTTTCTCACTGATCTGTCTCTCTTCTCATCCAAAGTTTCCCACCAAACTCTGCCTTATTCCTTTAGCAAGTTTTATGCAAGTGAATTTCCCATCCTCTCCCAGCAATAAGAGACCACTAATAGTATTGATATAAGATTGTGAGCCCAAGACTATTTCTTTCCTTTCTCCAGAGGGGATGGGGTTTTCTTTCCCTTTCCCCAGGCACAATGGGTTTTCACCTATACTTTGGAGGTGACAGATATGCTGCTTCTTCCCCAGTGACTTAACACTTTTGTTCTTATAGGAAAAGGGTCTAAATAGGGCATCTGGTCTTTCTGGAACTCTCTTCTTCCAGGCCTGTACCAGTGAAGGAGAATCTCTCTATTCTCTTGCCTTCTAATCTTCTTTTTCAGAGGTCTTTGAAGAGGTGATGGCAAGTAGGAGTGAACTCCCTTTGTATCAGTAGCTGCCAATGGTTCTAGCAACCCATTAAAATGGTTTGTCCAAATACATCTTATGTCTGTAAGGTGCGTTTTGTCTCCTCCTGTGACTGTGCTCTGGCACACTGCGATCGTGCTGGTATCCCATCTTTTTAGAGAAGTCCGTCTTCCCTTGGACTTGAGGCTACTTAGTTGCTTTCACTATTAGCTCTCTGATAGGTTTGAGAAACATCATTTCATAGTTTATATGACATTTTATAGTAGATTCGGTGGAAGTGGCACTCTTTCCACTTCCCTCATTCAAGGTATAAACAGAATTCCCAAATTCAGCAACACTTTAAAGTGAATTTCTATTTCATTAATTTAGCATGGATCTGTGGAAGACACATTCAAGCAATGCTTTTAACATATTTGTTTTGTGGATTAGGGCAGATTTATTAGTCTGTACCCTATCCCTTCCCTATCAGAGATCCATACACTTGGTTTTTAAATCACTTGTCACACCTTACAAACAAAATAAAACAACTTAAAAAACTTTAAACTATAATTTTAAAAATTACTAAGATCAACTATAATTCTGATAGCTATTGTAATTTAGCTATATTTCAAATAGAAAGGCAGAAAAATTACTACTTTATTGAACAAAAATGATTTCATTTGCACATGTGGTTTAAATACCTTCTAAATATATATATGCCTTGACTTTTCTAATTATCATATATTTAAACTCACAATCACTATATGTGAAATATAAAAGGTGCTAAGATGGCTAGGAATTAAACTCAGGACATAAGGTAAAAAAAAAAAAAAGCCATCTGTGATTCTGTAAGTTTATTTCCAACAAAAATGTAATCTGCGTTTAATAAATTAACAATTATATTCATTACTTTTAGCATTTGACACACTGTCTGAGCAACAAACATATATAATCTACAAATAAGAAAACTGAAGAATGCTGTGATTTTCGAGCAATTTTGACAACTAATCTGTCTTGAGCATATAAACACAAAACATATGATCTAATTTTCCCCACTGATTATAGTATAGCATGATTGACTTTCTAAGTATTATTCATTATAATGGTCTTATAATATTTTAAAAGAAAAACTAAAGGAAAAAAAAAAAATTGAGTTAGCTATTTTAATACATCAGTCTGTAGAATTTAACTGTTCCTGGGTTCACAATGAATAAGGGTTTAACACTAGTTTCTCATTTGTATTGAAGAAAGTTAACTTGCATAGTGAAAGGAAAAAAAATTAAAATGGCTCATTAAAATCACTTTAAAAAATTGCTTTCACTATAAAACCCTCAGGCACATTAATTAGGACATCAAATCAGTTAAGTGGCATCATGTGGTCAAAATATACCCAATGAATTCAATACCAAATGAAAAAGTTTTATTCTTAGACTCCAAAATGTCATGTCAGAACAATCAATTCAATCTCTCTCTCTTATATTAAAACCTGAAAGTAAAAATTAAGGGGTGGTGGGGACAAGGATTTTACAGATTTCCCAGAAACATAATGCTAGAACCCTATATCCTACCATATCTTCGGTTAACTTTTAGTGAACATTGAATGCATTGCTACTACTAATAAACAGCTTGATTTTTTAATATGTATTAAACTATTATTCATTTCAAAGTGAATACACACTTCCCCCTAAAACAGCCATACTCCGGGGTTCAAGTATTCTTAGAAACATTTACCTGACATGATGTGGTTTTGATTCCCTGTGATAAGGTGAATTTCCTTCACTATCTTCAAGGCCTCTGTATGAGATAGGATTTAATTCCTTCTAGGTCACCAAAAGTCCTAAGAACCCCAAAAGATTATTTTGGCACTCTGCCTCCTAGTCTCTGAAATATCTGGCAATGTCTCAGAGTTTCATCATAGAAAAATAAAATAAAATAAAACCCACAAAATGTATGGAAATAAAGTAATAACTGACTGTATTTGCCAAGGCAATTGTATTCATTAAAAAATATTCAGGGTGGAGATATGTATCAATTAAAAGTGAAACACTTGGCTTCTATTTAAAATTCTCACTGGGTATTTATTCGTCTTAGTCAAGGCTGACCTATGTCTGCTCTACTAACTTCTGTATTAGATGTGAAATTAAATACAAAAATTTACACATATTAAGTTCATTGTTTTAAACTCTAAATAAAACTTCTTCCTACTAGTAACACCTTGGTTCTCTTATTTTTCTTATGATTTTTATTGACTTACTGAATGTTAATTGGACACTAATGACATTGTTCTAAATCAACAAAAATTTAGCTATTGCCATCTTGTGGTCAGACATTCATATCTATGAAACTAAAAACAATGCCACTCTCCTAAAGAGAGATATTTACAAACAAAGATTTTTTTTATCAGCTGAGAAAAATGATTTTAGTACATATAATAACCCAAGGAGATAAAATTCATTTATAATTTTAAGAAATTATAATTTTTTAAAAAACTAAATTAAATGTACAGTCATTGGCCAAGAATGGTACCAGTCTTCATTAGAAGGACATCAAGGCAGTCCTGATATTATGTTAGGAACCTTCATTTGCTCTATGTACTGTCATGATTAACTTTTAAATACCATGAGAAAAGTTTTACGGGCAATTTTTCATAGGAGTCTAAAGTACAATATTAACACTACTATACCATGATTAGGTTAAAAAAGTAGTCGGGAGGGCAAACTTCTGACAAGTTGGAATAAGAGAGGAACAAAATGAACAGAAAAGTAAAAATTTAAACCTCATATAGCATGATCTTAATAAATATCTTGGTGCTTTTTAATTTAGGTCCTTCCATAAATGTCAAATGCACAGTTATATTTGCAATTATATTGGCACTCAATACATGAGATTACAGAACACAATTATAAAACCAAAGAAAAACATTCCATTGCTTAAAATATTCCTAATACTTCTTCCTGGATTGTAAATAGAAAGTTTTAAACATTAGACATCTTAAGTTCTACTGCCGAATTTCAGAATTTAGGTTACATACAATTAAAATGACTACGAAGCAAACAAAAGGCCAACAGCCTTGCAGAAACACAAAGACAACATCAAAATGCTGTGATGTAGATTATAGAATTTAAGTTCAGCCACACAATTCTGAGAATCACACAATAGTACAGACAAGTTCGTCCACGTGACAGGATTTAACATGAGATCCTTTGTTTTTAAGTTGTGCTCAGTCAACATCACCACACAACACTAAACAGCCTTTACAAAGCACCTTCACAGCCATACCCCTGCCTTTAACATATAATTTAAAACACACAGCTATGATAGAGATATAGAGGGTTATAGAGATTAAAAAGTCGGACATTCAATTGTACGAGAAACAAAGGTAAGATTAAAGGAAAAACACTACCTGAGGTTTTTTTTAATCCATTAGAAATAGAGTTTATTGGTAAAATGAACTAACAAATCCATCATCAAATATGACGCCAGATACTTTGTCCCAATGGACTAAATGAGGAAAAGCAAATAGAAAGAAACCCTAGCCCTGGCCGGTTTGGCTCAGCGGTTAGAGCGTCGGCCTGCGGTCCTGAGAGACCCGGGTTCGGTTCCCGCTAAGGGCACGTACCTCGGTTGCAGTTTGTCCCCGGCCCTGGTTGGGTCGTGTGGGTGGCAACCACTCGATGTGTCCCTTTCACGTCGATGTTTCTCTCTCTCTCGCTCTCTCTCTCTCTCCCCCTCCCTCCCACACTCTATCTGAACAAAAAATAGAAAAAAATGTCCTCGGGTGAGGATAAAAAAAAAAGAAAGAAACCCTAGAACAAAATGTATATAAAAGTAAAGAATTCTCATATATTTGTTCAATATCAGGATAAGTATCAAACTATTATGTTACAAGAAAATGAATCTTACCTTGTTGCTCTGCAAGTGAAATATCAGCTTTATTTCTTACACGTATTATATGAGTTTGTGCTGGCTTGTGTTCAACTTGCTTAACATCTTGGTATTGCTTTTGCTGGTACTAAAGAATTTAAGACATGAAGTCACAGTATTATTTTTAAAGTTACTTTAAAATAATTTGAGCAATTAAATTACTTAGGAGTTTATTATATAAAATTTGAATATTCTACATGCCTTCTAATTGTCAAATGTTACTAAAGAAAAGATATTACAAATAAAATCTTTAAAAAGATTTGAATAGTACACACAGATTTCAAATATTCAAATAATGTCTATTTTTACTAGGAAATTCAGAGATAACTTATAAATCAAACTGTTTTAGATACATACACATGATGGATTTAGACAGGATAAAAACTTAGAGAGCTATAAGCTCTCCCACATAAAATGTGCATATCGCACTGCAAATTTCGAAGTTTTTATATACAGTAACATTTAATTCTCACCAGTGTGAGAGGTACTGTTATCCTCCTTTGCCATTCAGGAAATGTATATTCCACCATAAGCCCCATCATCTCTCCACCTTGCCTATACTCAAACCAAATTTGAAGTTTACAGCAGTCATAAATCCCTTCAAATCACGCATCACAAATGGATGCCTGGAGCCATTTTATTTCTTCCCTTTCCTATTTTAGAAGCCTAATTGTACATGAGTCCCTGAAAACAGCTACCAGAGGTACTTTGACAGGAACTTGAAAAGATATCTCCAGACTCTTATCAACAAATACAAGCAGAAAAGAATCTGAAACACCTGTCCACATGGACTCAAATGCAAGCACCCCAGCTCTGGCAGGCACCTATTTATCTACAGATAAAAGTGAGTAACTTTAGACTGCAGAGGTAACAATAAGCTTTAAAACTGTCTTCTAAACTTAGAGTCATCAGTCATGTAGGCTTCTGCCTTGAAGGAAATATTATATACAGGGTGTCTCCAAAAAATGTATACAGGGTATCTGTAGATTCTATCACATTTTGAAAATAAAATGTATTTTAATAAACACTGGCTTTATAATTATTCAAAGTTGTGTATACATTTTTTGGGGGGACACAATATATAATGTGTATTTCTAAAGGTACTATGACTATCTGGCTGCTTCAACTTAGAACATCCCTATGGCTCCCTTCCTGAACCACAGTGATTAAGAAAGAGCTGAGGATTGTGGAGCTAAACTGCTGGTGTTCAAACCTGGCTCAGTTTCTAGCTTCAGCCTTGGGCAAGTGATTAACCCCTCAGACCACAATTTCCTCATTCATAAAATAGGGATAATAATAATAACTATCTCATTAGGTAGTTATAAGGATTAATGAGTTAAATATGTAAAGCACTTAGAACAGCATCTGGCAGAGTAAGCACTGTAAGAGAGCTGTTATTCCTACTAGCCATACTTTTCTGTTAAAGAAATCTAACAGATGAAATTTTGAGGCCCATTCTGATAACACTTCATAGTTTTATTTTAAAATAGGCCAACAATTAAGGGAAAGCAATCATTCTTTTATTTTTAAAACAGTTTTACTGAGGAATAACTGATAAACAATAATTTTCATACATTTAAAGTACACAACTTGCTAAGTTTTGGCATATGTGTATACCCATGAAATCATCACCACAATCAAGATAAGGTAATGAACATACCCATCAATCTCAAAAGTTTTCTCATATTCTTTTGCATTTCCTGCCATAACTATTATTTTTCATTTTCTAGAATTTTATGTAAATGAAATCACAGAATATGCTCATTTGGAGAGTGGGTCTGGCTTCTTTCCATGAACACAACTTTCGTGAGAATCGCCCATGTTAGTGTGTTTCAGTAGTGCATGGTTTTTTATTGCTGAGAAGTATGGAATCCACTGAATAGATGATACACAACGAATTCATTCGACTACTGGTGCACCTCTGTGTTGTTTCCAGGTTGGGACTGCTACAAGTAAAGTTGCTATAAACATTCACGAACAAGTCTTTGTGTAGACATATGTTTTAGAGTCTCTTAAGTAAATACCTAGGAGTGAAATGCATGGGTCATATGGTAGGTGTTGTTTCACTTTTTTAAAAAATTGCCAAACTGTTTTCTAAAGTGGTTCAATCAGCCCAGCTGGTTTGGCTCAGTGGCTGAGCGTCGACCCGTGGACCAAGAAGTCACCAGTTCAATTCCCGGTCAGGGCACATGCCCAGGTTATGGGCCAAATCTCCAGTGGGGGGCATGCAGGAGGCTGCCAATCAATGTTCTCTCTCATTGATGTTTCTCTCTCTCTCCCTTACTCTCTCTAAAATGAAAGAAAAGGAAAAAGAGTAAATAAAGTGGTTCAATCATTTCACATTTCCAACCACCAGTGTATGAGAGTTCAGTTGCTCTACATCCTTGCCAACATTTGGCATGTCAGTTTTTTTTCTTTATTGATTTTAGAGAGAGAGAAAGGGAGAGGGAGAGAGAGACAGAAACATCAATGAGAAAACATTGATGGGCTGCCTCCTACATGCCCCCCACTGGGGATTTGGCCCACAACCTGGGCATGTGCCCTGACCGGGAATCAAACCGGCAACCTCTTAGTGCACGGGTTGACACTCAACCACTGAGCCATACCGGCCGGGCGGCATGTCAGTCTTTTAAATTTTAGATATTCTAATGTGTGTGTAATAGTATTTCTTTGTGAGACAACCTACTGAATGGGAGAAGATATTTACCAACGATACATCTGATAAGGGGTTAATATCTAAAATTTATGAAGAACTCACACAATTCAACATCAAATAAACAAACAATCCAATTAAAAAATGGGCAGAGAAGCCCTGGCCGGTTTGGCTCAGTGGTAGAGCATTGGCCCATGGACCAATAAGTCACAGGCTGGATTCCAGTCAAGGGCATGTACCTCGATTGCAGTTCGTCCTGGCCCTGGCTGGGTCGTGCAGGAGGCAACCAGTTGGTGTGTCCCTCTCATGTCAATGTTTCTCTCTCTCCCCCTTTCTCTCTTCTCTCCCTCCCTCCCACTCTATCTGAAGATAAATAGAAAAATATCCTCAGGTGAAGATTAAAAAAACAATAATAATAATAATAATAAATGGGCAGAATAGAGATGGCCAATAGACATATGGAAAAATACTCAACATCACTAATCATCAGAGAGATGCAAATTAAAACCACAATGGGATATCATCTCACACCTGATAGATAGCTATAATCAATAAATCAACAAACAACAAGCTCTGGCGAGGATGTGGAGAAAAGGGAACCCTTGTGCACTGTTGGTGGGAATGCAGACTGCTGCAGCCACTGTGGAAACCAGTATAGAGTTTCCTCAAAATATTAAAAATGGAACTACACTATCACCCAGCAATCTCACTTCTGGGAATATATCTGAAGAAACCTGAAATACTAAATCAAAAGAATATATGTACCCTCATGTTCACTTCAGTGTTATTTACAACAGTCAAGATTTGGAAGCTACCCAAGTACCCATAAACAGACAAGTGGATAAAAAAGTGTGGTATCCAATGTAATATTACCGGGCCACAAAAAAGAATGAAATATTACCATTTATGATACTGTGAATGGACCAAGAGGGTATCATGCTAAGTGAAATAAATCTGTCAGAAAAAGACAAATATGCCCTGGCCGGTTTGGCTCAGCGGTTAGAGCGCCAGCCTGCAGTCCTGAGAGACCCGGGTTCGGTTCCCGCTAAGGGCATGTACCTTGGTTGCAGTTTGTCCCTGGCTCTGGTCAGTTGTGCGGGTGGCAGCCACTCGATGTGTCACTTCACATCGATGTTTCTCTCTCTCTCTCTCTGTTCCTCTCTCTCCCTCCCACTCTACCTGAACAAAAAATGGAAAAATGTCCTCGGGTGAGGATAAAAAAAAAAAAAAAAGACAAATACCATATGATTTTATTTATATGTGGAATCTAAAGAGCAAAAAAACAAACAAAATAGAAACAGGCTCATAGTTAAAGTGAATGGACTGATGGTTGCCAGAGGAGAGGAAGGTTGGGAATATGAGTGAAACAGAAGGAATTACAAAGAATAAATTGGGCCCTGGCCCGTGTGGCTCTGTGGTTGGAGTTGGAGTGCCAGCAAGTGTACCTGTGTTGCAGGTTCATTTCCTGCCCCGGTTGGGGCACATGCCGGAGGCAACCAATCGATGTGTCTCTCTCACATCGATGTCTCTCTCTCTTTCCTTCCTTTTTTATTTCTCCTCACCCAAGGATATGTTTTACTAATTTTTAGGGGCGGGGGAGAGGAAAGAGAGAGAGAGAGAAATAGAGAAACATCAGTGTGAGGATATGAGAGAGAAACATTGATTGCTTGCCTCCTGTATGCACCCCAACCTGGATCTAACTTGCAACCAAGGTTTGTGCCCTGACCACGAGTTGATCCCACAACACTTTGGTGTACAGGATGATGTTCCAACCAAATGAGCCACCCAGCCAGGGTGAACTGTTTGTTTTCTTTTCTTTCTTTTTTCTTTTTTTATTGATTTTAGAGACAGAGGAAGGGAGAGGGAGAGAGAGATAGAAAAATCAATGAGAGAGAACATTGACTGGCTGCCTCCTGCAGGCCCCCCACTGGGGATCGGGCCCACAACCTGGGCATGTGCCCTGACCGGGAATCGAACTGGCATCCTCTTGGTGCATAGGTCAATGCTCAACTACTGAGCCACACCGGCCGGGCATATTTATTTTCTTAATATTGAATTCTGTTCCTCATATACTTTGGATATAAGCCTTTTATAAGATGAGTGATCTACAGTCTGTGGCTGGTCTATTCATTCTCTTAACAGTGTGTTTTGAAAAGCAGAAGTTCTTATTTTGGATGAGACCAATTTATTAATTTTTTCTTTAATGGATAGTGCTTCTGGTGTCATTTTTGCCTAACCCAAGGCCAAAAATAATTTTTTTTTTTTTTATCCTCACCCGAGGACATTTTTCGACTTTTGTTCAGATAGAGCAGGAGGGAGAGAGAGGTAGAGAGAGAGAGAAACATCGATGCAAAGGGACACATTGAGTGGCTGCCACCCGCACAACCAACCAGGGCCAGGGACAAACTGCAACCGAGGTACATGCCCTTAGCGGGAACCGAACCCGGGTCTCTCTGTACCGCAGGCCAACGCTCTAACCGCTGAGCCAAACCGGCCAGGGCCAAAAATAATTTTTATTTCATATAGAAGTTAATAGCTATTTATTCATTAGTAATAATTTTTTTCTGATCTTTTCTTGATCACAGGTTATTAGTACTGAACTCTACATAATGGTGTGTCCCATAAACAATGTTTCTTTTACATATTTTTGGCTTTCATTCTCAGCACCATGCAATGCTACACAATACTATGCAACAAATACTTACTGAGTTAATTAACCCACAGTAAGAAATCCATTGCTATTACACAGATATAAAACTGTACTTAATAACATAAGCATTTTTTTTCCTTTTGGAGAGTAGTTGTCCTGTTTTTTCAGTATATAAGATTGCATGAACCACTGGCTAAACCTCAGTTTGAACCTTATCTTTCATGGTAACGTTTTTCGAATGTTAATGTAAAAAACATTTATTGAGTACTTACTATGTACAAATTAGTGAGCTAGCTATTGCATGGGGACACAGAGGTGTGAATGACAACGGCCACCCACAAAGGTAACAGGCATTTTATACACATTATTTTTAATCTTTAATTTAAAGATGAGGGAATTAAGGCTTAGGAAAAGTCTAAGTAATGTAGTCAAGATCACAGCTAGAAATGAAACAATTTAGTATTTAGCTCCAGGCTTGAGTAAGTAAATAAAGGATGCGTGATTTGACGCTATCTGCTTCCAAAGACAACACTCTTGAGAGTGTACCATGCTCAGGCAATAGTGCTACCATTTGCATTTTAAATAAAATACAAGTGCTACTGATTGGGTACCTGAGAAAAATCTCCAGCTGCTACTGACAATTTAACATCATTTTCTTGTGCTGTCAGAAGTGTTGTGGGAAGAGCAAGATGAGAATCTGGTTGCAATCCCAATTCTTTCAAACTCATTGGACCGTGACTAACACATGAATCTTCAAAACCATCACCTGTTATGAAATATGTAAACAAAAAGTTAAAATAAATTGTTTAAATCATCTTAGACAAAGCTAAATAACTGGCTATAATTATTAATATTTCTTATTTGCTGAGTTAGACGTAGCAACCAAACACCTAGTATCAGGACTTCATTGCAATTAAAACCAAAGCTCATAGAGAATGCAAAAAGTGCCTCTGTTCACACAAATCTGTGGCTATTCCACGGTTCCAATCAACAAGTTGTTCATGCAGTCTACACCGAACCCCTATTCCTACACACCAACTCCTGACACTCCAGCTTATCTTTTCTATCAGGAATAGTCAGTACATACAATATTTTCTATCTAAAATGTAGCCTTAAAGCAAAGGGCAATTTGCTGACTAGAAATTGCTTAGTTTTGTTCTGTTAATATTTTCTTCAAATGATTAAGTTCCTCTTTTCCTCATCCAAATGGCATCTCAAGCAAATCGTTAAAAAGAAGACAATAAGAGCAATAAGAGATATTATTTATCTAATATCACTGTAAATTTACATTACACTTTATACTCTAAGCACTTTCACATGTATTATCTCATTTAATTTGAATCTCAAATTGTTCTGTAAGGTTGGCAGGTTAGATAGTACAATTATAGTCTTTCATTGATAAAGCTAAGGATCAAGGAAGTTAACTGTCCAAAAATCAGAGAGCTAGTAAAAGGTACAAAGAAATTAAAATCTTCATCTTCCAACTCCTAGTCACTATTCTTTATTTGACATTTTTGCTAAAATACTTGTAAGAAAAGTACTTCGGTTGCAGTTTGTCCCTGGCCCTGGTTGGTCGCTCTATCTGTACAAAAAATGGAAAAATATCCTCGGGTGAGGATAAAAAAAAAAAAATTTAAATAAAAGGACATAAGGTAAATGTTGATAAAAGAAAAAAAAAACAACTACATGTTGAAACCCCGAAAGCATATAATCAAACATCTCTCCTAAAACATTAAAAGTACATAATAGTCCTTTCAACTTACATAACACCCTATTATTTAACATACGTTTACTGACTATGCAAAAGGCGCTACATATGCTGCCAGACGACAGGGATATAACAGCTAACGAGATAAAGTCTTTACTCTCAAGCTAGATTACAAATCAGTGTGATAAGAGTAACACTAGGCCAGGGACATAAGAGGACTACACAGGGAACACACAGGGCAGGTCTCTAACCCAGTGATAAGGGGTCAGAAAAAGGTTTCACAACAGCAATCACAAAAATGTTGAATCTGTGACTGGCTGGTGTGGCTCAGTGTATTGAGCATCTTCCCACGGATTGAGAGGTCCTGATTCGATTCCTGGTCAGGGCACATGCCTGGGTTGCACTCGATCCCCATTAGGGGGTGTGCAGGAGGTGGCCAATAGATGTTTCTCTCTCACACTGATGTTTCTATCTCTCTCTCCCTTCCTCTCCAAAATATCAATGAAAATATGTATTTTTTTTAAAAATACTGATTTTGTGGTGTCAGTGCTAAAAACTATGCTCACCGAGTGTGGGTGTCATGTCTGTATAACATAAGTTTAACCCTTTGTAACAGGAATGCTTAAAGTATTATTTCATTCAAGTCAAATTTATTTCATAGTAACTTGAAACCCCTATTTGTACTTTTCTAGAGTCTATTGCCATGACAAAGTAACATGGTAGCCTTTCGGAGAAGACAGTCCACTCGAAATTGCCAGTGCCAGCAGCAGTTTGGGGCTGGTATGTCCAGTAAATTCTTCCATCTGTATGAAACCCAAAGGTACCTCAAATTCCACATGTATAAAACCCCACTCATCCTATTTCTTCCTGATTCAGTCCTTCTTCCATATTTCCTTTCTCCCAGTGGATGAAAATACCATCTATCCAATCATTCTAGCCAGAAACACAGCGAGTTCTCAGAATCGTCCCTTCTCCTCCTTGTCGCTCAATCTCCCCTTTTAGATATACCCTCGCTGCTGACTAGTGTCTCACCAGGTCTGCTTCAATAGCTGTCTGATCAGGCCCCTCGCCTCCAGTCTGCATCATCTCTAATCTACCCATTCCATTGCACCTCAGAGGGCTTTGCTAAATAGAATGTGAATATTAAATCACTCATTTACTTATAATCCTTCATGGATTATAAAACATTCAGAATGGGTAGAAATTCAAGACTGAATTTTCCATGAGAATAGAGTAAGATTGGCATTATTTTCCATTTGGCACACAAATGGATCCCTACCATCTTAGAGTAAATCCAAAAACTACTTGATATGTCATTCAGGGTTTTTAGGAAATAGAAAGACATATTTCCCTAAGTGTTCCTATTATTTTTACTTTATTCCCTTGTCTCATTGCATATTCTGCCTGAAAGGTCCCTCCTTACTTACTACATGGCAAATATCTATTCATCTTTGAGAACTCATTTCAAGTACGCCTCCCCTCGTGTATGAGGTCTTTCTTGACTGTTCTCCACAGGTACAATGGACCTGCACTCCCATCCTAGATAACTTATGGCATATTTTTTGCCTTCTCATCTACTACCTCTATTAGAGAAAAAACTCTTTATGGGTAGAGCCTTACCAGGTTTTATATTCCTAGCACATAGAATGTGCTTAGGGTATAGCAAGCACTCAAAGAATATTGTCTGAATGAATAAGTAAATGAACAAACTGGAACACACTTTTGAACCTTTACCATCTGGCGAATTCCTTTAAGATTCAATTTCACACTGGCTCTTGTGGGAAACCTTCTCTGAGCTGTCATGTGTGGGCTGAGTTTCTCTGTGTTCTCACAGCAGTCTGTGTTATCGTACCAATCACACACACTTATAATTGCTGTCTTTCTTGTATTTCTCCTCTACTAATGTGTGAACTTCCTTAAGCGCAGATGTCTACCATCTCTGTACTTCAAGTGCCTAATACAGTACTAATATAGTACCGAGTATACAGTAGGTATTCAGAGTAAATAAAGAACTATAATTGGTAGTAATCCAAGAGTCCTCATAACTTGTTCAAAATACGGTTTATGTTTTAGGATTCCCAAGATAACTCTTCAAAGCTTATTCTGTATCTTTTTGTTACTCAACCCAAACTGAGAGCCTCAGAATCAGAAACAGAGGTAGGAGACTATGGGCTGCAAACAGGACAGCCCATTATGAAAATGAACAGGGACAGGGAGAGGCAAAGTAAGAACAGATGAGATGATGTAAGCAAAGTTATCGAAAATCAATATAAAAGTCATGAGATTAGCCACCAGCAGAAATGATATACTCAGGATTCATTCTTCTACAGTAACCATTATATAATAAAAGACTTGAAACAAGTTAACTCTCAGACACATTCCTTTTAGGCAACTGTGGATAGTTTCTGATGTTATTAAATACATGTAAGGGGTATTTTTACATATTCCAGGAATTATTATTATTATTTCTATTCCTCACCCAAGGATATTTTTCTACTTATATTCAGATAGAGTGGGAGGGAGGGAGAGAGAGGGGAACATCGATGTGAAAGACACATCTACTGGCTGCCTCCCACATGACCCCAACCAGGGCCAGGACAACCGCAACCAAGGCACACGCCCTTGACCAGAATCAGACCCAAGACTCATTGGTCCATGGACTGACACTCTAACCGCTGAGCCAAACCAACCACGGCCATACTCCAGGAATTATTAGAGAGAGTAACAGTTACTATATGCCAAGCACTGTTCTAATGGCTTCATATGCATGGCCACTTACTATCCCCAATAACTTTATACTGTGGATACTATTTAAGGTAACCAGCCTTCAAGATATGCCCCGATCCCTGCTGCTGGTATTCACACATTTATGTAGTCCCCTACTATGCTATTCTAGGACTGGTCTGTGTTATTGATAGAATGTGGCATAAGCAATGGCATGGTTACTTCTGAGATTAGGTTATAAAAGATGCAGTTTCCATCTTGTTTGCTCACTTTCTCTCAGATCATGTGCTCCAGGAGAAGCTGGCTGCTATGTCATAAGCAGCTCTACAGAAGGTTCACATAGTGAGGAACTGAGGCCTCCTGCAGCAGCCACGTGACTGAGCTTGGAAAACAGATCCTCCAATTCCAAGTGAAGCCTTCAGATGACCTCAGCCCAAGCCAACAGCTTGACAGCAACCTCAAGGGAGATCCTGAGAACCATCCTGCTAAGCCACTCCCAGATTCATGACTTTCAGAATTGTGTGAGATGATAAATGTTTGTTTGCCCTTCAGCTGCTAGACTTTGAGGTAATCCACTGTGCAGCAACAGATAACTAATACACTAATATTACCACCATTTGACAGATGAAGAAACTTGCACTCAGAGATATTATCTGCCCCAAAATACAAAGAGCTAGAATTCAAACTGATATCTGAAAGTTCAAAAGCCCAATTCTTAGCCATTCTGCTGTAACGCCTATCTACATGCTCCATCTTATGTTATGCCATGTTACTTATTTTTTTCCAATTAAATTAAACAAATATCTACAGTGTATCTACTATTAAAAATGCAGTGTCCTGTAGGTAATCTGCCAGATACTACCACAGGTACAAGGAGGGGCTGAACAGGAGACGTTCTCGTGGATTTTATTCTATCACAATTTAACAAGAACCTAGGTGCTCTCAAGTGATCTGCGAGAGCCATCTAGTGTCAATTCTGTTTAATTGCAATCTGCACAGATAGCTGGATACAAATGTCACAATTTATGTTTTCTTAATCCTACTAATTTTGAACCCTATTTTAATAGAACATAAAACATTTAATGCTCTGTATGCACAAAAATGATCATTCCAATCTTACTTTACTCTTATTCCCATGGAAAATATAGTCTTGAATTTCTTTGAATATAATGTGTTCAGTCAGTATAAAACTGAGACTTTAAATATTCTACATCAATGTTTTTCTAACTTCAGGCATTTCCTTTACAGATTTCTAGAAAATCTGCATACCTCCAGAAGTTTCTTCACTTAAGAGAATGCAATGAATGGGGGTGGAAAAATCAGTTAAATGAGAACATAGTTGATCATCTGATCATTAATTCAGAGACTCCATTTATGCAAATTCATCTACTTGATAAAGTTTAGTTGTCACCCCACACATCAATATTTGCAGCACTTTCAGTCATTTTCATAGTCATACGCAGACATGTGCAGAGAAGCAAGAAACCTGAATCGCCCTACACACATTTTACCAGCTGAAGGCGATCACAGTGAGACGCTCTGCTTTCTTATCTCAGCTCTTACACTGTAAATAAGTGTCCTTTTTACTGTCTATTTAGCGACATGTGTTTCACATTTTTGCACATTTTGTTGGTGGTTCTGCTGTTTACAATCGCCCCCAAGCACAGTGCTGAAGTAATCTCTAGTGTTCCTAAGTGCGAGAAGGCGATGATGAATCTTTTAGAAAAAAAGTGTGTGTTAAATAAGCTTCATCCAGGCACGAGTTAACAGTGCTGTTGGGCCATGAGTTCAATGTTAACAAATCAATAATATATATTAACTTAGTGTCTTTAAATGAAAACACATATAAAACCAGGTTATGTATTGATCAACTGACAAAAATGTTATTATGATCAGAGGTTCATAGGAACCTAACTCTATTTTCCCTGAGAGCAATAGTTCAGTATTAGCTAATTCAGTGTTCCTGGTGACCTACAGAACATAGGTCCTACAGATAATGAGAATAAACTATGCTAGTGATTGGTTTCTCTACTCTATTCTTATCCCCAAATTTATGGCAGGAAGTTTCATTAATGAAGTCCTAAAATAGTCCTGAGTACACTTAGCACTGAGTCAGAAATTCATACAGCACAGTGAATTTCTATGGTATTATCTAATTTAACCTTGTCCTAAACAATATATGTTAGATCAGAGCTCTGATATGCTAGTTATACTTTTCCAGTGTATATTAAAATAAATATATCACTATTAAAATTTTTTAAGTATACATATTACCAAATTTATCTCATGTACCACTGCCCAGTGGTTCATGTACCAACTGATAAACATTTGGGGAAACACTGCTATATATATCATAGACAAAATTGTTACCAAACTTTTCAATTATAAAGAACCTTTTTAATAAAAACATCTTGCAAGTCCCTTCCTGAAAGTAGTTATGCTTTTCTCAGTTCAGATTAGGAACACTGCTATAGATTATAATATAAAACAGAATACAGCATTCTGCATGGAAACAGTACACAGAAAGTACGATGGGATTCAGAGAGAATATTCTAATAGATGATACATCAAAAAGCAATATTTTGGTGTATACCTGTAACTGTGTCAAATTGCTGAGATAAAGGCTTAAGAGCACATTTCTTATCCAAAGACTCTGCATCAGCAACAGGCTGTTGCTTGTAGACAGGATGTCCCATTAAGTTCTCAACTGCTGCTATCAGTCTGGGTCTTTGTCCCTCACCCAAACTGCTTTCCAAGTCCTGTAAAAAGTAGAAACAATTGCTAAAACCATTATATTAAAATCAAGTCAAAACAGGAGATGCTTGTCAGACACCATGTGTGATCCATACCACTTGACTACTTAAAGGTATTTTAGAAAGTGCTTATTATGCCACATATACCCAACATGAAAGACAAGCTTAAGTCAGTTTAATGAGGCATCTAACCATAGGCTTTCATTTTAATCTTATTTTTTACAAAGTTAAATAACCATTATCTATTTTTCCAACCTTCAAATTAGATATCAATAAAACACATAAGAAAAATTTTACTATTTAAAACACTAAATGCTGAAACATATTACATATTGTTCACAAAACTTAAAATTGGAATAGAAAATTTCTCTCTCATTCTTCATTAATAAAAATTGCCTAAAGTTGTTAGTGTAAACTTTATAATTAAACAACTGATAAGGAGAATATACCTTAAATGATATAATGATTATCCCTATACAAATAATTACATTTTTCATAAGTATGCAGATTAAAGAAGACTACTTTAACTGTATTTAATACAGTTCTTCCCCTGGAAAAGTATAAAAGTTAAAAAAGTACAAATATGCTTCTTTGTCAAATATATAAAATAAATAAAAATCTTAAAAACTAAGACTATTTCCTTTCTGTATTAAAAATTAGATATCTAATCATTACATTTTGTGACTTAAAGATATTCTAATTAATAAGTTTACTACTCAAGAACTGAATAAATATTCCAATATCTAAAAGCTCTCATATTTTTCACTTAAAAGGAGTTTAATTTCAACCAAGTGGGTTTTTTTTTTTACTAGACTATATGAAGAAATTACTGCTGAAACATCTTTGAGGACTCTACTGACTACAACATAAAGTCTAACTTCTTCGCTCAGCATTCCAGTTTCTGCAACTCGCCCTCGTTCTTCTCTATGCACTTCTTCTATCTCCCCTTCTTCCCTAAGCTGACTTCATTAGGAACACCAATTGCCTCAACATCCTTTAAATAGAAAAGGATTGTTCTGCAATTAATATGAAACTCTTGAAGACTCTTGTGCAAAGTTTAGAATAATGGCAGATATATTTTTTTTCTAGAATTAATTAGAAATATTTCACAGTGCCTATATTACTCTGCCACTGCCAAATAAGATATTGTGCAAAATATACTACCTTCTCTAAATCAATTTTCTAGGGTACTTTAACTGCTGACACTTTAATCCTCTATAACCCCACTGAAGACTCAGCTTGCCTATTCACAAAATGCTCTCGTAAGGTAAGTATCATTTTTGTGTTATATTTAACTCGCGTAATTTAAGTTGCACTGTCTGTAATCTATAGTGATTAGTGTACCTAGCCCAACTACATAAATGTGCAAATTGCAATTTTGCCATCAGACTGCTCCTGCTGATCTAAAGCTCCCGTTGGGCACAAAGAAGTCACTAAATTCTTCCCAAAGCACTATTTTAACAAATAAATATATCATTATTACAACCAAAACAAATACTCAACAGTTTTGTACACATGAAAATACGCCAAATGCCACTATTAATCAGACTGGCAAAAATTTAAGATTGAGAACACCATGTGTTATAATGGGAAAAGAGACTCATATAGTTAGAAAGCAATTTACTAGTATTTACTGAAATTATAAATGTTTGTACCTTTTGAACTAGCAATTCCACCCCCATTACCTGATCTAGAGAATTAACTTCTCGTCAGTGCAAAAAAGGATTTTCTTCTAATTATAATTGGAATAGAAAAAAGTGAAACCAACCTACAAATCCTTCAATAGAATAATTAAATATGGTATGCTACATGGTGGATTAAAAGAACATGGTAGGCCCTGACTAGTTTGGCTCAGGGGTTAGCGCATTGGCCGTAGACCGAAGGGTTATGGGTTTGATTCCAGTCAAGGGCACATACCTGGGTTGCAGGTTCGATCCCCAATGTCTGTCTGTCTCTCTCTCTCTCTCTCTCTCTCTCTCTCCCTCCCTCCCCCCCTCCCTCTTCACTCTATCTAAAATTCAATGGAAAAACATCCTCAGGTGAATACTAACAAAAGAAAAAAATATATATGGTAGATCATTAGTATTTGTAGTGAAAATTTTTAAACCAGGTTACAGAATAATACATAAACACACCTCAAAATTTTATACATGCATGTGCACACAAATGCAAATGCTTAGATTCTTAGAAAAGATCTGGAGAGGATAAACTTCCGACTTCCGGCGTATCCAGGACTGCATACCAACCTCCCTACACACAAACAGACCTTAGAGTAACTATAGAAATGAAAAGGAACTATGAATTCTGAAATTGTGAAAAACTACTGGGAAGGGTGACAACTGACTTGACCTGCAGTGTGTGGGAAGAAAGGGGCTGCATCCTAAGGAGGATGGTGGCTGGAGGGGGTTTAGTGAGAGGAATGAATAGAGCAAAGCACTTGCTTCTTTCTCTCATCAACTTGAGATCATCGCTGCTTGACCCTTAAGCACAAAGATCATGGCCCAGAATAACATCAGGGAGCATGAAGGTCCAACTGGGGTGAACAGTTACAGGTGAAATCTGACCAGGAACCCAGGGGGGCATTTGTTCCTTCATCCTCCTACCCTCCAAACTCCAGGACTATATTATAAAACCTACATACTCTTACTAAATATCTTAGCATGTGACTCCCTTGCCCACAGTGCCCAAACTTTCCCATGGCCTAAAGGGTTTGTTATAATTATTTGGTTCAACCTACTTCTCCAGACTGATCTCTCTATCTACAGCTCTAACCACACTGGGATTTTCAACACTTTCTAAATATGTCCTAATCTTTCTTGGCTCCTATCCCTTAACACATGCTATTTCAGTTTTTGAAATATCCTTCTCCCTCACCGCTGTCTAGAGAAATCCTATTGGGTCTTTTAAAAACCCCATCAAAATCATATCCTGTATAAAGGGTCACCAAACTTAAAGCAGAGTTTTCCCTCCTCTGAACTCACATATACTTACGAATACAGCTACATGATGCACTGTACAGTAACTGTTTAAGCCCTTTGTCCTCTATAGGATTGTCAGCTACTTATAGACTGGAGTCCTATCTCATCTTTTCATCTTTTCCAAAGCTGGTCTGGCATATAGTAATACAAGTAAATGGAAGAGAGGGAGGGAGGGAGAGAGGGAGGGAGGGAGGGAGGCAGGGAGGGAGGGAGGGAGGGAGGCAGGGAGGGAGGGAGGGAGGGAGGGAGGGAGGGAGGAAGGAAGGAAGGAAGGAAGGAAGGAAGGAAGGAAGGAAGGAAGGAAGGAAGGAAGGAAGGAAGGAGAGAAAGAGAGAGAAGAGGGAGAAGAGGGAGAGAGAGGAAGAAAGGGAGGAAGGAAGGAAATCCTCACAAATCTCTTGAAAGGGCTTCAGTTTTTCCAGATGTAGAACAAGAGGGTTGGAACAGATGACTCAAATTCCTTTCAGCTGTAAAACTGTGTAACTCTATGGTTCCAGGTTAAAGTTATAATAAGGATGATCCCTGAATAAGTGGAAATATTAGCATGCTTTAACTAAAAGCAGGAATTTCTTGTTATTTTTTTTCCTGTATATATAGATCCACCCCAAAAGAAAAAAAAATATCAAGGTTAAAAAGTACCTCTGAATGATAGGCGGCTTGCTGTGAAACCACTGATTCCTGGTTTTGTTTAGCAAGAAGAGAAAAAAGGGCATCTCCAGGAAATTTTTTATGGGGCATTCTAATCACTTGTCCTTCACTGGGAGGATCCTCTTCCTAAATGAAACAGAAAGACAATAAACACAACAACACAAGTCTATCCAACAGCTGCAATTTTCTCAATTTTTGATTAATAAAACTTAGTCACCATGAAATAGTCATTTAGCACTTTGTGGAAAGAAGATGGACTCTTTATTTTCATTTAGTTCTCATTTCCATTTGACTATACTAAAGACCTTCTATACTTGCCTCAAATATGAACAATAATATTCCGTAATTTGGCTACATTTAAACTGGAGATTTTATAAAAACATGAAAATTAAGTCATGTGACTGCGTTCCAGTGATTCACAAATGTTTCATATTTTGGCTCACAAAGTCTCCTGCTTCATATTTATTCAGCACATGAAACAATGCCATGGTGTGGCGACGAGGCAAAGCACCATAGTACTGATGCAACCCGGACCACAAGCAAAAATGAAACACTGCAGGAATAGGTGAAGGACCTTTAAGACCTTCGACTGTTCCTTTGCCTTTGTGTCCATCTCCGGTACTTGGCTAGAGAGCAGGTAACAGAAAGCTCTCACTGGAACTCCCAGCTTAGGCTTCTTGGTGCCACAAAATATAATTGTCCCCAAAATGAGGGACAGTGTGGGCCCAAGAGTCAGAGAAACTGGGTTCCCCTGTAAATGCAAGTATTAACATAATTTTAAATCCCATTAATAGTTTTTTTACTTAAGTATTTTATTTTTCATGAAATAGAGTTTATTACCTCTGGATTACAAGTCCTTATCCCCCAGCCATACAAAGATAAATGCCTACTGATATAAGACGTCAGGTTATTCCTAGTTTTTCAAGATCGTACATCTGCACTTAAGTTTATTATAAATTTGTAGCATACCTGATTTAAGCTTAGTAAAAAAAAAATCAAAATTAGAATTTAGTTTCAAACATAGAAAAAGAAAGATGTGATACGTTAGTCCTGGTTCAGTTTAGCTATTTATTTTGAACAAACTTAAACATGCTTTGGCACCACAACAAAGTTCTAAGAATGGATAAAGATGACATAATGACATATTAAGTAGGCCAAATGTTAGTATACTGCTTCTCTGAAAATAAAGACATCTCATTTATGACTTCCCTCCATATTATTTTATAAATTATGTCTATAAAAATATAATTTGTAAAAGCCATCTTTTTTGTATTATAGAGCTAGATAATAACTAGAAAGGGTTAGTGCCCCTGGGTCTTATTTCAGTATTTTTTTTAAGCCACTGAAGTCAATTATTTTTAGTACAAAAAATTTTAATCATAGTTAGGAAAAAATAACAAATGTATTACAGGACAGTTGGTTTAAACCACTAAGGTCCTGCCTGAAATATTGTAAAGGCAACATATTCAGTGGACAATTTGCACTGTGCTCGATTTCCATTACCTAATTACATTAACTGTGTATCTGTCAATTCCTAGAGCCACAGAACTTAATAATTTTCTTTTCATTCTCACAATTATAATAATAAGATGTGCAAGAAAGCAAATCCCCTCATGGACAGTCTATTAAATTTTGTTTATGACTCAGGTATTTGAGAAGAGCCTGATCAGTAGCAATAAGGTCATCCAGACACTCTTCTTGTCAGATGTCAGAATTCAGTGTGAATTAGTCATTTCTCACCATATCATGGGCGTCGCGCAGCGTACTGGATAAGCTATCACTTAGGTTTGTCAGATACAGTCCTCCGTCTCCTAAAACTAGAAATTAAATTGTAAAAGTTTAGAAAAAAGAAGAAACATAACTTAAGTAAAGAATCTGACCATAAAGTCATACAACATTACATTTAAACTTATACAAAAATACTGGCAAAGTTTATAAATAATAAATCACAAGTTAATCTCATCTTTTTAAAAGTACACTGTATAACAAAGACACATTTTTGTTTCACCTACCACCTTGTCAGAAAATGAAAAAAACTATAAATATTGACTATAACTATGAAATTGAGAAAGAGGCCTTCCTGTACACTACTGACGTAATTAAAACCTGGTTAAAATTGAAAACAGATTAACCTTTCTGGAGAACACATTGGCAATGTATCGCTGTTTTAATGGTGCATATTTTGACTCAGCAATTCCACTTCTAGGCATGTATTCTAAGGAAGTTACCAGATAAGTGCAAGGATGGTCATTGGAGAGTTAAGTATAGTATGGAAACATGAAACAATCTAGATGCCTACCACTACAGAGCTGTTTTAACAGCCACTAAAAAGAAAAATGAGGTAGAGCTATATGTATTGATATAGAAAGATGTCCACAATATATTATTAGGTTAAAAAATTCAGGTTTCAAAACAATATGTATAGCATGATCTTATTTATTTTATTTTTGTTAATCCTCATCCAAGGATATTTTTCCATTGATTCTTTGATAGAGTGGAAGGGTGGGAAGGAGAGGGAAAGAGAGAAGGGGGGAGGGAGGGAGAGAGAGAGAGAAACATCAATGTGAGAGACACACATCGATTCGTTGCCTCCTACAGGACCCTGACTGGGGCCAGGGATTGAACCTGCAACCCAAGTACATGCCCTTGACTGGGACTCAAACCTGAGAAGCTTCAGTCTGAGGGCTGATGCTCTAACTTCTGAGCCAAAACAGCCAAGGCTATGATCTTCTTCTTATTATTATTATTATTTAGTACGTGCCCCTAGCAGGAACCGAACCCGGGACTCTCTGGTCCGCAGGCCGATGCTCCAACCGCTGAGCCAGACCAGCCAGGGCATATAATCTTATTTTTAAAGATAAAAACACATACACATAAAAATATATTTAGTTGTCTATATATGCATAGGAAAAAAAAAGACTGGAAGAAAATATCCCAAACTATTAAAAGTGATACTAATCCTAGATTTATGAGGGAGATTTTCTTTTCTAAGGTTAAGGTCCATAATTATTCACTTGCGCAGAGTCCATATTCTTTGTACTATACCATGTTTAATCTTAAAAATTTAGTAAAAACACTTTAAACAGTACTACTTAGGAATTATCAAAATCTAAATATTAGTTAGGAGTTATCATAATCTAACCAGTGAAATCAATTTATACAAGTTAACTTACTCTTGGGAGCCGCTTTTTGACCACAGCCAAATAAAATCTCTCCTTCAGAGATGGGTCTTTCAGTTTCAGTGACAGTAATGCTCAAGGTGCTCTCCATTGTCGAGGAATCAGAACTTGGCGTCAGCATGGGGGACGGGGCCTTGGTACTAGCAGGAAGAGGTATCAAGGGAACTGGCTTTGGAGGAACAGGTTCGGTGGGGAAATCCATACTCTCAGGTTCCTCATCTTTGGCCACAGACATTACACTAAGAAAAACACATATTTTGAACTTATTAAATCATGAAAGGCCTATATTAATTTTGATATTCCAAAACACAAAGACTAAGTCTCTTTTAGTGAAATATTTCTATCATCTGCACTACTATAATTAATTAATAAGATTTCTTTTTCCAAGATCGTTTTCATGCTCTAATCATAGGCCATCTTGAAAGTTCTACCATCCACAAAATAAATCTACATGGGGAATTTATGGCACTATGAAAGTCAACCTATCATTGTAACTAAAGATTCATACTGAGAGAAGATCATTTTCTATTTTATTAACAATATGATAGATATCTTTATTTTAATGTCTCCCAACAAATCTGTTTGTTTGTTTTTTAATGGGAGGTATAAATTTGGTAAAATTTTAAAAACTTGAAATTTATGAAACTTCTTTCTACTAAAGTATAAAGTAGCTTGTGGTTTATAAAACTTCATTGATCATTTCTGATGTTTTCAATGGGTCACATACGTCAACCTAAGAGAAAATGTATAGTGAATCTTTACATAGCTCTCGGGGGAAGTTCTTCTTGAAGAGAGCTGGGATTCTCCTCTTCCAGTGGCAGGTCTCCATCACCCCATGGCTTGGGAAGCTCTGGGCTTGACAGCTCCACTTTATCAACGGACATTTCTGACAAGGTTGGGGTAAGAGCAGCTGCAGGCAGGGGTGTCGTAGCAGGGGTAACCGCCGGAGTGTTAACAAGTGTGACAGTAGGCATGTCATTTCCTAAAGATTTTTTTTTTTTAAAGATAAAAAGTAAAATGACTCAACAAGAAGGTAAGATATATAGTTTCAGAAATCCCATAACATTTTGGCATACAAATAATTGCAATAATAATAATGATAAGGGCTTCTAATGGAAAAATTCCCAAATTTATTTTGTAAAGTACAAGAATATAACTTTGAAAAGACATCACTTTTAAGACTACTATGAACTTAAAGTAGTCTAAATGTTTATTAGATTATATATTTTCAAAAGTGGAAAGCAATTTGTTAGTTTCAACACCAGAAAAAATGATTTACTAAAACCTAGTAAGTAACAGGTACTGTATACTAATCTATTAAACATTTTATAAAACAAACCATGAAATTTTATTTAACAGTTGCAAAAATTAAAACTTAATTATAGAAGTAAGATGTACCTTTTTCAGCAATTATTTCCTTCACAGGAAAAGCTGTATCATGATCTGAATCACAGGGAGAAGAATCTGGAGTTTTCAGCAACACATACTCCTTAGGAGGTGAAGGTGAGTGAGGAGGAGTTGGCTGTGGGGTAGCCACTGGGGTACATACTCTTGCCTAAAAAAATTCATAAAATAAGATAAATGGTGCTTATAATCACCCAAGCAAGGGGAATTTAAGACAATAAAATAAGCTCATTCAGAGATTACACAGAATTTAAATATATGGGGGGGGGGTATGTAGCCCCAAATACCCTGGCTCTGGACTTCTAAGCTATTTAGTTTCAAGACTAGCCTGTAGATAATGTCAGGCAATTGAAATAGTCTGCCTCTGAAAAAGGCCCCAAATAAATCTAAGGCTGCCCCTTCTAATATGGAGAAGATCAAAGAGAGACAGATGAAGATCCAATCCAAACACAACCTGAGTAGACCACGTACAGAAAGAAAGCATTTTAATTAATTGACAAGATATCAAAAATCAGCCTTTTAGCACAAAAGAAAAGAGCTCATAAAAAACAATGGAAGGATAAGTAGGGGAGATCAAATAAAGACAATATGGAGATGAAAAGTACTGGGGAAGAAAAAAAGTACACACTTTGAAATCAATACCTATTTGTTAAATAGGTATCAATCATTCAAATGATTCAAAATTCGAAAGGTACAAAATGATGACAGTGAAATTAGGTCTCTTTTTCTAGCCTTGTCCTATCTATCTAGTTCCCTTCCCCAGAGTTACTAAATATAATCAACTCAAGTAATTTCATAACTATAGATTATCTATGGAATTCATTTCCAGCTGTGGGACTGTTAGGTTAAAGAGCTAACTATATTTTTAATTTGAATACCTATTTTCAAATTTCTCTCTGCGGGGTTGTTATTTTACACTAACACCATGGAGAATTCCCATTTCCTGAAGGTTTGCTGAACAATGGCATTATCAAACTTTTAGAGTTATTATTTCGATCAGTAAAAATAAAATTTCAGTGACATTTTTCTTATTATCAGTGAGACTGACCACCTTTTCTTATGTATATGGGCTACTTGTATTTCTTCTTTGTGTGTAACTTGTCTGGACATGTCTTTTTCCCATTTTTCAAATACATTTGTCTTTTTCTTCTCATTTTAAACATCTTATATAGTAAAGTGATTAGCCTTTATTCTGTATTATAAATTACATACTGATACCCAATTTCAAAACCATGACACACATTCAAAATTCTATACCATTGCTTAGTAATTAGCATATTTTTAGCCTTGATGTTAAATGAAAGAAATGCATGTTTGTTTTTTTTCTTGACTGCATAAACCTTATATTGTAAGAGTTCTGTTTTCAAATATAATGCTACTGACTCATCATCATAAGAGGATTTGAAGGTATTCTACTAGTACTGGTAATGAATAATGATGGTAACTGAATATTAGTTAACTGAATATTTAACTAATTAGTTCCAGGCATTAGATTAAGCTCTTTTTATATACCATCATCTTATTGGATCTTTCACAAAATCTTATGACGACTAAGAAGATACAGTATCATATATTTTTAAATTATCTTTAAAGATATCCACGGTCATGAAGATCTCCTATGCTTTCTTCTAATAGCTTTCTTGTCTTTCTTTTCACGATGAGATCTATAATCCATGTTGAAGGAATTTTGTTGTCTGCTGCGAAGCAGAGATCAAGATTCATCTTCTCTTGATGCATGGCCAGTTTAAACCAACACCATTTGTGACCACCTCTTCCCCATGATACTGCAGTGTTTCTGTACTGTCTATTCTGTTCCACTGGTTTATCTATTCTTACCAATACTATCCTATCAAAATTACTGTAGCTTGCCCTGGCCAGTTTGGCTCAGCGGTTAGAGCGTTGGCCTGCGGTCCGGAGAGACCCGGGTTTGGTTCCCACTAAGGGCACGTACTTCGGTTGCAGTTTGGCCCTGGCCCTGGTTGGTCGTGCGGGTGGCAGCCACTCGATGTGTCCCTTCACGTCGATGTTTCTCTCTCTCTCTCCCTTCCTCTCTCTCCCTCCCATTCTATCTGTACAAAAAATGGAAAAATGTCCTCGGGTGAGGATAAAAAAAAAAAAAAATTACTGTAGCTTTATAATAATATAAACTATATCTGGTGGTGTGAATTCTCCAGCTTTGGTCATTTTCCTCAGGATTATTCTGACAACTCTAGGTCCTTTATATTTTAACTTAAATTTTGGAATAAATTTGCCAATTTCAACAAAAATAATCTGTTAAAATTTTGACTGTCAGAGTTTCCAGTCAAGATGTGGCATAGATAAATGTGGTACTTGAATCCTTCCACAACCATATCAAAAATACAGCTAGCCCTGACCGGTTTGGCTCAGAGGTTAGAGTGTCAGCCCGCAGAACAAAGAGTGGTGGGTTCGATTCCAGTCAAGGGCCAGTACCTCGGTTACGGTTCGTTCCTGGCCCTGGTCGGGGTCATACAGGAAGTCCTTCTCACATCGATGTTTCTCTCCACCACCACCACCCTCCCCCCGCCCCGCCTCACCTCACACTCTAGCTGAAGATAAATGGAAAAATATCCTTGGGTGGGGATTAAAACAAAAAAAAATACAACTAATCTTCACAAAAACTGTCATTCAGAACCACTAAAATCTAGCTGAATGGAGTCCTACAACTAGGGAATTAATGAATCCACATCAAGAGTGGTTGGAGGGGCGGAGGCACAGAGGGGGCTGGTCCCACACACACATATGGCAGTTATTAATTGGGAGGAATATCTTGGCTGCAGAAGCCCCCCCACTGAGGAGCAGGAGTCTCAGCCCCACACCTGATCCCTCAGCCCAGGGTTCCAGTGCCAGGAAGAGAAGTCCCCATAACTTCAGGCTGTAAAAACCAGTGGGGAATGTGGCTGAGGGAGACAGAGGGCTTCTGGAGTCCCAGGCAGTTCCTTTTTAAAGGCCCACACGTGGATTTACTCAGACTCACTCCCTCTGAGCTCCCGTGATGCTGGGGCAGCAGCTTGAAAGGAATCAGGAACATATGGGGAGGAAATAAATTGTCTGGCATCAAGGCAAGAGATAGGGGGAGCACAGCTTTCTCCCAGAAAAGTGTAAGCAGAGGCCACTGTACTTTTGCTGAGCCCACCCCACCACAGTGCTGATAGGTGGGTACCATATTTGAGTCTCCATCAACCTGGCTCACACTGTTCACCCTGCCCTGGTTATTCCCTGACTTACCCAACTTGCAGGCTCATCCAAGCCATTTCCAGTGGCTTTTCCATACAACTGACCTCCCTTGCCTCATGCTTTGGACTTGCCTAAAATCTCCCAAACAAGCAGCATCTGGCCTCAGAGTGCTCTGTACCTCTACCTATGTGGCCCTACACCAGGCACTAGCAGCAGCTCACCGTGGGTCACAGCCTGTCTTCTCCTGGGCACCTCCAAGCCCATCACAAGTATCTGCCATCCGCAAATTGCTCTGTAGCTCATACCAGGTGACCCCAGGCAGGCAGGGCACAGGCAGTAACTGACTGCACTTCTCGTGAGGCCCCAGAGCCAGTGTACCCTGTGGACAGCTTCAAACCATGTCGGATTATAGCCCTACCCCCTCCACAAGCTACACATTCTAGGGGCAGGCTCTGTGAGAACCAAAGCCCCACTGTTCTGTAGGGTTGATGTCTGCACAGCAGCTCTTCCACTGTAGTCACAGCTGGTCCTCACAGCTGATTCGCCTGGGGATCAATCATTCCCAGTGATGCCAACAGCAACCAAGGCTCAACTACAATAGGACAGTGCACACACCCCACACTGGGAAACACCTGGAGTGTCCAGCCAAGTGACTGGGGAGGCTGCACCACTGGGCCCTACAGAACACCTACTACACAAGGCCACTCTACCAAGTCTGAGAGACATAGCAGCTCTAACTAATACATAGAAACAAACACAGGGAAGCAGGCAAAATGCAGAGACAAAGAAATATGTCACAAATGAAAGAATAGGAGAAATCTCCAGAAAAAGAACTAAATGAAATGGAAGCAAGCAAACGGCCAGATACAGAGTTCAAAACAATGGTTATAAGGATGCTCAAGGAAGAGAGAACTTCAAGAAACTTAGTGAGAACTTCAATAGTATAAAAAAGGACTTAGGAACCATAAAAAAGAACCATCAGATATGAAGGATACACTAACTGAAATGAAGAATAATTTACAGGGAATCAACAGCAGAGTACAGAATGCCAAGAATCAAATCAGCAATTTGGACTATGAGGAAGTAAAAACACCCAATCAGAACACAAAAAGAAAAAAGATTCCAAAAACATGAAGACAGTGTAAGAAGCTTCTAGGACAACTTCAAGCATACCAACATTCACATCATGGGGGTGTCGAAAGGAGAAAAGAGGGAGCAAGAAATTGAAAACCTATTTGAAAATTTCCCTTACTTGATGAAAGAAACTGACATACAAATCCAGGAAACACAGAGTCCCAAACAAGATGAATCCAAAGAGGTCCATACCAAGACACATCATAATTAAAATGCCAAAGTTTAAAGACAGAATCTTAAAAGCAGCAAGAGAAAAGAAGTTAGTTACCTACAAGGGACCTCCCATTAAGACTGTCAGCTGAGCCCTGGCCAGTTTGCTCAGTGGTTAGAACATAGCCCACAAACCAGAGTCCTGGATTTGGTTCCTGCTAAGGGCATGTACCTCAGTTGCAGTTTGTCCCCAGCCTTGGTTGGGTCGTGTGGGTGGCAGCCACTTGATGTGTCTCTCTCACATCAATGTTTCTCTCTCTCTTTCTCCCTCTCTCCCTCCTGTTCTATCTGAAGATAAATGCAAAAAAAAAAATACTGTCAGCTGATTTCTCAACAGAAACTTTGCAGGCCAGAAGGGATTGGGCAAGAAATATTCAAAGTGATGAAAAGTAAGGGCTTACAACCAAGATTAAAGCTATTAAAGGTCAGCTAAAGAGTTTCCCAGACAAGAAAAAGTTAAAGGAGTTCATCACCACCAAACCAATATTACATGAAATGTTAATACTTCTTCTTTAAGAAGAAGAAGAAAATATTAAAAATATGTACAATTGTGCTGGTATGTTTATAATCTCATAATTGATGATTGGTAAATTATTGTGCTGCTCCATAACTGATGATTGGGAAAGTCACCGTGTGCCCTCTAGCTGAACTAGTTTTGTAAAGACCCCCTGAACCAAGAAATTGTTGGGAGCCGGCTACATGTCTGACAGAGTCCACAGAGCCCGGAGGTCTTGAGTCAGAGACTCGATCTTCCCCACAATCTCAAGAAATTAGGCTTGCATTGTGTTTGTGCAGGTCGGGGCTAAGTGTGACCCAATGTACCTTGAAATACCTGAAATACCTGGGTGTTCCTGGGTGTTCTATGCAGTGTTGCTGTGGCCCTGGGCATTATATCAAGAAGATCCTATTTTCTGTAAGGTATAAAAGGCATGTAATAAAGCATATCGGCGCTAATTTTGAAGACTGTCACAGGGGTGTTTGGAATCAGACGCCGGCGGGCTAAAAAACGGCTCTTATTTGGACTTCAGTTCTCTAGTGGTCTTTCTTTGACCCTGTTGCGCCACAACATTTGGAGGCCCCAGGGCTGGTCTACGAGAACTCGGCATCAGTCCACGGCTGGTTTTGCTCTCTATTTGGCTTTAATTTGGCTCTGGTGGTCTCTCGGTTCTCTCGCACCACAACACAATAAAATAGCAATAAATACATATCTATTAACAACTATTACTTTGAATCTGAAAATCAAAGTAAACAAACAAGCAGAACAGAAACAGACTCATAGATACAGAGAACATTTTAATGGCTGCCATATGGGAGGGAGATTTGAGGAATGGGTGAAAAAGGTAAAAGGATTTAGAAATAGAAATTAGTTTATAGATAGTCATGGGGGTGGTAAAGTACTGCATAGGGAATATAGTCAATAATATTCTAATAATTAGGTATGTTGTCAGATGGGTATGAGATTTTTGGGGATGATCAGTTAGTAAGTTTTATAATGTCTAATCACTGGGGTGTATACCTGAAATTAATATAATATTGTATGTCAACTATAATTAAAAAATAAAAAATAATAAAGAACTTTTTAAATTTTTGATTGTCATTATATTCAATGTATATATCAATTTGGGGTGAACTAACATCCTGACAATATAAAATCTTCTAATTCATTAAAAAAATATGTAAATTCTCCCCAAATTAAACCAATCAAACCTGGATTAACTGCCATAAAAATACCAAAAAAATATTTTATGATACTTGAAAACTAATTTTAGAAAATATCTGTAAGCCTAACAACCAGGGATTGAGCCTACAACCCAGGCCTGTGCCTTGACGGGGTAATCAAACCCACAGCCTCTTTTGCGTACTAGACATTCCAACCAACTGAGCCAGCCTCCCGGGGCAAGACATGACAATTCTGAAGATGGCAGTGGGAGAGGGGAACTTCCCTTCCTAGATATTCAGTAACCAGATATTGGTAAAGCCATGTTTATTTAAACTCTATTCTATCTCTACTATGCAGATCAGACTAAAGTAACATAGTTGAGGGATCATATTCAGATCTTCCCAACTCCAAAGTCCATGCCCTTAACAATTACATATACTGTCTATCTATATTGATTTTTCTACATTTTCTCATTCAGTCACCCTCATGTAAGTATATGTAGTATATGGGCAGAAAACAAACAGAAGTTAATCAGCATAGAGAAAACCATAACCCTGACAACATCTGCACTGCATGCATCACCAATGACCTAATAAAGCATAAACCAAAACTATGTACTAAATCCCTGACACGTTAGTCACATTACACCAATTATACCTCACATTTGACTTTGATGGAGATTGTTCTAAATTCATGTTTATGCCTCAAATTAGTCAGTTTAAATGTTTCACCTATATAAAATGATGCCTTTGTGATCTATAGGATCAGAAGTGACCACAAGTTTTTAAGATAGTAATATAGAGTACATTTTGGTTTATATAATTTCATGTTGCTATTATAGAGCTCAGTACAAGTCACCCCAAGATGTGCCTCTGTGGTATGAAGATTTGAGCTACAGGCAACTTTACCTGCAGGATCAAGAGAATCCTCTGTCCCTCCCTTAATTAGGGGCCTTGCATATAATAAGAGATTATCATAGATAACCTCTTTTAGCTGACCTATATGGCAGGGAAAACTACTAATTACTAAACATGAGTTGTCCCTGCAATGACCTTCTGAAGGCTCAAGGGGCCTTACCTAGCAAGGAATGTCATATAAATCTTATTTTCCCTTTCTCTAAACCTCTCATATATGTGACTCTCTCAAATATGTATTAAATGTGGTTATTTTCTCTTGTTAATCTGTGTCAAGTCTATTTGAATATTATACCAGTGGAAAGAACCCTGAAGTTAGAGGAAAGTTTTTTCCTCCCCAACACTATAATAGATTAACATAGTAAGGCTCATTAAACAAACAATAACCAAAGTGTCTAAAATATATTTTTTAAAGACCAAAAATATCTATCAGTTTACATAATAACCAAAAGCAATGTGTGATCATTAGCTGTATTTTGAATTAAAAAACAAAACAAAACTATAAAGGATATTTTTGGAACAATTGGAGAAATTTCAATACATGGTATCAAATATCAATATCAGATTGTGGGGGTATGATAATAGTGTAATGGAACAGAAAGTTCATTTCTTTAATATGACCTTTTTTCCTTCTTTCCTTTTGATTCAAACTGGCCTTGTCCAGCCTAAGAGTATCCTGACTCACCTGACACTCCCTCCCTTACACCTCCACTCCCTTAAGCATTAAGCCCTTAGGACAATGAGGTTCTGGTCAGTGGCATCAAATAATCTTAGGAACAAAGCCTCAGATCTGTTGACCACAAAGGCAGAATTTCAGTCAAACTACAGATAACATCTAGGCCTCAGTTGTGTTTTAGCTCCAGAAGGATTCCACCAACCACATCCTTGCAAAACCAGACAAAGTAACATCATGGCTGACATCAGGACCCGCAACTACACCCTTCGCTAGTGCTGACCAATCAACAGAGACCAAGACCCTAATCTCTTAGTCCCCTATATAACCCATCCCTTGAAGCCATTGGGGAGCTAGGTCTCTGAGCATGGGTTCACCTATAACTCCAGGCATGGTGCCATTTCCTTAAAAATAAACCTTTACTTTCTTTGCTGCAAACTCCTGTTTGCCTTTAATTGGGCTTTGATGCACGCAGGTGAACAAACCCCTTCAGTTCAGTAACAACAGTAATTTGGTTATATAAGAGAGTATCTCGTTCTTAGAAGATACTGCTGATGCTTTTACAAGTGTCAAAAGTATCTGTAACTTACAAATAATTTTTAAAGAAACATAAGATATAAAGACAGAGAGTGTGTAGTGCCACAAACTATGATTTTATGACACCCAATTTAAAATTTGTCCATTTTACTTTTCTTTAATAAATGTAGCAAAAATTTCCCAGAAACCCCAGTTATGAAAGGAGAGTCATACCTACCTGCAAGTATGTTTTACTTGTTGAAACATCCCCAGAAACACTTGTAGCAACAGGATCTTGCTTCTTTGCTTCTCTGTCACCCAGCATGACATCAATGGTCTCGGCAAGAGCTTCATTCACAAAATGACTAATCATGTCTGAATTCACAGGAACCCCAGCATCAACAAAAAGCTGGAGGACACCACTGCTTGTTCCTTCCACTGGAAAATGAAAGAATTTCAGAATAAGTGTGCAAGAAACATGCTTACAATCCAACTTTAATTCTTAAAATTTTTGAAATGTGAACATATGTGTACAAGTTGGTGGAGGAGGAATAAAAATTAAAATACAAAATCTACTTATTATGAAAGAGAATAAGATGATAATTTAATAATGAGTATTTTCTCTAAGCAAACACTAAAGGGAAGGAAAACATACAGATGAAAATTTACTTATATGGCTTCTTCCCCACTATAGAATTTAGTGATAAAAAAGATTTTCTTCCACATTAAATATTCTATCTGAAGACAAGCCACATTTCCAAGCACAGGCCACAGGAAACCCTGTGATAGATCTTGGCCAAAACATAATGGTACAATGGCTGTGGGGGAACTTTAGAGAAATGGTAGCTGCTTTATAAACATGAAGACAAACCTTACTTTCTTCTAGTTTCCATACTAACATTACAGGCTAATCGTTCTCAAACTTTTATAGTGTAGGTGCTTGATATCAGAAGCTCCACAGGTATATTCATTTTCCAAATAAGCTGTACTATTAACTTGTATGAATGTGCATAAAATTCAGTAAAACTTTCTTAACAGACTGTATTAGACTTAAAGTGGATATATTTCTAAAGCTTTGTGTGGAAAACATGTAAACAATGATCTATACAACTTGATGGAGATATGACCTCTCCAAGGAGCATTCCCTTAATTAGTACAACTATGGCAGCAATATGCAGAACCCCCTAAAAATGGGCACAGGTGTCTTGGGATCACTTGTTGAGGGTTAATAGCGATTTTCTATGGAGTTAGCAAATACTGTAACAATCCCAATTTTGTATTTGACATTATATGTTGATATGTGTCCTTTTTCACTCCCATAATCCATTGTTTGGGCATGACCAAAAATAAGAACATCTTTGTCAGAAAGACCAAAAGCCCTATGCAGACACAGGAAAAACAAAAGCAAATTCAAGTGTTTTTAAAGAGAAGAGAACAGGACCTAAGTACCCAATTTGGAAATTTTAAGATTTTCATACTGAAAAACATCAATTTCCTTATAACACTGTTGGTAATTTTTCTCTTTCCTTCAAAAAATGAAATGATGAAAGAAAATCTGGGATAGTAGCAGTGCAGGGAGCATTTGAATAATACTGAATGAGAAGAATTAACCAAATGCAACAATAAATTGTACGGAGCTAGGATATATATGTAGGCTGTGACTCGATGGTGGCTGAGGAAGACCAAAGAAAAGAAAATAGAATAAAACGTTAACACCAAGCCTTTGGAGACTGGGTGCTTGGAAAATTGTGATATTATTAACAGAACTAGAAGCAATGGAAGAACAGGGTTGGTTAGAAAACTGAGATACCTCTGGGACACGCCAAGTTCGGCATGCCGGTGGAACAAGTAGGAACAGTCGTCAACAGGCAGAACTGCGAGTTTACAGCCTCGATGGGTGTCTTAGGGGTCATAAGCAACACAAGAAAATTAATGGCAAGAGAAGACTGGAAAACAGAAAAGAAAGAGAGAGGAGCATAAGAACTTAGGAAAAGTTTTATTCAAGTAGTAGGAAAAAGAAGACAAGGAAGTGAGGCCATAAAGAAATTAAAAAGAAACTTCCAGTCAAGATGGCGACATAGGTATCGCGTCCTCACACAACCACATCAAAACTACAACTAAACTACGAAACAACCACCACTCAAAGCCGCCTGAAATCAAGCTGAATGGAAGTCCTACAACTACGGGATTAAAGCAGCAGCCACATCCAGACTGGTAGGAGGGGCGGAGGTGGTCGGGCTGGTCCCACACCCATGTGTGGCGGATAAAAACCAGGAGGACACCTCGGCTGGGAAGGTCCTTCCTGAGGACTGAGGGGTCCTGGTCCCACACCAGGAGCCCAGCTCAGGGTTCCAGTGCCAGGAATAGAATCCCCATCACTTCTGGCTGGAAAAACCAGCAGGAACTGAGGCCCAGGGAGGCTGAGGCGGCTGGAGCCCCAGGCAGCTCCTCTTAAAGGGCCCACGCACAGACTTACTCGGACTTGCTCCCTCTGAGCTCCAGAGTGGGGGAGGCAGCTTGAAAGGCAACAGAGACATACAGGGAAGAACTGAGTTGTTTGGCATTGGGGCAGCTTTCTCCTGGACAGACGTCAGAGGCCTTTGTTCCTTTAATGAGCCCTTCTCCCATGAGGGTGGCAGAGGGCCACCACATCTGGGACTCTAGCAACCTGGCTCACACTGTTTGCCCCGCCCTGGTGATTCCCTGAGACCCAGCCCCACCCAACTTTCAGGCCCACCCAAGCTGTTACCAATTGCTTTACCATAGGAATGGCCTGTCTTGGATCCTGCTTCAGATTTTCCTAAATTCTCTCAAACAAAAAGCATCTGGTCTCAGCAAGTCCTATACTTCTAGTTAAGTGGCCCCAGGCCTGGCACTAGAAGCAGCCAGCCTTGGTTCACAGCTTGGCTTTGCCTGCGCACCTCCAAGCCCAGCACAAGAAGCAGCCATCTGCAGATCACTTTGTAGCTTATGCCAGGTGGCCCCAGACAGAACACAGGCAGTGGCTGACCAGGCCCCAGAGTCAGCACCCCCAGTGGACAGCTTCAGACCACGCTGAAGCACCACCACCCAACCACCTCCACAAGTGACACACTCAAGGAATGGACTCAGTGGGTACCAGAGCCTTGCTGAAGTAAGTCCAACTTTGTGTGGTGGGCCTCTGCACAGCTGATCATTCAAGGTAGTCAGAGGTCAGTGGGTAGTGGGTACAGCCAGTCCTTGCAGCTGATCAGCCTGAGTAAAACCCTCTCAATGATGTGCCACCAGCGATCAAAACTCAATTACAACAGAAGGGTATAAAGTCCACACGAGAAGTGCACCTCGAGTGCCCAGCTGGGAGACCAGGGTGCCTGTGCAACAGGACCCTACAGGACACTTACTACAATAGGCCACCCTAGGAAGCCCAGGAGACATAGCAGCTCTACCTAATACATAGAAACAAACACAAGGAGGCAGCCAAAATGAGGAGACAAAGAAGCATGTCCCAAATTAAAGAACAGAACAAAACTCCAGGAAAAGAATTAAACAAAACAGAGATAAGCAATCTAACAGACGCAGAGTTCAAAACACTGTTTATAAGGATGCTCAATGAACTTAGTGAGAACTTCGGTGAACTTAGTGAGGGTCTCAAGAGCATAAGTAAGGACCAGTCAGAAATGAAGAAGGCACTAACTGAAATAAAGAATAATTTACAGAGATTCAATAGTAGAGTAGGTAAAGCGAAGAAGCAAACCATCGATTTGCAATATAAGGAAGCAAAAAACATCAGAACAGCAAAAAGAAAAAAATAATCCAAAAAAATTAGGATAGTGTAAGGAGCCTCTGGGACAACTTCAAGATTTGCATCATGGGGGTGCCAGAAAGAGAAGAGAGAGAACAAGAAATTGAAAACCTATTTGAAACAATAATGACAGAAAACTTCCCTAACTTGGTGAAGGAAACAGACATACAAGTCCAGAAAGCACAGAGAGTCCCAAACAAGATGAACCCCAAGAGGCCCACACCAAGACACATCATAATCAAAATGCAAAAGTTTCAAGACAGAGAGAATCTTAAAAGCAGCAAGAGAAAAGCAGTTCGTTGCCTACAAGGGAGTTCCCATAACACTGTCAGCTGATTTCTCAAAAGAAACCTTTTGCAGGCCAGAAGGGAGTGGCAAGAAATATTCAGAGTGATGAAAAGCAAGAACCTACAACCAAGATTACTCTATCCTGCAAAGCTATCATTTAGAATCGATGGACATATAAAGAGTTTCCCAGACAAGAAAAAGCTAAAGGAGTTCATCACCACCAAACCATTATTATATGAAATGTTGAAGGATTTTCTTGAAGAAGAACAACAACAACAAAGACATGAGCAATAAAATGGCAATAAATACATATCTATCGACAATTGAATCTACAAACAAAATGAACAAGCAGAATAGAAACATTCTCATAGATACAGAGAACATTTTGTTGGTTGCCAGATGTGAGGGGGGTAGGGGGACTGGGTGAAAAAAGTAAAGGGATTAAGAAGTACAAATTGGTTGTTAGACTGACAAACCTCAAAGGGAAGGGGGGGTGGGGTGATGAGAAGAAATAAACCAAAGAACTTATATGCATAAATGCATAACCAAAGGACACAGACAACAGTGTGGGGAAAGGCAGGAGGGGGGCAGGGTAGGGAGGAGGGGGTCAATAGAGGAAAAAGAAGGAACAGCTGTACTACATTCAACAATAAAGATAAGTTTTTAAAAAAAAATAAATTAAAAAGATAAGAGGGGGGACAACAAACTAAATTCTAAAAAATCAACACCAGAAAAACATTTTAAGAACTAGAGGTGGTCGACAGTGCCCAATCTAGAGCCATACAGGAGGACAAGGACTTGAAACAGATGGTCTTTGACAACTAAATGCTGTGAGACAGCTGTTCTGTTAGGGGAGGACATAAAGTCAATCCATAAGGACTGAAGAGAAAGTAAAAGCAGTAAATATGGACTCTCACGTCTAGGATTTGAACAATTAAGGGATAGCCTAGGGAGAAGGAAGAGTAGGTGGAGAGAAGGGGGGAAAGGCAGAAGTAATGATACATTGGAATAATAAAAAACAACAACAACAAAGTCGGAGAACTTTATTCAACTTCAAGAATTATTTTTAAATGTACAGTAATCAAGAAGTGTGGTATTGGTATAAAGATAGACTTGTACATCAATAGGACAGGATAGCAAGTCCAGAAACAGATCCACATGTTTATAGCCAGCTGATTCTCAACAAAAGTATCAAGGCAACTCAATGGGAGAAAAGATAATCTTTTCAACAAATAAAGCTAGAACTGGATATCCATATATAAAAAATACAAATTTTGATCCTTACTTCGCACCATATATAAAAATTAACTCAAAATGTACCAGAGAGCTAAATGTACAATTTAAAAGCATACATCTTCAAGGAGAAAATCCTAATGATCTTGAGTTAGGCAATGTTTTTTTAAATAGTACACACATACACACACACACACACACACACAACACAAGCTATAAAAAAACTAATAAATTAAATTGTATCAAAATTAATGTTTTGGTCTGCTAAAGATAATGTTAAGTAAACAAAAAGACAACATACAAACTAGGAGAACATGTGTGCAAAACATCTATCCAAGAAAGGACTTATATCCAGAATAAATAAAGAACTTTTACAACTCAATAAAAGGAAGACACAAACTCCAATTTAAAATGGGCAAAAGATTTACAAAGATACTTCAAAGTAAATATACAGATGGCAAATAAGCATATGAAAAATTGTACATCATCATTAAGGAAATGCCTATAAAAACCAGAATTAGATGTCTCTACATGTTTACGGAATGGCAGAATAATTCAAAACATTAACAACATCAAACATTGTTGAGGTTGCGGAGCAGCTAGAACTCTCATGAACGGCTGACTGGGATGCAGAATAGAACAGCCACTTTGGAAACATGTAGCAGTTTCTTGTAAAGTTAAACATTACTTACCATATGACCAAGAGAAATGAAGAGATGTGTGTAAAAGATTTGTTGCAAACATTCATATCACAGCTTTATTTATAATAGCCAAAAACTAAAAGACTACAAATGTTCATCAACTGGTAAATGGATTACAATTTGTTATATCCATACAGTGTAATACTGTTACAGGCAACAATGTGACTGTCAAAGCATTATGATAAGACAAACACAATAGATTGTGTACTATATGATTACATATATATGAAATTCTAGAAAAAGCAAAGAAACAGTAATAGAATGCAGATCAGTAGTTGTTAGGGCCCGGCTGGCATGGCAGGAGGTTAGGAATTCATTGCAAAGTGTATGGGAGAACTTTTTGGGATGATAGAAATACTTTTCAATATGATCATGTGGGCTAATGTATAGCTGTGTTTATTTATCAAAACTCATAAAACTGGACACTCATAACTGGTGAGTTTTATGGCAAGTAAATTATAGTACCTCAAAAAAGCTGGTAGAGAAGGAGGGGAAAGAAGGAGAGGAGGAAAAGGAAATAGAAGGAGGAAGAGAACAGAGAAGAGGAAGAGGAGGGAAGGAGGAAGAAGAGAATGAATGATGCGGGCTCCATAAAGAAAGAGGCTTGTTTATCTATTCTTGACTACTTATACTCTGATTAAGAGTTAGTCAAGGGCCCAGCCATTGTGGCCCAGTGGATTGAGCATGGCCCCACGGACTGAGGGGTCTCAGTATGATTCCTGGTCAGGGCACATGCCTGGATTGTAGGCTTGATCCCCAGTAGGGGGGCGTACAAGAGGTGGTCAACCAATGTTTCTCTCTTACATCTATGTTTCTCTCTCTCCCTTCCTCTCTCTCTAAAAAAATCAATGAAAACATATTATTTTTTTAAAAAGTTAGTCAAGGACTAAGTACTAAAGGAGAAAACATCCTTAATTTTGAGAAATTTATAGTCTCAGTAATTTATAGTGAGACAGATGTGTAAACCAAGCACAATACAATGTGATAATTACTATAACAAAGATATATACAAAATGCCATGGGAAATAATAGAGATTTGGGGTGGGAAGAATAGAGGGTGTTATAATCATGTGAAATGAAATAAGGAGGTTAGTTTTCCCTAACCTCCACCACAGAGAAGAACTGAGAACTGATATGGAAACTTAAAAAGCCTATCTTTTGTCAGCCAAAGAATACCTGATCTCTAGAATATGTAAATCCTCAATCACCTGAAAGTTTAGTCTTTTCTTAACGAAAAAATTAGAGAGATTCCATTTCACTTACCGACGTCAGAAGTCGATGGTTCGCTTGCCTCACTGGCTGAAACACTGTCATTAGCTATAGCTTGTTGTTGGTTTGGAATGAGCCCAGAGATCATTCTTGACATTATTTCTTGTTCTACCCTAGAGGATAAAAGTTAAGGATTCCTAAATTTGATTGAAATGTATAAAGTGTTAGAAATAGCACCCTTAAAAATAACCTCCAACCATAAACACATTTACATGTGAAAGCAGTCATTCTAAAAGCTGAAAGAAGAAAAAAAATCAAATGTATCTCCTAGCAAAATAAACCACAGGAAACAGATCTTCATGTGGGAGATAATTCATTAAATCAGATTAAATTCTTTCAGATGAGTCTACAGAAAAGTTTAACAGACCTCATAAATTCATAAGAAGGTTTAGTTCTATGATTACACAGTATACCATGCACCTAAACTGTTCGGTTCTCTACTCTGAAAGCACACATGTAAAACCACACAAGATCAGAGCTGGAAAAGAAATCCAACTGCCCTCCCTTCAAGAAATAAATCAACAGACTGTAGTACAGGTAGGTAGTTTTCTTCTTAAAAAGGAAATAAAATTTATTTTCAAGGTAATTTTTAGGAAAAAGAAGGGGAAAGAAAAGAAATGCAATAGGAGACTACTTCTGTACATTACAGAAGGTAACAAACTGATTAAAAATTATTATTATACAAGTAATAGATGATAATTGTAGAAAACTCAGAAAATGTATAAAAATTTAAAAAATAGATAAGGTTCACTCATAATCCAAGATTCAAGGACAAACACAGTTAACAATTTGGTATATGTTTTTCTATTTTTTTCCCTATGCACATTTATTTTGAAGTAAGTTCTTATAAACTACAGTTAATCATTAGTATCTAGCTCTCGCTGTTGTGGCTCAGTGTTGAGGGTGAAGGCCTATGCACTGAAAGGTCACGGGTTTGCTTCCCACTCCAGGGCACGTACCTGGGTTGCAGGTTCATCCCTGACCCTGATCAGGGCACATGTGGGAGGCAACCAATTGATATGTCTCTCTCACATCGATGTCTCTGTCTCCCTCTCTCCTTCCCTTCCTCCCTCTCCCTCTCTTCCTCCCTCCCTTCCACTCTGTCTAAAGATCAATGGAAAAAATATCCTGAGGAGAATTAACAACAACAAAAAAATCATTAGTATCCTACTTCATTTATGCACCAGTGATTTATTAATATACTTCAACATCATTAAACATTTTTCTAAACCTAATCTTGGTAACTGTATTAATATTCAGTTTAGTTTATTCCATAACTTCCTTAAGGTTTCTCACAGGGATAAAAATAGAGTTCATTGCCTGGCCAGTGTAGCTCAGTGGATTGAGCTTCCTCCTATGGACTGAGAGGTCCTGGTTCAATTCTCGGTCAGGGCACATATGCCCTGGTTGCGGCCTTGATCCCCGGTAGGTGGCATTCAGGAGGCAGCCAATAAATGTTTCTCACATCGATGTTTCTATCTCTTTCTCCCTTTCTCTCTCTCTCAAAAAAAAAAAAAAAAATACAATAAAAACTTATTTTTTAAAAAATAGAGTTCCGCCCTGGCCGGTTTTGCTCAGCGGTTAGAGCATCGGCCTGCGGTCCAGAGAGACCCGGGTTCAGTTCTCGCTAAGGGCACGTGCCTCGGTTGCAGTTTGTCCCTGGCCCTGGTTGGGTTGTACAGGTGGCAACCACTTGATGTGTCCCTTTCACGTCGATGTTTCTCTCTCTCTCTCTCCCTCCCACTCTATCTGAACAAGAAATGGAAAAATGTCCTCGGGTGAGGATTAAAAAAAAAAAAATAGAGTTCCTAAGTTTATGTAAGTAACAAACAAAACAGTGCCTTGTCTGTAATAAGCACTATACCTGCTAAGTAATCTATGGCCTAGTGGCAGAACTGTAATTATTTTCTTAGGATAGATTTCTGGAAGTGAATCACTGGACTGAAGAACATGTACATTTCTAAGGCTTTGTTACTTAACAACAGCCTCTTTTGCCATAATAGACAGTCTAAATACAAATATTCAAGGACAGAAATAATACCTCCAACAATTAGTTAAAGACTAAATACTACATCAAACAGTTTCCTGTGCCCTGGCCGGTTTGGCTTGGCGGTTAGAGTGTTGGCCCATGGACCAGAGAGTCCTGGGTTCGGTTCCCACTAAGGGCATGTACCTTGGTTGCTGTCTGTCCCCGGCCCCGGTTGGAGTCGTGTGGGTGGCAGTCACTCGATGTGTCTCTCTCACATCGATGTTTCTCTCTCTCTCTCCCACTCTATCTGAAGATAAATGCAAAAATGTCCTCAGGTGAGGAAAAAAAAAGTTTCCTGTGACTATAGCAAAGGAAAGAAATTTAATAAATGAAAGGAGACAAGAAAGATTTTCAACCTAAACTCAATACTTTCCATTAATGTTTGCGACTACAATTCTGTTAACATCAACATCACTGTAAACTCACCACTGAATTAAACTATTTTCCAATGTTTCTTTTCTCTGAATTACTTGATCCAGAATATCAGCAGTGGGCTGTAAAGCAGAAGCAACTGGTGGAAACGGAGGACCATTATATTTTGTAGAAGCAACTTTAACACTTCTATTAAACTCCAAAATTGGTTCAGAATATTCTGGAATTTCATCACATTTTTCCTCTTCCTGGTAATAATAAAAACAAAACTATTATATTCATATGTCTGTTCAACATTTTCTGAGTGACAAGTATAGGTAGAGAACTTATGTAGATGAACTAACCAACACTTCTAAATTAATCAACAGCATTTCAATTAGATTGATCACGTTATTTATAATATACACATTTGTCTATCATATGGAAAAATACTGGTAGAAAATGGTTTCTAAGATGTTACCTGTATAACATCAATTACTTCATCAAAGTCAGTTCCTGGAAACTTCATCTCTTCTTCATCCACCTTCATTAATTCTGGAGTCTAAGAAAGCATTTTCAAAAAGTTTTTGTTGTGCTTAAGGTCTTTTTAATTTATACATTATTTATCATATTTCTACCAATAGTATAAGCTTGTAATACATTGTCCTATTTTTTAATTTCAATGTCCTATTCAGGATTTATTTCATTAGCAAATGAAATCCAAGACACTCCCAAAGTCATTGGGTTCTCATTTCTATAGTGATAAAAATTTAAATATAAGTTTGTCGAGGACTCTATCCACAATGCAGCTTAAGTCAAGCTGATAGGATTGTGATTTCTCTCCTAGAGTTAAGATAAAGTGTTCATATGTGTAGATATGTAAGTATACACATACAAATTCACAGAAAGACATATGCAGAATTAAATAATTCAGAATGATAAATAAAATAGTTATTTTACAAATTTAGCCTCCAGACCCTCACTGTAAGTAATCCAGTTACCTAAAACCACAATAGTCTCTTCCTGAAAGCAGAATGATAAACAGTCCGAAATTATTATTTCTAATCATATATGTTTTAATAAATTTCTGGTGAAAAAAACTACTGTTAAAAATTAAATTAGGCACAAATGCATTTGGGGTCAGCTCTATTTACTATTATTTCTGATTATGAAAAATTGTTGGTTTTCTTCCTCTCCTTAACTGTATCCTTGAGGACCAAATTTGCATACAATAGATGAAAATATGAAAAATTACAGTGCTATTTTGATGTGTAGTAGAGTTAGAACTTCATTACTCAGTAGCAAATAAATACTAAAAAGAAATGCATATTTGTGTACTATGTCAATAAATAGTATAATGACAAAGTAACATCCCAAAACATAAACTCTAATTATCACTATAAAATTCACATTCAGAAAACTATATTTAATTCCCATTTAAGATTGAGATTCTTCTCCAAAGAGATCAAAATTCTTTCTTCACATATGACAGTCTAACAAATTAAGTGACCAAAAAGTTACACTGAGGATTATCACTTTCAAGTGTTTATAAATGTAAGAACCTTAAAGTTTCAGATTCATTATGAATCTTCTCCTTAAAACCTAAATTATTATAAATGAATTATAATTATGATGACAGACTTTGCAGGGAAAAACATTAGTTAAATCTATGAGACATTACTCAAAACTATAAAGTAGATTTCTAAACAATACCCGAATCCAGGTGTTCAGAGGAGGAGGAGATGCTTGACTGGGACTAGTAAGAGATGGACTGACATCAATGCTGCCATTTGAAATGCTGTCAATATCTACATTGGGTAATACCTAAAACAGAACACATCATCTAGCTTTTTCCGTTCATTTTGACTCAAATATTTGTTCATGTATATATCAATAACATATATTTAACTTTTTATTGCAAAGTAAATGGGAAACAATTTTTTAATTATGAAAAGATAATTTATAGCCCTGGCCAGTTTGCCTCAGCGGTTGGAGCGTAAGCCCACAGACCAGAGAGTCCAGGGTTCGGTTCCCGCTAAGGGCATGTACCTTGGTTGCAGTTTGTCCCCAGCCCCAGTTCAGGTTGTGTGGGTGGAAACCACTCGATGTGTCTCTCTCATGTCGATGTTTCTCTCTGTCTCTTCCTCCCTCTCACCCTCCCACTGTATCTGAAGATTAAATGCAAAAATGTCCTCAGGTGAGAATAAAAAAAAAAAAAAAAAAAGATAATTTACAAAAGTTAGAAAATAAGGGGGAGCCCTGGCTGGTTTGGCTCAGCAGTTAAAGCATCAGCCTGCGGTCCAGAGAGACCCAGGTTCGGTTCCCGCTAAGGGCATGTACCTCGGTTGCAGTTTGTCCCTGGCCCTGGTTGGTTGTGCGGGTGGCAGCCACTCGATGTGTCTCTTTCACGTCGATGTCTCTCTCTCTCTCTCTCTCTCTCTCTCTCTCTCTCTCTCTCTCTCTCCCTCCCACTCTATCTGAATTAAAAAAAAAGAAAATAAGGGGGAATACACAAAATCCTACTATCTTAAGAAAACTGCATTTTCATTATTTCCTTTATCTTTTTACTATTCACTTACACATAGCTAAAATATAAAATAATTTCCTTCCTGATTTTTCAACATAATTAGATCATAATCTTATCATACTTCCATATAGACTTCATAATTACATTTTTTAACTTATCTTTACTGCTGAATGTATGACAGATGTTTCCCCCCTTTTTTCCCCCATTGACCCCCTCTCCTCCCCAATCCTGCCCATCTCCAGCCTTCCCCACACTACTGTCGGTGTCCATTGGCATATATGGACAGAAGTTCTTTGGTTTATGTCATTCCACCCTCCCTCCCCGCATCCTTTTGAGGTTCATCAGTCTAACAACCAATTTGTACTTCTTAATTCCTTCATCCTTTTCACCCATCCACCCAGCCGCCGCCCATCTGGGAAACAACAAAAAGTTCTCTGTGTCTATGAATCTGTTTCTGTTCTGCTTGCTCATTTTGTTTGTAGTTTCAATTGTTGATAGATATGTATTAATTGCCATTTTATTGTTCATATTTTTGTTCTTCTTCTCCTTGAAGGAGACCCTTCAACATTTCATATAAGACTGGTTTAGTGGTGATGAACTCCTTTAGCTTTTTCTCGTCTGGGAAACTCTTTATATGACCATCGATTCTAAATGATAGCTTTGCAGGACAGAGTAATCTTGGTTGTAGGTCATTGCTTCTCATCACCTTGAATATCTCTTGCCACTCCTTTCTGGCCTGCAAAGTTTCTTTTGAGAAATCAGCTGACAGTCTATGGGAGCTGCTTTTCTCTTGCTACTTTTAAGATTCTCTCTTTGTATTTAAACTTTGGCATTTTGATGATGATGTGTCTTGGTGGACCTCTTGGGTTCCTATTGTTTGGGACTCTCTGTGCTTCCTAGACTTGTATGTCCTTCACCAAGGTAGGGAAGTTTTCTGTCATTATTGTTTCAAATAGGTTTTCAATTTCTTGTTCTCTCTCTTCTTCTGGCACCCCTATGATGCGAATATTGGCACGCTTGAAGTTGTCCCAGAGGCTCCTTACACTATTCTCATTTTTTAAAAATTCTTTTTTCTCTTTGCTGTTCTGACTGGGTGTTTTTTGTTTCCTTATATTGCAAATCAATGGTTTGCTTCTTGGCTTTACCTACTCTACTAATTATTCTTTATTTCAGTTAGTGCCTCCTTCATTTTTGTCTGGTCCTTTTTGATGTTGTTTATGTTCTCACTAAGTTCCCTGGAGGTCTCCTGAAGTTCCTTGAAGGTCTCCATAAGTTCTTTGAATGTCTCACCAAGTTCCTTGAGCAAACTTAATAACCTGTGTTTTGAACTCTGCATCTGATTTATTGCTTATCTCCATTTTGTTCAATTCTTTTTCTGTAGTTTTGTTCTTTTCTTTCATTTGAGACATGTTTCTTTGTCTCCTCATTTTGGCTGCCTCCCTGTGATTGTTTCTATGTATTAGGTAGAGTTGCTATGTCTCTTAGGCTTCATGGGGCGGCCTATTACTGTGGGTGTCCTGTAGGATCTATTGGCAAAGCCTTCCTGATCACCCCAGCTGGACCCTCGAGGTGCACCCCTAGTATGGACTGTATACCATTCTGTTGTAATTGAGTCTTGATTGTTGTTGGCACATCAACAGGAGGAATTTACTCAGGCTTATCAGCTGCAAGGGCTGGTTGTGCCCACTGCCCACTGACCCCTGACTACCTTGGAGGATCAGCTGTGTAGGGGCCAAACACACAGAGCAAGACTTACTTCATCAGGACTCTGGTACCCACTGAGTCCGCTCATTGAGTGTGTCACTTGTGGAGGTGGTTGGGTGGTGCTGCTTCGATCTGGTCGGAAGCTGTCCACTGGGGGTGCTGGCTCTAGGGCAAGGTCAGCCACTGCCAGTGTTCTAGCTGGGGCTACCCGTCATAAGCTACAAAGTGATCTGCAGATGGCTGCTTCTTGAGCTGGGCTTGGAGAAAACACCAAGTTGTGAACCTAGGCTGGTTGCTTCTAATGCCAGGCCTGGGGCCACTTGATGAGAGGTAGAGGGCTCGCTGAGACCAGATGGTACTTATTTGAGAGAATTTAGGAGACCCTGAAGCAGGATCCAAGACAGACCAATACTACAGTAAAGCCTTTGGATACAGGTTGGGGGCCTGAAAGTTGGGTATGGCGGGAGCTTGGAATCACCAGGGCGGGGCAAACAGTGTGAGCCAGGTTGCTGGAGTCCCAGATATGGCAGCCATGTGTCACCCCAGGGAAGGGCTCACCAAAGGAACATTAGCCTCCACAAGCACATCTGTACAGGAGAAAGCCACCTCTCCAGCCCTCATCCCAAGGCCAAACAGCTCAGTTCTTCCCTGTATGTCTCTGGTGCCTCTCAAGCTGCATCCCCTCCAAGCTTAGAGGAAGCAAGTCCAAGTAAGTCCGTGCAAAGGACCTTTAAGAACTGCCTGGGGCTCCAGCAGCCTCAGCCTCCCTCAGTCTCAGTTCCCGCTGGTTTTTCCAGACAGAAGTTATAGGGACTTCTCTTCCTGGCATTAGGAACCCTGAGCTGGGCACCTGGTGTGGGACGAGGACCCCTCACTCCTCAAGGAGAACCTTCCCAGCTGAGGTATCCTCCTGATTTTTTTTTTTTATCCTCACCCAAGGATATTTTTGCATTTATCCTCAGAGCGGGAGGGAGAGAGTGAGGAAGAGAGAGAAACATCAATGTGAGAGAGACACATCATGGGGTTGCCATCCACACGACCCCAACCTGGGCCGGGGACAAACCACAAGTCCCCAATCAAGGTACGTGCCCTTAACAGGAACTGAACCCAGGTCTCTCTGGTCCATGGGCTGATGCTCTAACCACTGAGCAAAACCAGCCAGGGCTATCCTCCTGATTTTTATCCACCACATATGGGTGTGGGACCAGCCTGTCCTTGCCTCCGCCCTTTCTACCAGACTCAATGTAGCTGCTTCTTTAATTTCATAGTTGTAGGACTTCCATTCAGCTTGATGTCAGGTGGTTCTGAATGATGGTTGTGTTGTAGTTTAGTTGTAATTTTGATGTGGTTCCATAATTACACTTTAAATGACTGTATAATATTTCAACAAATATACATGCCTTAATTATATAATCATTTTTCTGTTGGTAAACATTTAGGATATTCCTAATATTTCCACTATTATATGTTTAAATCACTACAAAAAACTTCTTCATATATATATATATATAGGGTTTATTTCCTTAAATTTTTAATTATATTAGATAGGCAGATACTAAATTAAATTCTGGAACCACAGTGCACGAATATTTAAGATTCTTGATAATTACTGCCAAAATGTTATCCAAATGAGCTCTATTTACATGATCAAAAAATATCATCAATTAAAAGTTTTATCCAACCTTCAACCAAATTAGATCATTGTTTTGGCAATAACAGTTTTTAAGTGGAAGTATATTATTTTATTATTGTATTATCTGGAGAACTAGCAAGATTTAAATTACTCATTTTCCTTATTTATAAACATATAATGTCTTTCTTCTTTAGAGACATTCATGTTCTTTGAATATTTCTGGATTTGCATCTATGTTCTTATTAATTTATGGAGGTTTTATATTTTTAAATTAATCATTTCTAGCATATTCCTTTCATACGTTCTTACTTTATGTGGTTGTCCTTTTTATTTAGGAACTTTTTACATATTTAAGTTTTAGATTTTACAGATTCAAATCTATTTTGATATCCTATCTAAGTTTTCTTGTCTCATATTCAGACTTAGCTTCTGCTTTGATAAAGATTCCATACAATTATCTTCTAATTCTTCTATATTTTTATATTTTGTAGTTACACAATGGCCTATTGCCTGCTTGGAATTCATTTGCTATATACAGTAGGAGTTTTAGAGTCTAAAACTGACCTATTTTCCGCATTGTTAACCAATTGTAACATACATGATTTCATTCACAAGAATCCTATTTCCCGCCCTAGCTGGTTGCACAGTGGTTAGAGCATCAGCCTGCGGTGCAGAGAGACCTGGGTTCGGTTCCCGCTAGGAACATGTACCTCAGTTGCAGTTTGTCCCCGGCCCTGGTTGGGTCATGCGGGTGGCAACCACTTGATGTGTCCCTTTCACGTCAATGTTTCTCTCTCTCCCTCCCACTCTATCTGAACAAAAAATGGAAAAATGTCCTCAGGTGAGGATAAAACAAACAAACAAAAAAAGAATCCTATTTCCCACTGATTTATTCAACACATATTACATTGTTTTAAATAACCAACACAATTTCTGAAATACTTTTTTATACAGGACCAGTACTATAACACTTTAACTTTTCTAAACCCTTTGTTCCTTCAAATATCAAAATGATCCTAAAGTTCAAGTTAAAAGCAATGTTTTTTTCATTACAATTGCACTTAATTTATACATATAAGGAAGAACTGACTACTTGAATATTTAATCTTCACACATTAAGTCCTTTCTCCATTCAAGTCTTTGTATATATGCCTGTATAAAGATTGAAATATTAGTTATATAAGTCACAAACACTGTATTTTTCAAATTAGTTATATTTTATTCAACTGTTCCCTTTAGAATATCATCAAGCCACCTGGATATGAGTCTTTGGCTTAGAAAAGGTAGCTTAAAGCATGAAAAGCAAGGATAGAGACATTACATTAAAACCATAGTTTTAAAGAACAAAAGACCCATGAAGAAAGCAAAGTTTTTATGAAGAAATATTATAGATTTTAAGTACTAAAGTTAAGCCAAAGATTTTATTTTATTTGCTTAATCCTCACCTGAGGATATTTTTCCCTTTTAGAGTGGAAGGGATGGAGGGAGAGAGAGAGAAACATCAATGTGAGAGAGACACATCTTTTGGTTGCCGCCTGCACAACCCCAACTGGGGCTGAGACTGAACCAGCAACTCAGGTACATGCCCTTAAGAGGGAACTGAATCCTTGACCCTTTGGTCTGAGAACTGATGCTCTAACAGCTGAACCAAACCAGCCAGGGCAGATTTAAAAAACATTTTTTTCTTTATTGATTTTAGAGAGAGGAAAGGAGAGGGAGAGAGAGAGAAACATCGATAAGATAGAACAGACTGGCTGCCTCCTGCATGCCCCCCACTGGTGATTAGGCCTATAACAGGGCATGGGCTCTGACTGGGAATCAAACCAGCGACCTCTTGGTGCATGGCTGACACTCAACCACTGAGCCAGACCAGCCGGGCAGATTTTATTTTTTCTAAAACACTTCTGTTTATGCGCCTTGGCATACCTGTACAGTAAGCTGAGGAGGATCCTTTTTTTCTGACTTCATTTCTACAACTGCTATGTTTGGTTTCTTTATTCCAGTTCCTGTTTTTCGAGTTGATGGAGGAATAGAAGTAGTCACTGTTACAGGGTGCGGCTTGTTTACAATTACTCCAGCAGGTGGCATGGAATCACTATTACTTTGGGTTTGTCCTAAAAAGTTTGGGGGAGAAAATGAGTCAACCATTTCAGAAATAAAGAAAAAATTCTAATACACAACCTAGACCTTTATGGCTGAATTCACCTATGAAAGAAAAGCACCATATGCAATCAACTTTTCCCTCTAGCATCACCATTGCCAACAAACTGTGTCATCCTTTACACTTACTTGGTACTAATGTGTACTAAACACTTCACATGCACTACCTAATTTAACCTTCAAAATAAACCTACAAGGTATTAATATAATCTGCATTTTACTGGGGAGGAAACAGAGGTTTAGAAATATAATTTGCCAAAGGTCATACTGTTTGTAAGTGCCAAAGCCAAGAATAAAGTATATTTCATTTATTGCATTATTTTCACCAAGATGTCCCCGGTTCAATTCCCAGTCAGGACACATGGCCGGGTTGTGGGCCAGATCCTCAGTGGGGAGCGTGCGGGAGGTGGCCGGTTGATGTTCTCTCCCACTGATGTTTCTATCTCTCTCTCCCCTCTCTCTAAAATCAATAAAAAGGAAAGAAAAAATTTTTAATTAAAAAAAAAAGTTAATTTATTGCATTACTTTTATTCTCAAATCTTCATAGAGCAACAATGGACAGAAATAAAACCAACAACAAAATACTAATATTTGACCACTAATAAACAGCATGTAGGCCAAGTATTTGATGATTATCATAGCTGTCCAAAACATGTTAGCTTTCAGTTCAAAAGTTCTACTTGTTATGGCACAGAGCACTCATTAAAAACACAGACTCTAAATAAAGCCAAACCACCTGGATTTGAATCTTGGCTCCACTCAATGTATGTAACCTTTGACAAATTACTGAACTCCTCTGTGCCTTCGATTCTTCATCTATAAAACTGGTACATTACTGTGTGTTTTATAGAGTGGATTAAATAAGTTAATATATGTAAAGTGCTTAGATCTGTACTTGGAACACAGTAAAAACTTTTTTTTCTTTTCTTTTTTTTTTTTTTTTAATCTTTATTCTTGAAGGTATTATAGATGTTTCTCATTTTTCCCCCATTAACCACCTCCTCCCTACTCCCTGCCCACTCCCACCCTTTCCCACACTATTGTCTGTGTCCATTGGTTATGCATATAAGTTCTTTGGTTTATTTCTTCCCACCCACCCACCCTCTAACCCCTTTCCCTTTGAGGTTTACAGTCTAGCAACGAATTTGTATTTTTTAATCACTTCACCTTTTTCTCATTCCCCCAAGCCCCTCCCATCTGGCAACCAACAAAATGTTCTCTGTATCTTTGAGAATGTTTCTGTTCTGCCTGTTCATTTTGTTTGTAGATTCAATTGTCGATAGATATGTATTCATTGCCATTTTGTTTGTTCATATTTTTTATCAAAAGACCCTTCATCATTTCATACAATAATGGTTTGGTGGTGATGAACTCCTTTAACTTTTTCTTATCTGGGAAACTCTTTATATGGCCATCGATTCTAAATGACCGCTTTGCAGGATAGAGTAATCTTGGTTATAGGTTCTTGCTTTTCATCACTCTGAATATTTCTTGCTACTCCCTTCTGGCCTGAAAAGTTTCTTTTGAGAAATCAGCTGACAGTCTAATGGGAACTCCCTTGTAGGTAACTAAATGCTTTTCTCTTGCTGCTTTTAAGATTCTCTCTTTGTCTTGAACCTTTTGCATTTTGATGATGATGTGTCTTGGTGTGGGTCTCTTGGGGTTCATCTTGTTTGGAACTCTCTGTGCTTCCTGGACTCGTATGTCTATTTCCTTCACCAAGTTAGGGAAGTTTTCTGTCATTATTATTTCAAATAGGTTTTCAATTTCTTGTTCTCTCTCTTCTCCTTCTAGCACTCCCAAGATGCGAATATTGGCACGCTTGAAGTTGTCCCAGAGGCTCCTTACACCATCCTCATTTATTTGGATTCTTTTTTCTTTTTGCTGTTCTGATGGGTGTTTTTTGCTTCCTTATATTCCAAATTGATGGTTTGCTTCTTGGCTTTACCTACTCTACTACTGAATCTGTGTAAATTATTCTTTATTTCAGTTAGTGCCTCCTTCATTTCTGACTGTGCATCCTCATTTCTGACTGGTCCTTTTTTATGCTCTTGAGGCCCTCACTAAGTTCACTGAGGTTCTCACTAAGTTCACTGAGCATCCTTATAAGCAGTATTTTGAACTCAACATCTGTTAGGTTGCTTATCTCCATTTCACTTAGTTCTTTTCCTGAGGTATTGTTCTGTTCTTTCATTTGGGACCTGTTTCTCTGTCTCCTTATTTTGGCTGCCTCCCTGTGTTTGTTTCTGTGTATTACTTAACGAGAGGTATGGGGCTATCTGAGACCAGATGCTGCTTATTTGAAAGAATTTAGGAAAACCTGAAGCAGAATCCAAGACAGGCCAATCCTATGGTAAAGCAACTGGCAACAGCTTGGGTGGGTTTGAAAGTTGCGTGGGGCAGGGCCTCAGGGAATCACCAGGGCAGGGCAACCAGTGTGATCCAGGTTGCTGGAGTCCCAGATATGGCAGCTGTCTGGCACCCCAGGGAAGGGCTCACTAAAAGAACAAAGGCCTTTTAGACAGCACGTTTGTCCCGGAGAAAGCCTCCTCTCCAGCCCTTGCTCCAATGCCAAACAGCTCGGTTCTTCCCTGTATCTCTCTGGTGCCCCTTGAGCTGTCTCCCCTCTAAGCTTAGAGGGAGGGAGTCCGATAAGTCCGTGCACAGGCCCTTTAAGGAGCTGCCTAGGGCTCCAGCCGCCTCAGCCTCCCTGAGCCTCAGTTCCCGCTGTTTTTTCCAGCCAGAAGTTATGGGGATTCTCTTCCTGGCACTGAACCCTGAGCGGGGCACCTGATGTGGGACGGGGACCCATCAGTACTCAGGGAGGACCTTTCCAGCTGAGGTGACCTCCTGATTTTTATCCGCCACACGTGGGTGTGGGAACAGCCCCTCTGCCTCCGCCCCTCCTACCAGTCTCGATGTGGCTGCTTCTTTAATTCCGTAGTTGTAGGACTTCCATTCAGCTTGATTTCAGGCGGTTTTGAATGATGGTTGTTCTGTAGTTTAGCTGTAACTTTGACGTGGTTGTGGGAGGACACGATACCGTGTTTACCTACACTGCCATCTTGTCCAAAAGTTCTAAAAACTTTTTAAGTATTAGCTATTATACTAGTAGAAGGTATGTTTAAACAGACATTAGCCACCAAGTGGACATGCCATTAATCCATAATATCAAAAACAGAAAATTCTCTCATGTTGAGAAATATTCATATTTATTTATTTATTATTGTTGAAAGTATTACAGATGTCCCCCTTTGTTCCCCACTGACTCCCTCCTTTCCACTCCTACACTTTATATCATCCATCAAAATTAAGAAAGAATAGCAATGACACTGAAAGAAAAAAATAGCTAACTACTGAGAGCAAAAATGATGTAATCAATCTTTACAATGATGAGCCTGAGAGACCTCAAATAAGTAAATAACCAATTTTGGCTTAGACTACACCACTACACAATTTTACTTATCACAGCCTAGTTCAAAGGTACATAAAAAAGGTACTTTAAAGCACTTCCCCTAACATGATGATATTAGACAAGTCAAAATTCTTGAACTCTTTAATTTTATGAATGTCAATATTTAAACATTTTAAAATTTTCATTTCCTCTACAGCATTGTATTATAAATACCAAAAGAATGTTTCCTGTAAGCAGGAACTCATCATTTCAGAGACATTCTGAGGTCCTTCCGACAAATATAAACCGCATAAAAGGTAGGTGACCATCATGTCAGCGCCATTCTATAACTTCTTCTACTGCTAATATGAATTTTAAATTTACCAATAAATTTTGTTAGATCTTACCTAAAAGAACTGCCATAGGAATTAGATGACCTTCCAGTGTGCCTGAAACAGCAGGCATTTCTCTGCTTGGGCTGAACAAATACTGCTGATCACCAGGAGGCAGCGTAGCAACGGAATGTTGCAGTTTAGATTCTATCTTCTTGGGTTTCGTTGCATAAAAGTCAGTTTGTGTTCTTATTGACTTTACTTTAGTGCCTGTAATAATCATCAATGACAGATATTTTAAAATATCGCTTGCGCCCTGGCTGGTTTGGCTGAGCGGTTAGAGCATCGGCCTGTGGTCCAGAGAGACCTGGGTTCAGTTCCTGCTAAGGGCACGTACCTCGGTTGAAGTTTGTCCCCGGCCCTGGTTGGGTCATGCGGGTGGCAACCACTCGATGTGTCCCTTTCATGTCGATGTTTCTCCTTCTTTCTCTCTCCCTCCCACTCTATCTGAACAAAAAATGGAAAAATATCCTTGGGTGAGGATAAAAAAATAATAATAATGATAAAAATAGCCCTAGCCGGTTTGGCTCAGCAGTTAGAGCGTCAGCCTGCGGTCCAGAGAGACCCGGGTTCGGTTCCCGCTAAGGGCGTGTACCTCGGTTGCCGTTTGTCCCCGGCCCTGCTTGGGTTGTGCGGGTGGCAGCCACTCGATGTGTCCCTTTCACGTCGATGTTTCTCTCTCTCTCTCTCCCTCCCACTCTATCTGAACAAAATATTGAAAAATGTCCTCAGGTGAGGATTAAAAAAATAAATAAAAAATAAATATTAAAATAATAATAAAAATAAAATATCACTTGAATATCTACTATCCAGCCATCTAGAAATGTATAACTCTTCTTCATGGAAAGATCTCAGTCTATATAGGGTTACAGTGTGCCACCAAAAAAAGTAACATATAAACCAGGCATTGGCAAACTTTTTATTAAATGACCAGATAGTAAATGTTTTAGTCTCATGGGCAATGAAGTCTCAAGTGCAGCACTGTAGCATGAAAGCAGTCATAGACAATACATAAATAGAGCATATTTATGTTCCAATAAAACTTTACTTAAAAAAACAGGCAGTTGACCTGCAGACCATGGTTTCTCAACCCCCGAATATAAGTCGCTTACACAACTACTATGACAAAATAGATACAAGGACCAGGAACAAGTGTTGAATAAAGATTTGGAAGAATATTCTGACCATATTATTTTTACTCATTAGAATTTTTTCCTATAGGTATAAAAAGTTAATGATCATTTTTGGAATTGGATTTTTTTCATTCTTTTATTAGACCTTACTCATGACATAATTTTGAATTATCAGCTTTCATCCTTTGAAATTATTTACAGATAATCAAATTCTATTAAAACCTTACAGACAGCCCTAGCCAGTGTGACTCAGTTGGTTTGAGTGTCATTCTATATACAAAAAGGTGGTCAGGGCACATGCCCAGGTTGTGGGTTTGATCCCCAATTGGGGCACATAGGAGAGGCAACTGATCGATGTTTCTCTCTCACATTAATGTTTCTTTCTCTCTCTCTCAAATCAATTTTTTCAAAAACCTTACAGGTGTTAATATCATTATACATTTTTTTCTATTTCTATAAAGTAAATCTGTATAGACATTAAATTCTCAATTCTTAAAGGATTAGAAACTTGGTTATCTGTCTCTTTGGAGAAGATAAATGGAATATGAGAAAAGTAAAAGTATAAAAAAAAACAACTATTTTCTAAATAAATTCCTCACATTACTTCATTTCTACTTTTAATACATGAGTAGTTTTACAAATCAAGACTCTGAAATAAAATTTCATGATTCCAGGAAGAAAATTTTAGTACCACCATCTATATATTTTCATCCTGTTCTCTAGTATTCATTCTATTAAAAAAACATTTTTCTTGAGAGTTTATTGAAGATGTCTTTTCCAAGCATTTAAAATGTGTTTTATTCACTGCAGACACAGGGAATAAAGCACTGAATAAACCAACTGTATTCACAGAGCTTACAGTCTAACAAGAAAAACAATCAGTAAACAAAAAACATCAGACAGTCAAAAGTGCTATCAAGAACAATAAGGCAGGGCAAAGGGATATAAAGGGACAGGAGATAATTTTTTTGGCCAGGATGGTCTGGGTAACCCTCTCTGAGGAGCTCATATCCCAGAGCAGAGACTGAAAGAATGGAGAGAGTGAGCCATACCAGCATCTAAGGGAACAGCTCTTCAGGAACAGGAAACAACAGGTACTGAAGTCCAAGGATGCATGTGTCCACAGACTCTCAATCACCATTAAAAGGGTTGCTTAATAAAGTTATTTTTAGATTTGAAAGTATTTTAAAATCTCAAGTTAATTTTTGCAAAGACTTTCAAAACCCCAAATATAATTTAATAGAAAAGTTCCAATAAACAAGAAGAAACATTGGGGTAAATATCATCTATAAGTTATATGCTATACTATAATAACATCAGTGGGCTTTCTAGATAAACTGACTTGCTTGTACAATCACCTAACTCTTAGAAATAAAATAAAAATAAAACTAAAGCACCTGCCACAGCTCCAACTTCTAGAAAGGATAAGAAAGAAAACTGAGTTGGTATTTACTAGTTACCACATATTGGCAAAGTGGCTTACTTACTGTTAAAGTACAAGTTGAGCAACTTCACAATGTAACAGACTCAATATATATCTAAAAGTTATATTGAAATATACCAGTGATATAATAACTGTGAGTAAAACATACAGTGATAAGTGAAGATATTTTTAGTTGTGTACAAAATAACCAAAAGCTGTTTTCACCTTTGCTACCTATGGCTCTTTGAGAACAAACAAAATTGCGAAAGTGCCCATGAGCATTTTTATAATACACAGCATATGGTTGATCTTTCTGTTCATAAAGAACATGATGAACCAAGCTCTTGAAGGAAATGTCTACTTTCCCTAAATATAATTTAAATTGTTCACAGCTCATCTCATAAATGCAAATTTTATCACACTTTGTCTGAAGATACCATCTAATCCTATATTTTTTCCCACTTATTCCTACCTTGTACCTTGAATCAGGTCTATCTATTATTTCCTACTCTTTTGGGATTGTTTCCCTACCCCTAAACATTATATAATTTGAACTATACTTATAATAAATAAAAAGCAAAAACTAAACTTTACATATTAAACTGATACCATAAAAAATCAGGTTTACTACAAAAAATGAGGCTTCTTACCTTTAACTCGTTCTATTACTTTTGGTCTCTGTGGTTTGGACTTGGGAGATGGAGAATTAAATCTGAGATATGGTCCTTTTTTAAGAGTGCTGCGATGGCACTGATAAACTGGTTTTCCATAAATTTGTAACATATAATCTTCATTTTGCATCGCTGTGGTTGTTTTCAAAAAACCCTAAGTATACAAAGTTATTGAACTCACTAACAAAATAGTCATCAAACACTCATCTCATTTTTCTAAACCCCCCTTTTTCCAGCTTAAGTACTATAACAAAATGATCATGGCTGAAAGTCCTTTATTTTAAATGGTTCTTGAATTCTGGATATAGTTTTCAAAAGCATGAAAATTAAATATAAAAATCATCTACCTAAGAAACATGAAGGTTCTCACACTACTAGGAATATTTTCAGCACCAAACAGTAAGGTTTAAATACATTTTATACATTACATTCAAGTACAATGATATAACATAAATCAAGTCTTTAAGTGATTTTCTACATTTCTGATCCTATCTTTAATCATACCTAAATGCCACACAGAAAGGTAGCATTTATTGAGCATCTAAGTGCTAACCATTGAATTAGATGCTTAATTAATCTGCCCCCAAATCCGTATTTGGTATTCAGAAAGTTACGGTCTAGTTAGAGCAGCCAAAACATTCCCTCCATGACACCTAGTACTATGCTTCACAATCACTAGGCACTAAACATGCATTTGTTAAACTGAAAATAAATGAACAAAAAACATACATATATACACATAAAGATGAAAGTTCACTTTTAATGCCATGAACCACTAATTTTTGGACTAGATGATCTCTAGATATACCTGCTATAACTAAACTACTGTGATTCTAATTGTGAAATCTCAGAAGGAAGTAATTATGTATTTTATGCAGTGATTTCCACATTATGGATAGCCAAAGCCCTAAATATAAATAGTTTTAAATTAGTTTACGTTTGTATAGTCTTTCATATTTTTAAAACATTTTCATATTCTTCTATTTATATTGTAAAGGAAATAATTACTTTTAATGCAACATTTATGCCACAAAACCCGAGTAGGATCTTACCTCTTTTCTCTCTTTCTGTAAACTTGAAGCAGGCGTGCTCCTCATAGGTGGATTTCTAAAGTGCTCCTCTTTTTGTTTTTGACAATGTTTTCTTGGAATTACAGAATTATTTATTGTTTTGCTTTGCTTATTGGTTTTAATATCTTTACTCACATTCTGAGCTTTCTTGGTCCATTGATTCTTCTGATCAAAAATCTTTTGTTCATAGTCTTTTTTTGCCAGTTCATCCTTAACATAACAAAAATTAAAATTGCTTAAAATCTATCCAAGTTCTAATGCTTCCACATCAAAAGTATTAAAACATATTCTTCTGTTATAAAAATATAATTTGGCAGTTTTAAATGCTTTATAAATAAATGATATTGGCTTACATATGAATAAAAATTCTCGGGAAGAATGAACAAAAAACTAAAAAGACTGGTGTCTTTCGGAGCAGGGCAAAGGAGAAATAACAAATGAGGTACACAGGGTAAGGGGACAACTTTTCATTATAGACCTTTTCACATTTTTTTATGTTTGAACCATATGACTGTAGAAACTGTTCAAAAATTAAATTGAAAACATAAATTGCCAAAAGTAAAACTTTGTAATAAAACTCTAAAATAAATATTTATAAATCAGAGTTGCTTGAAGGTTTAAGCAAATATTTTGCATGGAACCCACAGTAACAGGGTAACATATTGCTCGTTGTCTGCAGAGCCACAGCTGATCTCCAAGTCTTCTGACTCTTAGTTCTGCTTTTTTCTGGTGCATCATATAGTAGCTATGAATTCTTTATTTTTTTTTAATTCTCACCCAAGGACATTTTTGCATTTATCTTCAGATAGAGCAGGAAGGAAAAGAGGGACAAAGAGAGAGAAACATTGACGTGAGAGAGACACACCAAGTGGCTGCCACCCACACGACCCCAAAAGGGCAGGGGACAAACCGCAACCAAGGTACGTGCCCTTCGCGGGAACCGAACCCAGGTCTCTCTGGACTGTGTGCTGATGCTCTAACCACTGAACAAAACCAGTCAGGGCAGTAGCTATGAATTCTTTACAACTACATTAGAAATATATAATCTTAAACAACAAAGTATACAAATATATTTCAATATTTATCTCTGTGGAAACTGAACTGACTCTTCATTTTGCTGCCACTGTGAGTAAGCATATACACACACCTTACAGTCAGGAATAAAACACTTTGTGCCCCAAGATAAAAAGCATAGGGCTACCCTGTCTAGTTCTGTTCCTTCAAATATATAACATTTTAAGAATGTTCTTTCAATTACTGACCCCCTAATAAAAATAACTCTCCTAGACTTGACCTCAGGTGGTAAACATACAATGCAATATACAAATGATGTATTACAGAATTGTATATTTGAAATCTATATAATTTTATTAACCAATGATGCCCCAACAAATTTAATTAAAAAAACAAAAGCTCACCTAAATTTTTGCAGTGCTAATGTTGCTAATGTCTAAACACACTCTGTGGATGTGAAAAAGTGGCAGTTTTTCCATCTGGAACTGACTTTTGTAAACTCAGTAACCTTAGAAATCTTGTGGGCCATTTTCCTTTTAAATAACTTTGGTAAGCCACTGCTTCTAAATCTGTTGTCTTGAAACATTTTTTTAAGTCTACTTCTTTATTTTCTAAATGCTTTTGCGAGATTTTCTTTCAAATACTAATATTCTAGTTATTATACAACAATTCGCCAGATAAAACTATAATACAGGGTGAAACAAAAGCAGGTTTACAGTTGTTCATATGGAAAAATACTACAATAATTAAATAATAATACAAGAATAAACTTTGACCCTGGCCAGTTTGACTCAGCAGTTAGAGCAGCGGCCCATGGACTAATGAGTCATGGGTTCGATTTCAGTCAAGGGCATGTACCTCAGCTGCAGTTAGTCCCCAGCCCTGGTTGAGTCATGAGGGAGACGACTAGTTGATGTGTCTCTATCACCTTGATGTTTCTCTCTTCTTCACCCTCCCTCCCACTCTATCTAATGATAAATGAAAAATATCCTCGGGTGAGGAATAAAAAAAAAAGAATAAACTCTGTGTTTTGCATACTCACAATTGTAAACCTACTTTTGCTCTACCCTGTATAATTTATGAGATAAAGCACTTATTAAGTAAAATGAATCTTATTACTAAATAAATACAGTGACAGAGTGAAACTAAGAATTATAAGTGGACTTGTATATAAGGGATATTTTAAGAATAATGAGTTTAATACTTATAAATTGGAAACAATGTTATCTCCTGAGAAAAATTAATTCTATTTTTTACAAAATCTACCTGAATTTCTGCAGAAATAGTTTTAATCCACTCATCCACTGTCTTTTTGATCCGAATCTTCTCTGACATCTCTCTACATAAAAGAATAAAGAATTTTCTTAAATTAGCATTTAATGTCTTGAGACCAGGACCTGGATTAGATCTCTTATATAGTTTTCAATCTACTGTATAGCCCAACATCCTTTATCCAAACAGAAAAAAAGAAGTATTATTAGTTTCTATCAAATGTTAGAAGGATGTCTATAAAGCATATGTAGATCCCAGAAGATATGTACCAAAGAGAGAAACAAAATTAAAGGGAAAAGTCACATTTGTAAAATAGTAACATGTATAGATCCAAATTCAACTCCATCGTAAGTCTGTGTCATCAAAAGTAATAAAGAACCTTTTCGAAACATTAAAACACATTACATAAAATGAAGTGCTTAGAAAAAATTTTAAGAAAGGCTGTAAACTGGTGGTTGCATAAATAACCTTGGGATACTAACATCCTGTCTTACCTGTCGCTAGATAGAGCGTTGATAAATGAATACATGGAAGTTCCATCTTTTGCACGGACAATAGCTTCCAGGTTTTCTTCAAGTAGTTTTTTATTGTTTTGTACTCCTCTCAAAATCTTCTCAGCTTCTTTCAATATGGATTTCGTACTGGTTGTCTGAAGCTTAATGGAATTCTGTGGAAGATCACCAAGCTTTGACATAATCAGAGATTCGTTGGTCTTAAAAGAAAAAAAGGCAAAAATGTCACCATGTAAAACATAATAATTTTTTCTTTCCTTTAATGATTTTCAGAGATAGAGAAAGTGAGGCGAGAGAGAGAGAAACATCGATGAGAGAGAACATCGACTGGCCACCTCCTGCACGCTCCTTACTGGGGATCAGGCCCACAACCTGGGCATGTGTCCTGACTGGGAATCGAACTGGTGACCTCTTGGTGCATGGGTCTATGCTAAACCATCAGACTATATTAATTATTCTAATCCAAACAAGAGCTATTACTATAGTTGGGGCCATATACTATGCCAATATATTCTAAGTGTTAATTTGTCAAATTTAAGAGCTATAAAAGAATACTTGGCAATTAAGGTTTCTTTCCATTTAGAAGTACTAATGTGAATGTTATGTGAAATACAGCTGAGAAGTCCACAGTGGTGGTAGGCTGTCCAGTGGCCAATAAAATCTATATCTGGCCCTGGGCGGTTGCTCAGTGGTTAGAGTGTCGTCTCGCGAACTAAGGAGTCCTGGGTTTGATTCCTGCTAAGAGCACGTACCTCGGTCGCAGTTCATCCCTGGGGTCCTGTGGGTGGCAACCAATCGACTTGTCTCTCTCTCGTCGATGTTTCTCTCTCTCTCATCTTTCCTTTCTCTCTCCCGCTGTATCTGAAAATAAATGCAAAAATATCCTCAGGTGAGGATAAAAAAAAAACACCAAAAAAAAAAAAAACTGTATCTGGAGCCCGGCTGTGTGACTTAGTGAACTGAGCATCGACCCATGGACCGAGAGGTCCTGGTTCAATTCCTGGTCAGGGCACATCCTGGGTTGCAGGCTCGATCCCCAATAGGGGTGTGTAGGAGGCAACTGATCAATGTTTCTCTCTCACGTGAATGTTTCTATCTCTCTCACGTCCTCTCTTTCTAAAAAATCAATAAAAACATATTTTAAAAAATAATATATCTGGTAAAAAAAAAGCTAAAACAACATAAGAGAAAGTTGGCTCTAGGTAGGCATGGCACACATTGTGAAATGGATAAACAAGGGCCCATCCACAGTTTTCTCTCCCACTTCCTTCCTCTCCAATAGAAGCTGTAATGCTAGAGAGGGCCACTGTGACTCCATCCTAGCCAAGGAACAGGAAGTAGAAATTACTTAGTGAGGACTTCCAGAACATTTTGTGATGAGAACAGACTGGGTTGACACCAGTGTTTTATCTCCATCTTTATTCTTGCTTTCTGACTTAATAACTTTTCTATTTCTTCACAAATTGTATCCTTACTAATCATCAATTTTAATATTTTGTTGCTACTTTACCTGGAATATGCCATTTGTTTCTCTCCTCTTTTGGCCAAGATCATGAAGAACATTATCGGACTTCTGCACAGTCACTTTAGCTGTTCCTAGTTCTTCACAGGAAGGAAATCTTAGAGAGAATAGAGCATCAGTGCTGTAACAGATTCAAAATAAAGTTTTCTAAATTGTCATAAATCCAGAAAACATTTGATTACATATATCTTTGACAGATTCTTAGTTATATGAATTCTAAATGGTATCTTATTAAAACTGTAAAGTTAATCAATTATATGATTAAATATATATAACACAGAATATCATGAGAGACAAAACTACTCAGACCAGACTGGTTTAGGCATAACAGGAAAAGAGCAGAAAAGGGCTTAACTATGAAGAAGATAACATGCAGAAACACTCTCAGAATGTTTGAGTAACCTCTAAAAATCCCTTTCTGCTTAAGAGCGAAGAGAACACTAGCAAAAATGGTCAAAAACAGCTTTTTCAGAACTCTGGAAATTAAACAAAGGCTTGTAAAACACGAGAAACATTAATCAAGAAAATGGCTGATTCTCAGTAAGAACAGGAAGATTTGTAGCATTTCTAACTTGCCCTATTCCTACTGCCCTTTCCCTAGCTCTGTAATAGCCTTGAAAACCAACAACCTCACAACCACTAAAAAGGGAAGAACAGATCTGGAGCTCCTCGGAAAGTCCCATTCATAGGGTTTCTCTTTATTTGACTTGACTCAGAGCTAGCTCAGGGAGAAATCCTATCTCCAGGTCATTTTTCAAAAACAGTGGCAACTGTTTAACATCTTAGCTGCCTGAGATGGCCATATCAGATTTTCCATAAACTGAAAATCTGAGGAATGACATGTCCATTGTGTAGATTTGAAAAGTTCCAACAAATTACAGGGATCAAGAAGGTCATGTGCACATACAGGGCTATATGTGCATGCCCAAGAAAGACCTGAAAAGGGATTCACCTCTCATGTCTGGCTGAACTGAGACTCTGTGCAAGCAGGAAGTTAAAGCTAACAGACTTATACACTGCTGAAGCACTAAATATGTGCCCAACACACCCATACACACATACCCCTCACAGGTCAAAGAGACAGAGACTTAATCATTCAAGGTAGTTAAGGAAATCTCTTTTCAGTCATTATCAGAATTTAGCTAACCAAATAGAGACTTGTTGCACATGACAAAGAATACAGACTGTTCAGAATTACTCTAAGAAAAAGCATCAAAACAACAAGAAACCCTGGGGGAGAAGGATGGAAGAACCTAATTTCCAGATTTGCCACATTATATTATTTTAAATGTCCAATTTTCAACGAAAAGTTTTGATACACACAAAGAAACAGAAAAGTTGAATAAGCTCAGACACAGGAAAAAGGATAGTCAATAGAAATTGTTCTTGAGAAATGCCTAATATTGGACTAAAGAGTATAAATTAACTATTACTAAAGTATTATGTTCAAAAATTGAAGAAAAGCCCTGGCCTGTTTGGCTCAGCAGTTAGAGCGTCGGCCTGTGGACCAGAGAGTCCAGGGTTCGGTTCCCACTAAGGGCACGTATCTCAGTTGCAGTTTGTCCCCAGCCCCTGTTGGGGACATGTGGGTGGCAACCAGTCAGTGTGTCTCTCTCACATTGATGTTTCTTTCTCTCTCTTCCCACTTCTCTCCCTCCCACTCTATCTGAAGATAAATGAAAAGATGTCCTCGGGTAAGGATAAAAAAAAAAAAATTAAAGAAAAGTATAAGAATTCAGTCTCAACAAATAGAGAATAGCAATAAAGATAGAACTATTAAAAATATATATAAATTCTGGAGTTGAAAAATACAATAACTGAAATGTAAAATTCACTAGACAGACTAAATATATTTGAGTTGACAGAAGAATCAGTGAACTTAAAGATAGGTTAACTTAGATTCTCCAGTCTTAAAAACAAAGAGAAAAAATAATTTTAAAAAATTAATAGCCTCAGAGACCTGTGGATATCAACAATCACACCAACATAAAACACAGTCTTTGGAGAGAAGAGAAAGATCATGTGAACCATTTAATTATATAAGTAAATAATGGCCAAAAAGTTCCCAAATTTAGTGAATATTAATCTATTCATCCACAAGGCTCAACAAACTCCGAGTACAATGAACTCAGAGATCTATACTTAGACACACCATTGTCAAACTGTCAAAACAAAGGGAGAATCTTGAAAGCAGTTGAGAAAAATGACTCATCATATACAAAGATTCCTCAATAAGATTAACAGTTTATATCTCATCAGAAACCATAGGGTCCAGAAGGCAGTGAGATGACATAGTCAAAGTGCTGAAAGAAAAAGAAAGTCAATCAAAAATTCTATATCCAGCAAACCTATCCTTCAAAAGTTAAAAAGGATTAAAAAAAAAAAGAAGAATTTAAGACATTTCCAGATAAACAAACTGAGAGAATTCATCCACCAGCAAATCTATCCTACATGAAATACTAAAGAAAGTCACTCAGAGTGGAATAAGACACTAGACACTAACTCAAATCCACATAAAGAAATAGAGAATACTGATAAAGGTTAATATTTTTTATTATGTATAACATGTATTTTTATTATGTATAAAAAAAGATTTTATTATGTATAAAATGTATTTTTGTTTATCACCTTTTTCTTCTCCTATCTGATTTAAGAGACAATTACATAAAGCAATAATTATCAAGCTGTATGAAAAGGCTTATAACGTATAAAGATGCAATTTGTATGACAATAGCAGAAAAAAAGGGAGAGGGGATAAAGCTATGTTAGAGCAAAATTTTTCAATCCTATTGAATTGGTATTAATCCTAACTAGATTGTTTTAATTACAGGGTTAACTGTAAACCCTATGGCAATCACTAAGAAAATAACTCAAAAGATATAGTAAAAGAAACAAGGGAATTAAAATGTTATACCAGAAAATACTTATTTAATACAAAAGAAGCCATTATGTAGGAAAAGTGAAATAAAAAAACACCTAAGGCCCTGGCCAGTTTGGTTCAGCGGTTAGAGCGTCGCCCTGCGGTCCGGAGAGACCCGGCTTCGGTTCCCGCTAAGGGCATGTACTACGGTTGCAGTTTGTCCCCGGCCCTGGTTGGTCATGCGGGTGGCAGCCACTCGATGTGTCCCTTCACATCGATGTTTCTCTCTCTCTCTCCCTCCCACTCTATCTGTACAAAAAATGGAAAAATATCCTCGGATGAGGATAAAAAAAAAAAAAAACACCTAAGACTTATAGAAAACATACAGCAACATAGCAAACATAAACTTACTTCATTGGTAATTACATTAAATGTAAATGAACTAAAATATAATGTCTCCACATGAAATTATTCAGAATGTGGCTCATTGAGTTTTTATTACTATAGTTTTCATGACATTCAAGGTAAATAAAATTATCATGGCCTAGATTTACTTGATTTAAAAAATAATTTTTAAGTAGAACTTCAAACATATACAAAAGTAGAAAGAAGATTATAATGACTTCCATAGATACCCTTATTTAACTATAGTAATCATTAATTCATGGCTGTCCTCATTTTATTTATACTTCCAACCCAGTTTCCTCTACATTGCATTGGATTATTATTACTTTTTTTTTTTGGTACGTGCCCCTAGTGGGAACCGAACCCTGGACTCTCTGGTCCGCAGGCTAACACTCCAACCGCGGAGCCAAACCGGCCAGGACTGCATTGGATCATTTTTTAAGCAAACCTCAGATAGCATTTTATCAGAAATCAGAAATAAATAATATGCAGTCATTAAAAATTAACAATCTGCATTTTTAGAAAATTTAGACATATTCATTTTGCAACTATATTAAGAAAAGGAGGGAGATACATTAGCAGTAGAAAGTAGCAACTAAGTCTAAGATAATTTTTAAAAGCAATGTTAAAAATGTATTAAAATCACTGAAGAAATTTTAGAAATATGAACAAAGCTCTTTTCAATCTAGCTTTTATTCCAATCTCTTATTTTTACCTGTCTTTCTTCTCAGGATTCCATCCTACTTTAGACCTAGTTAGTGAGGTTTTGTCTGAAGATTCACTTATTCTTGTAAAAGTATCTTGATTATTCAAAATTTGTTCCAATAGTCTTATAGTTCCTACAATAAGAGAATAGTATCATTTTTCAAGTACCACTTCATTCATCTTTTATATAATATCTCACATATATTTATATTAACTTAGCTTCTTATGATGGTGATCAATTCAATTCACTGTACAATGTAGGCTATAAATACACTCATCAACTAAAACTAAATTTTATAATTCATGCAAACTATATGGGTAAAACTTTAGGCCTGATTTTATTTCCATTACAAAAAAAAGGTTTGAAAGAGAAGTTTTTCTTCATAGCAACTATTCATTGAATCTTCTCTTTAGCCTCATCTTTTTTTTAATCCTCACCCAAGGATATTTTTCCATTGATTTTTAGACAGAATGGGAGGCAGCGAGGGAGAGAGAAACACTGATGTTAAATAAACACATCAATTGGTTCCTTCCCACATGACCCCAACCAGGGCTGGAATCGAACCTGATCAATATGAGAGAGAAACATCAATCGGCTGCCTCCTGCCCACCACCTACTGGGAACTGAGCCCACAACCAGGGCATGTGTCCTGATCGGGAATTGAACCAGGACCTCTCAGTCCATGGGACCATGCTTAATTCTCTGAGCCACAATGACTGGGCTAGCCTCATCCTCCTTTTTTTCCCCTTTATTGATTTTTTTAGAGAGAGAAACACTGAAGAGAGAGAACACTGATTGGCTGCCTCCTGCATGCCCCACACTAGGTATCGGGCCCACAACCTGGGCATGTGCCCTGACCGGGAATCGAACTGGTGACTTCTTGGTGCATGGGTCAACGCTCAACCACTGAGCCACACCAGCTGGACTAGCTTCATCTTTAATGAGACTACATTACAACCTTTTTTTGGTGAGGTTGGTTTTTTTAAAGATTTTATTTTTCAAATTCCTTAAAACTCCTTAAATGTGTCCAAGACAGGCTTAAGTACATTTAAATAATTCCAAGAATATAAGCTTATACTTAACATTTTCACTTACTTTTATTAGAAGGACTATATTTAAGGGTCTTAATTATTTCAGGTAATTTATAAAAGTTAACATATGAGCACTTTTCCAACTGAACATAGTAACAAATGTTAAATTTTTCTGAGTTTTATTATTGAAATTCACACCTAAAAACAATAGAAAACATTCTCTAAGATGAGCAGCAGAGCATTATTTTTTATTTATTAAAAGTAAAATCTGTTGCCCTGGCCAGTTTGGCTCAGCGGTTAGAGCGTTGGCCCGCAGACCAGAGAGGCCCGGGTTCGGTTTCCGCTAAGGGCACGTACCTCGGTTGCAGTTTGTCCCCAGCCCTGTTTGGGGTTGTGTGGGTGGCAACCACTCAATGTGTCTCTCTCACATTGATGTTTCTCTCTCTCTCTTCTTCCCTCTCTCCCTCCTGTTCTATCTGAAGATGAATGCAAAAATGTCCTCGGATGAGGATAAAAAACCAAACAAATAACAACTAAAAGCAAACTCTATTGAGATTAGATGGTTCAATTCCAGGTCAGGGCACACGCCCAGGTTGTGGGCCAAATCCCCAGTGGGGGGCATGCAGGAGGTGGCCAATCAATGTTCTCGCTATTGATTTTTTAGACAGATGTTTCTATCTGTCTTTCCCTCTCCTTTCCCTTCTCTCTAAAATCAAAGAAGAAAAAAAAATTTAAAGCAAAATGTGTTTATTAAAGGTTAATAACCTGTAGAAGACAATCAAAATATAATCATAAGTGTATATCTCCAACTCCTTCTACAAAGACTCTAAAGAAGCTTGATTTGCCCTTTATCATTTAAGAAAAAAATACTCAAAACAGAGAACCCACTTTAGTTACTATGAGGCTCATTAGAAAATTATAAATATTGAGTGTGGAAATCTGTTCCTAATATGATATAGGTCTAATAAAAGTAGTGGATGCTAATAATAATTGCTTTATTACCTGTATGACCTGCTATCTCCATATTTTCTTTTTCTTCCACAGGATTTTCCCTTTTTGATATTTTATCATCCTTTGAAACAGGTATAGGAGCAAACTTTCGAGGTGCTGGCGTCTCCAAAGGAGATTTCTGTTTATCAAAACCTGTATCTTCAACTTCTCTTGAAGACACTTAAAAGTAAATAAAGTTAACTTACTTTTTCAAAACTTTAAATTGTAGAGGGTTACTCTTAACCATATTTTAAAAATAAAACCAAAATTATAAAGTATATGCAAATTATTAACAAGTATATAGAAATAACTTCATCCTCACTAGAAATCAAAAGAAATGCAGACCACAAGCATTTGTATGTTTATAGCTAATAAATAAGAAAAAAATCAATATGATAATATTCAGTGCTATTTAAGCTGTGGTGAAAATGGCATAGCCAGACACTGCTCTTGGCAACAAAAAATTGGTAATACCATCTGGCACTAAGTATAGGAAGTACTGAGCACTCAACAGACTCTCCTTCAGTCATCAAAAATTAATATTATGAAAATAATTATGTAAACATGGGAAATACTTTTGGTATGCTAGTAAAGAAGTAGTATAAACTTATATTTATGGCCCTGGCTGGTTTGGCTCAGCGGTTAGAGCGTCGGTCCTAACCAATGAGTCTCGGGTTTGATTCTGGTCAAGGGCATGTACCTCGGTTGCAATTTGTCCCCAGCCCTAGTCAGGTTGTGTGGGAGGCGGCCTCTCTCACATCAGTGTTTCTCTCTCTCCCTCCTTTCCACTCTATCTGAAGATAAATAGAAAAGTATCCTCAAGTGAGGATTTAAAAAAAAATTAAATTGTATTTATGCTGCAATTACAAGGACATCAAAATGATGTATGCATAGAAAAATAGTTTAATTTTTATTTTACTCATTTTTAAAAATTTGTTACTGTCACTAAAATACACACACAATTCAGTATACTATCAATAAAACAAACATCTTTTTCCTTTAAAACTCAAGCCTGGAAAAACAAAACTATGAGCAAGAAATTTTCCAGAACTGAGTATGAAACAAGTGTCTACTTCTACGAAAGCACATGGGTGGGTCATACTGAAACCTGAGTTCTGCCAGTAGCTCGAACACTCTTATTCTCGAGCCAGACGACCTTGACCAAGCAAGTCATAACCTTTCTGTTTCTTACCTTCCTCCCTTCCCAACTTAAAAATTGACTCTTATCACTTCACAACAGTTTTGTAAAGACCAGTCATTTGTTGTAAAACTATAAGGAATCTTTAATATGTCTATAATACAACAATGTTCTAACAAATAAAATGTTGGGGAAATTGTACTACATGAATCTGTGTATCATTAAAGGAATAGCCCTTGATTTTCTTTTCTTTTTTTTTTTAAATCCTCACCCAAGGATATTTTTCCATTTATCTTCAAATAGTGGGAGAGAGAGAGAAACATCAATGTGAGAGAGAAACATCAACTGGTTGCCCCCCTCATGACCCTAACTGGTGCCAGGGACGAACCGCAACTGAGGTATGTGCCCTTGGCCAGAACTGAACCCCGGACCCTTTGGTCCATAGGCCGACACTCTAACCGCTGAGCCAAACTGGCCAACGTGCCCTTGATTTTCATTAATTCAGTATTCAAATATCAATAATTTGGAATACATTCATTCATTGATTTTAAATTCCAATGGTTTACTATAAATAAGCTATGTATTTCTCTGTTATTATAAACAGAGATTTAAAAAATCTTATTAAGGTAGAGAGATTTGCATTACTAAGTCTTTGAAAATACTTATAATCTATTCATAATTATACTCAGGTGGTTTCTCTCCTGACAGAGTCAAGAAAAACAGTAAGTAATTTGTCAGAGAACTGGAGAATTTATTTTAAGCATGTTTGATATTAGAAAAGTAAAACTTTTCTAAATTTATAAGTTCTTCTGACAATATATGTAGGTTATTAATTAAAACCATAAAGTAGGACATGATCAAGTTTCTAAATGACCTAAAAAAAATCACTTGACCTACAAAAAAGAACTAATTTTATAAAACAAAGACTTAATCTTCTATAACCCAATAATGTACCACAAAGAAAATTTATAGCTGACATTTTTAATTCATAGGGAATGACATATTTTTACCTTGTTTAGAACCAAATGCATTACGTGAAGGTAGATTACTGCTACCAAGATTAGGATGGTCTGGTTTCACAGAACAGTTTTCCACTGCTCTAGGAGGAGGCACAGTAACAGGCTGAAAACTAGTCTTGAGTGCAGCACTAATGAAATGAGTCTAGAAGAAAATTATTTTATTAATTTCAAATACCATTTGAAAGAGTTAGATGACAAAATACATTGAAATTTATTAGAGAACTTAAAACAATTCATTAGACTTAATAAACAATGAAAATATATACATGACAAGCAACTGTAGCAGCAATGCCACTAGAAGAAGGATATAGTATCAGAGGCCTGGATTCAGCCCGGCTCTGCGGCTTGGCTTTGATTGTTTTAACCATTCTAAACCTGTTTCTACCTTTCTAATTCAGAAATGACTCAGGGAACACTGAAACAGGCTTGGAGATGACCAGAAAACAGGGACCTCTACTTCAACCAAATAATTTAAAACCAAAACATCTCCTCTTTTATATTATGGATGATTTTATTTGAAGTAAAGAATTAAAAACCATTACTAGTAAGCACTTAAATGGTAGTCATATTTAGTAGCAGTAATAATATATGCATTTACATATGTGAAAACTATAGTGGTAACTGTTTTCAGCACTGTAAATTAAAATACTGAAATGTATAAATATCTTACCTAATTAAACTAATTTCAAAAGAGTTTTAGATCAAGTAAAGAAAAATCTGAAAATATTCATAGCCTTACAGAATTCTTATCAATGTGTAGAGATCTGACTACATAAAGCAGATGAGAGAGACTCAATAAATTTTATTTCATTAAGCATTTATTGAACTACTAATGTACCTAGTATGTCACTGAACCTCAGCTTTCTCTGTAATTATAAGCTTATAAATAAAACATCTGAATTAGCAAAGATTCCATTCTTCCAAAATCAGAAAGTCAATAAATTATGGGTTTATAAATGGAAGGATGGATGAAGGGCAGAAACACATAGGACAAATAGGACAAGTAGGACTCTCTCTTTAAGAAAACAATGTGCTTTTCAAATGTCATCTCATTTTATCCTGAACAAAATAATAAAATACTTTCTAGGTTAAAAAAGAAAATCAAGGTTCATGGTACAGTTATTTACAGACTAAAAAGAGAACTCTTAAAGACCCATCGTAGCCTCTCATTAGATAACATGGGGCACACTAAATTTCAATTGTGCATAGATTACTTACTAAAACGTTTCTTTGTATGCCCATAATCATTCCAATGAAAATACAATGTTCAACCATATGAAAGTTCAATACAAACTCTATTAAGAAATCTTAAAAATTATAGTATATTTGTGATAATATATCAAGCTATAATAAACTTACTTTTGTATATCCTTCTGAATGTTATATTTTAATTTTTTAAGTTTTAAAGTTGTACATTAATTAGAGAAAAATAAACTAAAACTAATGCATTTATAATGCTCATCATTTACTCATTCAAAAGGGGAAAAAAAAAGTATACTGAGTACCTGAATGCTGGGTACTAACCTGGGACCTGGAAATTCCACAATAAATAAGAAATTATACTATGAGCTTCTTGTGAGAATAATTTCTTTCTATAATAGCTCAGTGCCTCATATTCAAAAGACACTAAACAATGTTCATTCTTTTAATTAATTGCAGAAGCAATATGAATATTCTCACCCAGGTATGCATATCAGAATGATGAGAGCTTTTGATTCCCAGACCCCATCTCAGACCTGCTGTCTCAGAATCTCTGAGAAGTACAGTGATTCTGATGCACATTCCCATGCTAAGAAACACTGACGTAACAAATAATTCCAATGTGATGTGAGCACTTTAAAAATGGTATGAACAGAAATACCACAAAAGGAGAAGCCAACTAGAAGGAAAGGTCTTACAGAACTAGTGACATTTGAACTAGAACGTGCAGAGTTCTCCACATAGAGGGGAAGAATGATGAACAATCAATCATTATTTAAGAACTAAAACTCTTACAACCTAATGAGCTACTGCAATAATCAACAAATGTTAGCTTAGAGATCCGAGTGATAAAACACCATGGTGTGCAGGCTTTGTTATAGATACCTGAATATCTATTTGTTGTTGTTGTAGTTTTTCAAGATGCCTAATGTGCTGCTCCATAAACACATTCATTTGCTTTTCATGAGCATGACAATGTAGTGTCTCATGTTTATTCTGAATGCTTGTTTGCTGCTCTGTAACACGTTGTAACTGTTTATCAGTCTCCTGTAACTTATTGAGTAATTCTGTAACAGAATTGACCTTTGCTTCCAAATCACTCTGCACCTAAGGCAATAAAAATATAAAAAGATATAAAAAATATGCTCCACTTACTGAAAAGGTTATTTAATGAAACTGGTATTGAGAAATTATCAAATGAGATTTTACCCTCTAAATCTCTGATTTCATGCTTTTATTTTTATAATCACAGAAATAAAAGGCACAACATAGCTATCCTTAAGTAGATCTTTTCTCTTGTGTTAAAAAAAAAAATCTGCCACACGATTTTTATAATGCCAGAAGTAAAATACTTAATTGGAAATTTAAAAGGAGGGAACAGCAAAACAAAGTAGCTTTTGATAGTTCATTAATCTCAGGCTGAGTTAGGTCAGCAGCCTGGAGTTCTAGTCTTGGCTCTGCCACCTATTAGCTCTGGGACCTTGTGCTACTCTGACCTGTTTCTCAGTTTTCCCATTTACAAACTGAGGGGGTTGGCACAGATCACTTTTAAAGTCCCTGCCAGCTCTAAAATAAGGATGGCTGACTGTCCTGGTTTGCCCAGAACTGAGGGGTTCCCAAGGTGAGATATTTCCAGTGTTAAAACTGGGAAAGTCCTGGGTTCTCTAGCATTTTCACAGCAATGAGGGAGTAAGTCTCACAACTCCTGGGAGGTAATACACCACCCAAACAAGAACATTCTTTCAAACTGAGAGCAACTAGAATGTCCCTAACCTGTAGCTGAACACTATCATTTATAGAACCAGTTTCTAATAAATATTTTCACATTTTACAAAGTAATTATGAATGAATATCTGGGGAGAAAACTATACTTTTATCAGTGGAGCAGCCGTTGCAATGGCGGCGGCAGTTGCTGCAGCCACAGTTGTAGCTGAATCAATGCCACTGGGTGAAGTTCTAGCCTCCTGAGCAACCGCGTCCTTTTCAGTGCCTGCATCCTCGAAAAGCTGCACCTTTACTTCCTTATAGACGGGCATGCTTTGAGCTCTGTAAATAAAAAAGGAATAAAAATATGTTCAGTAAGCTACCTTGAACCATATTTCAAGAAATACCTCAGTGGTAATCTATTGAAAGTAGGTTTTTGTTTGTTTTGTTTTTTGACATTGGGTACTTTTTTTTTTTTAATCCTCACCTGAGGACATTTTTTTTGTTTGTTTTTTGTTCAGATAGAATGGGAGGGAGAGAGAGAGAGAAACATGGACGTGAAAGGGACACATCGCGTGGTTGCCATTCGCACGACCCAACCAGGGCCGGGGACAAACTGCAACCAAGGTGCATGCCCTTAGCGGGAACCGAACCGGGGTCTCTCTGGACCACAGGTTGACGCTCTAACCGCTGATCCAAACCGGCCAGGGCGACATTGGGTACTTTTTTATTGAAGCTTTTAGTTTACAACATAAGGTAAGAGGAAAATGAGTTCTCCTTCACCAGTATTTTACACAGCTGTAGTAAAATATTTTAAACTTCAGGGATTTATAATGGATTACATTTCTTAAAAGTTTGGGGAGAAAGTAAACAAGTTCTAACATAACTCCGTGAATTTTCCAGTTGACTCATTTCAATAGTAACCAGTGGTAAGTAGTCACATAACTTTCTTCAAGGCCATGCTGATGTCTTGAGATCTGAAGCATTGCTATTTCAATCAATACCACTAATTCCACTTCAAAACTGAGTTTTGCATTTGGTGGAGTTTTGGCATCAGGCTGTCCTTTCTTTCCACAGCCCATTCTGGTTCAACCTCCAGTCCAGCCTTTTCTCCTTTGCTCATAGTCAGGAGAGCTTCATCCCATCCTCTGATAACTTTGCCTATTCCAACCTTAAAATTTAAAGGCTTGGCACTTTTCTTCTTCTTTGAACTCGTTTAAATATTAGTACCAAAGAGTTCCATCCTGCAGTGTTCCTGTATGCCAGCAGTGAACAACATCTCCTTTTGGGGAAGTTGGTATTATCCTCTTTTTTAAGAACAAATTTTGGATATTTTGGTGGACCCTCATCCAGAGTCTCTTCAGACTTGGTTTCTTTGGGTTTATCTTCATTAAGCTCTACATTTTTCACCTGCTCAGACACTTTACTTATACTTTCAGTACCCTTGAAATGCTTACTTTCAAAAAGATGGTTATAGGCTGTAACCAAATGGTCCTTGTTAGCCGTCTTGGCCACACGGTCCAGGCCCACTGTGGAACAGCCACCACCATCTTCCCCTGCTTTACTCTGAAAGTAGGTTTTCTTTAAAAAGTAAATCACCTGGTGATTTGGTTATTTGGTTAATGAAATCAATGAAGCATCAAATCAGTCATTTGGTTAATGAAATCTATGAAGGCTCAGGTCACTAAACACTACAGAAATATAAATTCCTTGAAGGCAGTGATATTTCAGAAAATAAGACTTACGCCCTGGCCGGTTTGGCTCAGCGGTTAGAGCGTCGGCCTGCGGTCCGGAGAGACCCGGGTTCGGTTCCCGCTAAGGGCACGTACCTCGGTTGCAGTTTGTCCCCGGCCCTGGTTGGTCGTGCAGGTGGCAGCCACTCGATGTGTCCCTTTCACGTTGATGTTTCTCTCTCTTCCTCTCTCTCCCTCCCACGCTATCTGAACGAAAAATGAAAAAATGTCCTCAGGTGAGGATAAAAAAAAAAAAAAGAAAGAAAATAAGACTTACATGTGAAAAAGAAATGGGCACAATTAAAAAGATATGTAATCAAGAAGAACAAAACAGAAACAGAGGCATGGATACATGGAGCATACTGACAGCTGTCAGAGCTGGATGAAAGGTAAAGGGATTAAGCAAAAAAAAATCACACTCACACACACACACACACACATAACACATAGACACAGACAACAGAGTGGTGTTAGGCAGAGTGAAAGGGGGTGGGGAGGGGAGGTGGAGGCGGGCAAAGGGGGAGAAAATGGGGACAGAAAGAGACTTTGCTTGGGGTCATGGGCGCACGATGCAGTGTGGAGATGATGTTTTGTTGAGTTGGTCACTAGAAATCTGTATGGTTTGTGAAGCAATGTCGCCCTAATAAATTCAATTTAAAAATTAATAAATAGCCTGGCTGGTGTGGCTCAGTGGATTTAGTGTGGTCCCACTGACTGAGAGGTCCCAGTTCGATCCCTAGTCAGGGCACATGCCCAGATTTCAGGCTTGATCCCCAGTGGGGGGCATGCAGGAGGCAGCTGATTGATGTTTCTATCTCTCTCTCCCTTTCTCTTTCTAAAAAAAAAAAAAGAAAATAAAAAAAAAATAATAATAAATAAATAAAAATAAAACATGCTGAAAAGGCTCTAAGAATCCAAATACCAAGTTTTATTCCCGAAGGAAGACAATCCAAGAAGGACTGTTAAGCTGCTGGGGGTAGGGGGAGTACAGATTGAATTGTAGCTCATTTAGATTTAATTTTAAAATGTCACTCAATTTCCTAAAATGGGCACAAAACACATACTATTAAACAACCTGAATTAACATCCCGAATGATTTATGATTTCCTTGACATTATCTGATCGCCTCTCTTACTGACTCTACCAAGGCATCAGGAGATCAGGAGAACTGGCTATAGTGAGTCAGCCAAAATTGACAAGTGCTCCAAAGACCTGGCTGGGTAGCTCAGTTACTTAGAGCGTCATCCCAGTACGCCAAGGTTTCAGGTTCAATCCCCAGTCAGGGCACCTACAAGCATCAACTAGTGAATGTGTAAATAAGTGGAACAACAAATCAATGTCTCTCTCTCTCTCTCCTTTCTTCTCTCAAATCAATCAATAAAAAAAATAAAAAATAAAACAGCCTGAATTAAAAATGAGTCTACCAAATTTGACTTTCTAGCAATTGGGATAATGACGCTAAGGAGGGGGAAAGAGAGCATCCCTGGGTGGGCTCACACCACCAATCGCTGAATGCACTGATTGCACCCCAGCACACCTGAAACCTATATAATTTTATTAACCAATGTCACCAAAAAAACTTTAGTAAAAAAATAAATGAGTCCAGCATATATATATATAATTTTTTTTTTTTTTTGCAATAAGGTGTTTAAATACTACAAATAAAAGACTGGTCAATTTTGCTGTATATTTGGCCTAAAGAAGACAATGAAATAAACCAATGACAGAAATGGAATCCCTAGTAAAAGAATCTAAGTAAAACCAGCAGGAATGAGCTCTATCCCCGGCTGCTGGATTCCCCCGTTGATTTTTAAAGAAGGCACAGAGCAGCTCTTCCACTTACTCCTCTTTGATATTTCCTCATTTCTCCTAAGGGCATCATTTTTCTCTGTCTCACAATTTTTAAGTGATCTTGACTTCTCTATCCTCCACTTAACCTTCTCATACCCACCCGAGTCATCAAGCTGTGTCAGTTATTTCATCACAATTGCAGGAACAGTGTCATAGAATTATTGAAGCAGGGGGAACCCAATAGGCCATCTATCCCAATTTCCTAATTTTACAGATGAAGAAACTGAGGTCTGCAGAGGTAACAGGATTCAGTTATCAAAGTTACATAACTAGTAAGCAGCAGCTAGGATCTGTTTCCCAGAGATCTTCCCGGGACACCTAGCCTTCTCTCTCAGAACAGCATCTCTCCTTCTCCAGTAAAACACGTCATCATCTCCTGCCAGCTGTTCTCACTCTTCCAGTTTTCACTTGCTGAAAAAGCTTCCCACACATATTTCTCCACCATTCAAAAATCTAAAACAGTTCCTTATAGCAACTGAATAGGCTCCCACATACTCCATGCTCTGGCCCTGCCCTCGCTTCCTATGTACACCTCCTATTACTTCACAAAACAACTCTCTGGCGTCCTGCCCCTCACTCACTGCACACACACTCCCCCAGCTGACTCCATGCTTTTTCTCACTCTGTCCTCTCAGCCTTCTTCTGCCCACTTATTACAACCTTCTCCTTCTTTAAAATCCAACATCAGCCTTACCTTTTTAAATAAGCCTGTCCTTAAATAAGCCTGTCCTTATAATACTTCCTCTTGACCACTCCCTTCATTAACTCCTTTTGCATTTACTGTCTATATCCCACAGTTGAGATTTGACAGTCAGCCATGCCATGGTTTAAATGTCTGTACAGAACAGTTTAATAATATATTGAATGCAATGCTGTTTCATATGAGTTCCAATCACTCATTCCTCTATATATGTATATATTCTCTCCCAGACTAAATTCTAAGCAACCTGGGATGGGGACCGGAGAGGGGGACTTCTTTTATACCAAAAAGAAACTAACAAAAAGCTAAGCACATAGCAGATGCTCAATATACGTGTATTTAACTGACTGAGTGGTGTACTAAGAAAACATAATTCAAGTATTCCCTATCTTTCATTTCTGTCTAAAATCTGAATATGACTTACCTTTTAAGATCTCTCATTTCACATTAATAGGCTAATTTACCAACTAATTATAAGGCTAGGTATCAACCTCTTCATAGGCTTTTATTTATTTTTTTTAATCCTCACCCGAGGACATTTTTGCATTTATCTTCAGACAGAGCGGGAGGGAGAGAGGGAAAAGAGAGAGAGAGAGAGAGAAACATCGGTGTGAGAGGGACACATTGAGTGGTTGCCACCCACACAACACCAACCAGGGCCGGGGACAAACTGTAATCAAGGTACATGCCCTTAGCGGGAACCAAACCGGGGACTCTCCAGTCCGTAGGCTGACACTCTAAGCCAAACAGGCCAGGGCTTTATAGGTTTTTGTATTTTATTGTTTCCAATTATAAAATTAATAAACACTCAATGTAGCAAATGTAAAAAGCTTCCAAGTGTAAGAGATTGGAAAAATACACATAACTCTCTCATTCAGAAGAAATTATTTCCTTCTAGTCTTTTTAAAAAAAGTTTTCTTCATTCCTAAATTTTCTAAATCTGGCAATTATCCCAATACTATGCTGAAACATCTCTCACCAAGGCTACTAATAATTCTCACTCAATTCAATGGCCACTGCTCAGTCCCTATCTTTCTTTACCTCTGAGAAGCATATCAGACTTAAAACCTCATTTCCCTTGGCTTTATTAACACCATAGCCCCCTACAACTCTAGACAAACTTTCTGAGTAGCAATTAGTAGCTAGCTTGCTATGTCTGCATATCTCCTAACAGTCAGGCTTTCTCAGTCCTATTCGATGCCATCTTTCTTTCCCCTCTCACACTCTCGCTGGGTCACTGTGACCATTTCCAGAGCTTAGACTTACTGAAGACTTCGAATCTCGATTTCTAGCTTAGATCCCTTTTGTGAACTTGGCCTTTATATTCAATTTCCTACAGGACATTTTTTTACCTACATGCCTCATAGGTAACTCAAATCCCTGCCCAAAATGAAATTCATTCCTCCAAGGATTCTTTTTTGAGGATTCCCTTTCTCAATGAGTAATACCACTGACCATGCATTTATACAAGCCAAAAATCTTGATTCATCAATTCTTATAAATTCTTTCTCCCAATTATCTTCTAGCTCCTTCTACTCCTCTTCAACACAGCATGATTTCCATCCTCATCCCACCACTCCTCAATGTATTCAGGACTAATCTAATCCATCTCTCAGAGATCCCTGAAAAATGTATAGCCAATTGGTTTCCTGTACAACAGTCCAGCCCTTTTCCAATCCATTCTTTAATATTGCCACCTGAGTGAGCCTTTTAAAACTTTTAAATGATCTGACATTTCTCTTAAAATCCAAACTCCTTAAAAGAAGTATGTAACCTGGCCCCTTGCTTACCTGCCCAGCCACATGTTAGGATATTCTCCCCTTAGGTCTAGACACTCTGGGCAGACTGCACATTCCTAAAAGGCTCCAGTCTATTACTTTCTATTATTAGAGCTTTAGAGCATATTATGACATCAAATAGGACAACTCTCCCATCACTCCATTTTTGTTTTCCAGAATTAGCTAGTCTCAACTGTGTGTATTCTATATGTATGTATTCTTAACTGTCTGTGTATACATTCTCAACAGTATGTCCTTCTAGGTAAGTTTTAGAATCACTTTGCCAAATTCCATCTATCGTTTTTTAAAAATAAAGTGACAGACTACAGAGAAATGTATTTCTTTAGACATAGACTGTCTTTTAACCCAACATGAGAGTCATTTTTATAGTTCTGATCATTTATTCTTCTCTACATTTGCAATTATTGTCTTAGAGGCCCTTCCTAGATTTTCTTTTTTTTTATATTCTATTCATTCATCCTGAAACAGGGATATAACCACTGTTACCAGATAAGAAGGGAAGTGTTCACAGTGACACAATGCTTATTTATGAACAACTTCTCCCTCTCAGATCTGCAAGGTCTAAGAGGTCTGAGACATTTCAGTTTGGAGAGTCTGACTTGAAGGCAAGTTTATAAAGTCCCTGTTGTGGTGCAGGCAGCCACTGCTATTGGAGCACAGCTGGATAACAGTGGCAATCACTTTCTGTCCAACAGAGACAGATGTAACCCACAAAGTTTAGTTCAAGTTTAGAATTTGGAAGATTGCACCATTCCTCGTGGCCTTATTTTGCTTTTTCTTGTATATTTACAAACCCCAGTATACAATATACCACACAAATTACTCTCCATATCACACACGGGGAATTGCAGGTTGAACAAATGCAAAGAGGAAAAACATGTTGCGGCCAAACAGCCAGTTGTAAAACTCTGGCTGGCTCAGATCACCAAGCCTTTGTAATTTAGAGATAGTATTTATTTTTGTTAGTCTAATGTTTCCCAAGCATAATATGTGTACTATGGGTAGCTGGATGAAAAAAGAATAATTTTTTAATTTATTTTCGTGCTTGTGTATTTATTTTAATTGTATTATTAGAAATACTAATTTCCAAATTTCAGAATATAAAAGTTCCTTTTTTAATAAAGTGAGAGTTCAAAAGTAAATAAAAATGTTTCCTATTTTTTATTTTATTTTATTATTATTATTTTTATTAGTTTGCCTAGGGTCAGCTAGTAGTATGTGGGTTCTTGACTTCATGCAGGGAAAATTTTACAACACAAGTTCAGGTGAATTTTAGGGAGCTTTAATTAAAGCTGGGACCGAAAGAAGGGCTGAGGAAACTAGCCTTGGCTGGGCAGCTTTGGCTCATTAAGAAGTCAGAGCAAAAGGGGGCCTTAGGGACAGATTCAGGGGATTTGCCCAGGATAAACTGCCACTGCCCATTGCTCCCTGGTTGCAAGCATCATGGGGTCCCTTAGAGTTTAGAAGATGCATGCCTATGGGGGAAAGAAGGGAAGGGGGAGAGGCTGGGTCATGCTCCAGGGAAGGTGAGCATTGTTTCCTATTTCTTAAAGGGTTCAGGAGTAGAATACATTTAGCCTAAGTATTTTATTCCATCCTCACTAATGAAAAGATTAACAAAAACTGCCTGCAGAGTAGTGGATGTATTCTTTCATGCTCATCACGGTGCTGTTGACGGGGTTGGTTTTGTATTTTATTGCTATTTAAGATAAAGTTGAGAAAAAACATTTAGGTGGAGTAGTTGCCATGGTCTCCCTACACTCCATCCAGGTACTAAGTTCGTCCCTTTCTTAAATCTTGACCAGGAAAATTCTAAACATCCTTTGCTGGTAAATAATAGTTGTTATGTATTTGGAACTACTTGACCACTGCTACAAATATAGTGATGTGTGATTAAGACTGCAGGCCATAAAGCCCAACTGCCTGTGTTTGAATTCCTAGTGTCTACTTGCTAAAAGACACAGAGAAAAAAATTAATCTCAGTTTTCTCATCTGTAAAATAGGAATTCTGTAAAATCAGGATGGTAATGGAATCTTTTTCAATGGATCCTGTGAGTATTAAATGAGTTAAATCACATAAAGTACTTAGAACAGTACCTCTCCTATAATAACCGTTAACAGCTATTGAGTACTTTATATGTGCCAAATACCATGAAAAGCACTTTATACACATTATTATTCAATAAATATTTCACACAGTGAAAAGAAAGTTTTTCCTGTATCCAAAATATAAAGGAAGCTGATTTTAGAAAACCACATAGAAACACAAGAAACCCACCTATTTTCTGTAAGCGAGACTTACTTTTGTTTTAAAACCGCTCTTAGAGCATCTCTCTGTCCCGTGGCATACTGAGAAATAAAGATGTCATTTGCTGCAAAATCAATACATAAAAATAAATCAGATTCCTGAAAATGTGTTAAATTTTAACAAGCTACCCCCAAAAACTTTTTTAACTAAAATAACATTTAAGAAATCAGCAATAGGATTTCATAATTTAAAAAAGGCAAGACAGGAGTGACTACATAACATTAGTCATAACCTGAGACGCTAGGTGCAGGGGAAATGGCATCAATAAAACCTGGGGCCAAATTGGGCACATTCGCTCAAACTCTAAAGAGAAAACTGCTTAGAATAAAGTAAAACCAACTTCTTAAAAAAATGTCATTAAATGAAATTTTCAAAGCATATCTTTAATGTACTATCTTACCAAAGACTATCCAAAACTTGAATTCAGAAGTTATAAACAGGTTTCTAGTACCAAAACTATACAACAGGTTGTAGTAATAAAATTACTTTTACAATTGCAAACCCTTTTCTGGATTTTAGAGATTCTATTAATAACTTAATTTAGGAGGAAAAAAATAATTAAATTAAAATAATAAGAGAAAACTATTAGGTTGTTTAACGAATGTCTAAAAATCAATGAGTATCTAAAAAATCTGAAATTCTATCCTTATGAAGGAAGTTCTAACACGTTTCAACATGGATGAACCATAAAGATATGCTAACTGAAAGAAGTCAATTACAAGAGGTTAACTACCGTATGATTCCATTTACATGAGGTATAGTGAAATTCACAGAGACAGCAAGTAGAATGGTAGTTGCCAGGGGTAGAGGGACGAGGGAATGGAGAGCTGAGGTTCAGATGAGGAAGATGAAAACGTCCTGGAGATGGATGGTGGTGATGGCTGCACAACAATGTGAATGTACTTAATACCACAGAACTGTATGCCTAAAAATGGTAAATTTCATAATATGTATATTTCAGTACAATTTTAATAAATCAAATCTATCCTTTTACCTTTTTGTCTATTGTTCTCTTCTGCTTTATCCAAAGGCAACCTTTGAACTGCAACATCTTTAGAAAAACCCTTTGGGATATGAAAGGAAGAAATAAAAGGCTAAATAAACTTTATGATTTATTACTTATCAAGTACTATTTACTAGCCATGTGACTACTGTGTTTGGGAAGCACAAGACTAGGTGCTTTATATACTTAATTCCCAGCACCACCAGAATGCTTAGGTACCTTGAAGCTACTCAAGGATTTGTTGAATGAGTAGTGAGCTATCAGACAAGTGAATGAGTAAATGAACAAGCAAATAACTGTGGCCCTGAAATTCACACTTATATCCCCGATTTGCCACTTATAGCAGAGCAAGTTATGTAACATCTCAGTTGCTACAGTTAAATGTGAAAATCTGATTCACGATGAGTCTGATGGAATAGGTAAAGATGGCCAATGCACTGAACAAAATCACAAATTAACCACAGCATTCTTTGTCACTGAACCCATAATGTGTCCCATAAGGCTTCTCTATATAGGTCATACCTACTGACAAACAGCTTTCTATTCACACGTGCAACTTTCTCTCTAAGACCCTATTCAGGACTAAGACACCATGACTTTTTAAGTACTACATTCATTCAACATTGCTATTCATTTCCTTTAGACACACCTTTTCTGTTTTTCTGCTACATAAGAAAAAAAAGGGGGAGGGGAATAATAAAAGAAAACTAATCCAGGCTATCAGCAGATAACAAGTGGTAACTTCCTTAAAAAAAAGAAGCCAATGAGACTAACAATACAGTAGAAGGCATATGGGAAATTAATATAAAGAAATCCTATAAACTAGTAAGAAAACATAACCCATAAATATGTAATTCACAGAAGAATAACTATAGATGGCCATATATTTGAAAAAAATTCTGCTTCATTAATAAAAGAAATACAAAATAAAACAAGATGCCTTTTACATGTCAAATGGCAAAGATTTTTTTTTTTTAATTTTAATGCTTGTATTAATAAAGATGGGGGGAAATACTGCCACTAATGACCTTGCTGGAGAAAATATATATTGGTAAAGTCTTTCTAGAGGCAATTTTAAAACATTTCAAACAGTGTGCATATCTTTTGATCTAATAAATTTACATCAAGAAATAAATGACCCAAGATATACACCAGCATGTTCATCACATGGTTGTTTATATTATAAAAAATTGGGGGAAAAAACTTTAATGTTGAATGATAGGCATATGAATAAATAAACTATGGTCCATACAAGTAGTTAAATTTTATGAACTCATTAAAAGTTTCTAGAAAAAAATATCCTTAACTACTTAGTTAGAAGTAAATATCCTTAATGCTATTTAGTTATAAAACAGTACAGTCCCATTTCATAATATATATCCACACATACCAAAAAACCTCGAAAGGTGAACAACTGTTGATTTCAAGTTGTGGAATTTCTTTTTTCTTTTTGTATTTTCTACAATAAAATGTTTTAAGTTTTTATTTTCTTTCTACACATGTGTAAAGATTAGCCCCAAACAGGAAAAGGAATATCTTATCTTCTGGTAATAAGAGAAATAGGTATGAATAGGGGCATTTATAAATGTGAGCATATCAGGCACAAACTCCTTCAGCTTTGTCATTAAAATAGCATGGCCAAGTCAACCCTAATCTTAGTACTCATTTATGAAACAAAAATATGATGCAAAGAGATTGTAGTTTGTGTTCATGATAAAATAATAATGAACTAGATTTGTTCTGCAGGCACGTTTTACATTAGACAAATCTACACAAAACAAGCTGTGAGCCTACATTAAATGTAGGCTCCTGCCTGACCATTTTCATGACAAATGTCACCCATTTATCCTCAAATATACATTAACAGTGTATCCATACATACAAAAACTTATTTAGATAATGAAATTCAAATAGCATTAACCATTAAATAAGTTCTACTCAAAAAAGAAACAGAAAACACCAACCCAAAGGCTAGACATTTACTCAGGCACCAGTACAGCACATAATTACGCATTTGTACTGTGTGTTTTTGTAAAAATTGACAATAGCTTCAATTTAATTCTTAGTTTACCAGCTTCAGTTTTCAAAATATTGTGAAAAACCTCACAGACACAGACAACAGTGTGGTGATTGGGTGATGCCAAGAGGGGGAAGAGGATACAGAGGGGATAAATGGTGATGGATGGAGACTTGACTTGGGGTAATGAACACACAATACAGTGTACAGATCACGGGTTGTAGAACTGGGCACCTGAAACCTGTATAATTCTATTAACCAGTGTCACGCCAATAAATTAAATAAAAAGGAAAAAAATACATAAACAATAAAAACAGAGAGGGAAAAAAAACACAATAAAATATTGTAAAAATCTCTTCCTTATAGACTTGTTAAACTGGTAACACATAGGTCGACATTATGATTAGTGGTCAAAGTCTAATTAGATTGAATCATCAAAACATTATATTTATCATCAAATATTTTCAGTGTTATATATAAAAAGGTTAACATGAGAATTTCATGTTTTTGTTTCTTAAAGGCCCCTCAAAAAAAATACCCACAAAAGACCTCACAATAGTTTGTATGATGTATAATCACACCTCATTTTTTAATTTTATTTTGTTGTTACTGTACATTACCTTTACATAAGGTCTCTTGTTTCAAATACCTTTTCCTTAGATACTAGCAGAGCTGGTTTTTGGGGTTTTTTACATTACAGTATTTCTCTCCATGGTCATTATCTTAATAATGGATATTTTTGTTATTGTTGTTGTTAATTCTCACCCAAGGATATTTTTCCATTGATTTTTAGATAGAGTGGAAGTAGGAGAGGAAGAGAGAGAGAGGAAAGGAAAGAGAGAGAGAGAGAGTGAGAAACATCAATGTGAGAGAGGCACGTCCATTGGTTGCCTCCTGCACGACTATGACTGGGGCTGGGATTGAACCTCCAACCCAGGTACGTGCCCTTGACCGGGAAATCAAATCCAAGACCCTTCGGTCAGAGGGTCAGTGCTCTAACCACTGAGCTAAACTGACCAGGGCATTAATGGATATTTTTTATTCATTGAAAGGCTTTTTCCTTAATGTCTCAAATCCTCACCCGAGGACATTTTTCCATTTTTTTGTTCAGATAGAGTGGGAGGGAGAGAGAAAGGAAGAGAGAAACATCAATGTGAAAGAGACACATCGAGTGGCCGCCTCCCACATGACCCAACCAGGGCCGGGGACAAACTGCAACCAAGGTACGTGCTCTTAGTGGGAACAGAATCTGGGTCCCTCTGGACCACAGGCCGACGCTCTAACCATTGAACAAAACCGGCCAGGGTTCAAATGCAATTTAAGTCACAATTGTCGTATGTCAAATACTTCTCTTGGTAAGTGAAATTTAAATAAAAACAAGGCTTGTTGCCAATCAAACATAATTTAAGAACCCATTATTTGACAATACTGGAAATTTTAATCTGAACATAATTAAGAATCTTTTTGCTTACACTTTCTGACACAGGGGGATTTTCCAATGGAGGCTTGTGATCATTTCTAGCAGAAGTTAAGTCTGATGCACCTATTGAAACAAGGAAAGCAATTTTAGTGATTTTCAAATCAGAATATTACATTTAGTAACTGTACAGGCATGACTCAAGAACTATAAACTCTATATTAATGCAAGACCTAAACTGGAAGCCACTTTTCATGCAAAAAAACTTAAGAAAAATGAAAGTTTTTACAACTCAGATTTTGGAAAATATGGGTCAGTACTGACAAGTGAAATAAGTATAAAATATTTTAAAATTTATCATTACACTGTCAGATTTGGACAAACTAGGGAGGAATCACTTGCCATGAATAGAATAAGTACATAACTTAACAGCAAGCATATGATAAGCTGTACCTCCAAAAAAAAAGCAGCATTATAAAAGCATTTTTTTGTTTTTGTACATATATTCATTAATTTGATCCTTACAATTACCCGTGAAGTGGGTAAAGCACATGTTATCTTCATTTTTACTGAGCTCTAGACAGATTAAGTGAATTGGAACATGGAAGCCATCAAATGGCAGAAACTGTACTTTTCCACTATACCAAACTGGGTATCATAATCCAAACAGAAGGTAGAGGATTTGGTAAAAAGCCCTAGTGGTAAAAAATAAGCTCAGCATACAAGTTAAGTGTGTCCATCACAGATGAGAATTGCAAGAGTGTACAAAAGCCACAGAAAGAAAAAACAATGGGAAATGTTAGTTTCATGCATTCTATCTATTCCATGCAGGCGGTGCCTGGCCATTTTCCTAAGGAAAATGGTCAGTTTTTGACACCAGTACAAACTAGATATATCTTACATTTGTGAATTAAACATTAAAAATCCTCTAAACTTTGAAACACCCACACACAAAAAAAGAAATGAAAATAAAAAGTAAAGATTTACAAAAATGCAAAGTTGAAAAACTATTTGGAATCACATACCATGTAACGTTCCATTCAAGCTAGTCCCCGTTCTAAAAGGAAGATGTTTGTTTGCAGACAACGTTGGAGGAACACCGGACAACTCATCCTTCAGCAAAGCCAAATTATCTCCCTGATTTGGAGACACTACCTCACGAAGCCTCTTCACTGGTATCTTAACCCTTCTTTTCTTTTCCGGGCTAAACTCGGGGCCTTTCATATTACTGGTAACAAAACCAGTCTCGACGTTCTATAGAACTGTCTTCTGGGTCCATATAACTTCAGAACAAAATTTTCACCTCTTTGGGAACTGGGGAGAAGGTGGGGTAAGGAGGAACGAGGGGTGGGGAGTATAATAAAGAAAACGTGAATCTGAAGTGATTCTGAAATATGCAGTCAACAACTTTTAAATAAAACAATGTCTAAACAAACTATTCACTTGCTAGAAATTTTAATTTGGGCGTTTAATCCAGCATAGAGACTAGAACACCATTTTTACCCCACTCAGTCTACTAATGCACCATGCCCATGAATCTTAAAATGGAAATGACAAGAAAACGACCGCATGAGCAATGATAACCATAACAGTGCATTCCCCATCCTGAGAGTTGGCAAGGCAAAACCAAACAGATGTGGAGGCGGAGTTAAGATGTGTTGGGAAGAGGGAGTCAAGCAGGTAAAACCCAAATGCTATTTTTCTTTTAATCACCTACATAAGAAGGTTAATAGTATTCTTCAGCCAATGCGTCTTACACACCCCTCCAGATGCAACCACCGGACACCTAAATTCACCACTCGGAGCCTCCAGAACGCCCTGCAACCGCACAGCCACAGGTCTAATCAGACAACAGCTTCAGTTGCCCGCGAGTCAACACCCACTTCCTTTTCAGCCCGCCCTTGAGACACAATACGCATGCGCGGCTAGAAAAGCGCCCTAAACATCCAACCAAAAAGCTAAATTCTCCCCGGTGCTCCCCCATCCTTTTCCGGGTGGAAACACACTCCCAACGTAAATGGCTTAAAACAGGTGTGACTTTTTTTTAATGCAGTACGTTGCCCCCACAGATTTGAACATTGAATAAAACCCGAAGAGACTCATCGAAAACCTGCAGAACTCCCCAACTAACTGGTAACATCACTCGCATTTACTAGGGACTATTTACAGTGTAGCTCCTGGAGACGGTTAGGGACGCAAATTAAGTAAATTAGTCTTTTGAAAGGTTTAGGCAGATTCGGGTTACTATTGGCGAGGAAATCAGAAATAGGGAGCACTGCCTAAGGAGACAAACAAAAATTAATTCTCAGTGGATTTTTAGAATTATAAAACAATACCGGATTTTTTCTGTGAAGTTCCCCTCGTTATAACGAATCGGCGTCGCAGAGTCTAAGGACTATTTGTCATCGCCGCTCCCACGTGTTCTCCAGCCAGCAGCTACGGCACCCGCCGTGACCCCGACCCTCTGCCCCCGGACTCGACTGGCAGCGCAGCCCCCCCAGCCTCTACTGTTGTCCGAAGCGAGAGCCTGTGCTTAAAAGTATGATCTCTTTTCTCTGCCCTCGGAATCCCGGGTTCCCGGGCGGGGGGCGGCAGGCTACGCTCCGGAAAGGTGGTGGGTCTCTGAATGAGGCCGCCGCATTTTCGTGGGCTGTGGGGGGCTGAGGCGCCGGGCAGCGGGTCATGAGTCCCCAGAGCAGGTTTGAGACCTGCCTGACGTCCGTGTCACTGGGGCGACAGTTGTAATTTGAGGCTCTGAGGCACACCAAACTGGGTTTGAGCAGTCTTGTTCTGAGAGAGTGAGACTGGAAGGCACCCACGCCTTGACCTTGACACAACAGGCAGGAGACCCTCCTTTAACTGAAAAATGTCCTCTGGACACAGTACGAGGGCCAACACCTTTATCTGATGTGCTCATTTCAAGGGCGCACTACTTAGACGTGTCCTTTCACGCATTACTAGAGGCTTTACAAAAAGATTAATCAAAGCAAAAAGTGTAATCTGATGTTAAAGCTAAATAATACATTTTTTTATTTTTACATCTCAGCTGTCTGCTTTCATGGAAGAAATCCTAGAATTAAAAGAGACCTTAAGGCCTCGGCTTTGGAAAACCTTTTAATTATTCTTTGCAAACTATGTCTTATTCCAGTTACATTTTGCTCTTCATTACTGGGCTCTTAGCTAGTACCTGCTTGTTCACAAGCTGTTTTATAATATAAATGAATTAAAAGATGCAATGACAGTGTCAGAGCTGCAAGAGAGTTTGGAGGTGATTTAACTCCCTATTTTCTAAATGTAACTTAGATGTGAAAGAAAAAGGAAGCTTTCTCCTCTAGTCTCTGAGGAGACTATAAGGCAGTCAAAACAAGGAGTTGAATTGGGTTGAAACCCAAGTAGTCTTACCCGCTTCTAGTCCATTGCTCACAGGATTATCCTTTAAGCCTTGAAACCAACCATTAAACCTGAAAGTAGTATACAGTAATCTTTCAAAAGAATTTTTTGAATTGCCATTTAATCAAACATTAACTTCCTAAACCTGCTGCAAATAATCTAAAGGGACAGGTGGTAGAGTTCTATTGAAATCCATCAACCAAACAAGTTCAGATCAATTTAAATATCTGACCTATCAAATAAATGACACTGATAGCCCTGGAATGAAAAATATGGCTCACAAGATTGTTTTTCTTTTTTATTGTTATTTTATTGTTAAGATTTTTTACTTATTTGCTGTCTCTTTCCCTGCTCTCTATATACATAGATACAGTCTCTTTCCCTGCTCTCTATATACATACAGTCTCTTTCCCTGCTCTTTATATACATAGATACAGTATTTTTTATTTATTATTTATTTTTTTCCTGAACCATTTGCAAGTAAGTTGCAGACATCATGACCTTTTACCCTAAATTCTTCAGCATGAATCACTTTAAGAACAACCTATTACGTAGCCAGGATAAGAGTATCACACCTAAAATGATAACATATTCCCAAAATGTCTTTTAACTCAAAAAATGTTTCTTTTTAAATTCAGAATCCAGCCCTGGCCGGTTTGGCTCAGCGGTTACAGCATTGGCCTGTGGTCCAGAGAGACCCGGGTTCAGTTCCTGCTAAGGGCAGGTATCTTGGTTGCAGTTTGTCCCTGGCCCTGGTTGGGTTGTGCGGGTGGTGGCCACTGTATGTGTCCTTTTCGCGTCTATGTTTCTCTCTCTCTTCCTCTTCCTCCCTCCCACTTTGAACAAAAAATGGGAAAGTGTCCTCAGGTAAGGATAAAAAATAAATATATAAATAAATTCAGGATCCAAAGTTCACACATTGTTGTCATGACCCTTTAGTGTCCTAATATGAAACAGCCTTCTACCACTTTTCTTTATGACTTTTTTTTTCCTTAAAGACTAGTCTGGCCCTAGCCAGTTTGGCTCAGCAGTTAGAGCATCGGCCTGTGGTCCAGAGAGACCCGGGTTCGGTTCCCGCTAAGGGCAGGTATCTTGGTTGCAGTTTGTCCCCAGCCATGGTTGGGTCATGTGGGTGGCAACCACTCGATGTGTCTCTTTCATGTCCATGTTTCTCTCTCTCTCTCTCCCTCCCACTCTATCTGAACAAAAATGGAAAAATGTCCTTGGGTGAGGATAAGGGAAAAAAAAAAAAAAGACAGGTCTTGTCTTACAAATTATCCCATATGGTGGATTTTCCTAATTATTCCCTCATGATCAGAGTCAGATCATTTTTGGTGAGAATACCACATAGGTTATGCGAGGTATAATCGCTTGGTTAAGGTGGTAACTGCTGGATTTTTACACTATAGGGCAGTTTTCCTTTTGTGATAAGTAACCTGTGGAGATGTTTTGAGACCGTGGATATGTCCTGTTTCCCAGGAACCGATCACCCAGAGGTTTTATGATCCATTCAGGATCCTTGCTTGAATCACAAGATTACCAGTGACCAGTACCAATCATGCAAGTACCAGGTTAGTGATAGAGGCCAAGGACATCAGAAGAATCATCTGCTTTAACTATTTTAACAGAATTAGAAATTTGTCTCCAGGCCTGGAACAAATCTGCGTATGATTCTGAAAAGGAAATGGCAGGCATCTCCCCCTTCACATCCTGGTTAGTCTCTTAATTTCTTTTTAATATTCAGAAATCTCTGGGAATTGCTTGTTCTTCTGTGATGTTCACCTGAACACACTTACTACCTGGAAAGATAAGGATATTATGTTTTTCTTTTTTTATTCCTCACTGAAGGATATGTTTTTATTGATTTTAAAGGGACAAAGGGAGAGCGAAATATCAGAAACATCTATTGGTTGCCCAACCCCCTTCAAAATCGAAACTTTTTGGTGTACAGGAGGATATTACAACCAATGGAGCCACCCGGCCAGGGCAGGATATTGTGTATTTTTAAATACATATAATAGCATATGCTAAAGATTTGTAACCTCAGAATAGATTGAAGAAACTTAATTTTACTTATTGAAAAAGAAGAGGCTTTTTTCTTTCTATATAACATTGTTAGTTTCAGGTATACAGCCTAATGATTCCATATCTGTATATATTGCAAAATGATCACAATAAGTCTAAGGAAGACACTTTAAATTTTTTTTTTTTTTTTTTAATATTTTGTTGAGATAGAGTGGGAGGGAGGGAGAGAGAGAGAAACATCGACATGAAAGGGACACATCGAGTGGCTGCCACCCACACGACCCAAACAGGGCCGGGGACAAACTGCAACCGAGGTACGCACCCTTAGCGGGAACCGAACCCGGGTCTCTCCAGACCACAGGCCGACGCTCCAACCGCTGAGCCAAACCGGCCAGGGCTAAGGAAGACACTTTTAAAGAATGATTTAGCCAACAGAAGTTTAGACTTCTCAAATAGACTCTTAGAGCTTGAAAGGGTCTCCCCAGTCATTGTAATCCCATCATTTTTTCAGATAAGAAATCAAGCCTTACCGGAGACATTCAAGCAAAAGTTGGACAACTACTTTTCAGAACAGAAAGGAAACTCATGCATCAGAAAAGGTTTGAGCGATAAAATCTCCCTTTGCTTTTAAGTTCTATGATATATTTGGTTTGGCACAAAAATAACTTAACATTGCTGTAATAATTCCTGAGACCTAAGCCAGGGATTCTGGAACTCTTATCCCTTCCCTCCATCTCCATGTTTCAGAAATATAATCGAAAGGTAACCCCTCATTGGATGTTTGCCTCTACAATAACAAACATTTGCTGTAACATCTCAAAACTAGGATCAAATAAAAGGGCAGCCACATTGCTGCAGCCTGCTCAAACCATCAGAGATTTGCTTGGCTGTAAATTAGCAAATCATTCAATCAGCAGTATTTTCCAGGCATATACCTGGATTGTAGGGTTGATCCCCTAACCCGGTTGGGGTCATGAGGTAGGCAACTGTTCCTAGAAACTACTACCACAGCCTTGATACAGGTATACTTCAGAGATATTGCAGATTTGGTTCCAGATCACCGAAATAAAGGGAATTGTAGTCTTTTTTTGCTAGTGGAGGGTCTTGCCTTCAATTTATAAAAAAACGCAACATTTGTGAAGCACAATAAAATGAGGTATGCCTGTATTGATGACTACAGAGAAGAGCTTTAGAGGTTTAGGCAGACTTAAGACAATTGCTGACTGTTAGCTCTTGAGTTCAGTTGTAGGTCTGGGAAGATATTTGATAATATAATATATAATTGAATGATTCTAGAGAAAGGGAAATCGTAATGTTAAAATAGTGGTCTCTGCGCTCTGGCTGGTTTGGCTCAGTGGTTTGAGCATTGACCTGTGGACCAATGAGTCACGGGTTCGATTCTGATCAAGGGCATGTACCTCGGTTGCAGTTCATCCCCAGCCCTGGTTAGGTCGTATGGGAGGCGACCAGATGATGGTGCTGTATCACATCGATGTTTCTTTCTCTCCCTCCCACTCTTATCTGATGATAAATTGGAAAATATCCTCGGGAGAGGAATAAAAAAAAAAAAAAGTGGTCTTTGAATAGTAGAAGTATTTCTCTTTTAACTTCTAAATTCTCAAGAAATAGATTATATTACTTTTATACTATGATAAACTTTATTTTAAGGAGATAACATACTTTTTTTTAAATCCTCACCTGAGGATATTTTTCCATTTATTTTCAGACAGAGTGGGAGGGGGAAGGAGAGAGAGAAACATCGATGTGAGAGAGACACATCAACTGGTTGTCTCTCACACAACCCTGACCAGGGCCAGGGACTGAACTGCAACTGAGGTACGTGCCCTTGACCAGAATCAAATCTGCAACTCTTTGTCCACAGACTGACACTCTAACTGCTGAGCCAAACCAGCCAGGGCAGGAGATACATACCATTAAGAACTATTTTGCTCAGCAGGTAGAGCATGGGCCCTCCTCCATCCAGAGGGTCTTGGGTTTGATTCCCGATCAAGGGCATATACCTGGATTGTAGGGTTGATCCCCTAACCCGGTTGGGGTCATGAGGTAGGCAACCAATTGATGTGTCTGTCTCACATTGATGTTTCTCTCTCTTCCTCCCTCCCTCCCACTCTAGCTGAAAACAATCAGTGGAAAATATCCTGGACTGAGGATTAACAAAAAAAAAAAAAATTTCATACTTTCTGCCTTGGACCTCTGGTTGTAAAAGTTATTATATATGAATTTTTAACCTTAAGAGAGATACAAGAATAGGAAAAAGAACTAGATTTTTAGCATTACACTCAGTGAACATGTAAATTTCTAAGATGTTATAAGTAAGGAAATCAGATCTGTTTTCTTTTTGTTGTGAGTTGTAGAAAGTCCAGTTTGCTGCCTGTCCTCCTGAAACACAGCAAGTATACTGTACAGTTCAGCAATTCAAAAGGCTAGGGTCTTATGGGTGCCCTTTTGTGCTGTTAGCTAAAGGCCTGTTGGTAAACCAAGTTGTTGGGTTTTTTAGGTTTTTTAAATTTATTTTAGAGAGAGAGGAATGGAGAGAGAGAGAAACATCAGTGCCTCCTGCTTGTTTCCTACTGGGAATCAAACCGGAAACCCTGGCATGTGCCCTAAACCCTGGCATGTACCCTAATCAGGAATCAAACCTGTAACCTTTTTTTTTTTTTAGAGAGTAAATCTTTTTTTTTCCCCTTTTCTTTTTTTAATCCTCACCTGAGGACTTTTTTGCATTCATCTTTAGATAGAGCCGGAGGGAGAAAGAGAAACATCTATGTGAGAGAGACACAACGACTGGTTGCCACTCACACAACCCCAACTGGGGTCGGGGACAAACTGTAACCGAGGTATGTGCCCTGACGGACACCAAACTCAGGTCTCTCTGGTCTGTGGGCTGACGCTCTAACTGCTGAGCCACGCGGCCAGGGCAAACCTGTAACCTTTTGGTGCTGGGACAACACCCAGCCAACTGAGCCACAGCGGCCAGGGCAGTAAACCAAGTTTTCAAGTTACCACAAAACAATGGGTTTCATTTAATACCTATTCCCACAAAAGTTTTCTTACCTGTTCTTGGATCTTTTGGGCTGTTTTCTGAATGGGAAGCCAAAAGAACTATAGTTATGAACATTTGCTAACATTTACCACACTGCATTTTATTCTTTGGCAGGGATTAGAAAGCTAGACAACCTCATTTTATTATTATTATTATTAAACTTTTCATTTTAAGATTATTGTAGGTTCACTGCAGTTCTAAGAAAAAATAAAGAGATCCCTTGTACTATTTACCCAGTTTTTCACAATGGTAACATCTTCAAAAACTACAGTACAATCTCACAACCAGGATATTGATATTGATACAGTCAAGATACAGAACATTTCCATCACAAAAGTCTTCTTTGTTGCCTTTTTATAGCAACACCCATTTCCCTCCTACTCCAACCTCTCATTAACCCCTGCCAACCACTATGTTCTCTAATTCTGTGATTTTGTTAATTCAAGAATGTTATAGCCTTGGCCAGTTTGGCTCAGCGGTTGAGTGTCGGCCTGTGGACCAGAGAGTCCTGAGTTCAGTTCCCGCTAGGGGCATGTACCACAAAAAAAAGAGAATGTTATATAAATGGAATTATACAGTATGTGACCTTTTGGGATTGGTTTTTTTTCATTAAGCATAATTGAGAGATTCATCCAGGCTACTTCATGTATCAGTACTTCATTTCTTTCTTTGCTGAGTAGTATTTCATGTATGGTATACCAGCCTAACCATTCACCCACATAAGAACGTCTGGTTGTTTCCAGTTTTTGACTGTTATGAATAAAGTTTCTATAAACATTCATGTACATGTTTTTGTGTGAATATGTTTTCATTTCTCTGTAACAAAATGCCCAGGAATGCAATTGCTGGGTCATATGTTATATGTTGAATTTTATAAGACACTGCTATCCTGTTGACCAGAGTGGCCATATGATTTTACATTACCGCTAGGAATATATGAGGGATCCAGTCTTTCCACATCCTAACTAGCATTTGGTGGTGTCACTTTTAAATCCTCACCCAGGGATATTTTTACATTTATCTTCAGACAGAGTTGGGGTGGGGGGAGAAACCTCAATGTGAGAGAGACACATCAACTGGTTGCCACCTGCACGACCCCAACTGGGGCCAGGGATGAACCGCAACTGAGGTATGTGCCCTTGGCCAGAATTGAACCCAGAGATCTTCTATTTTTCTAAAAGCTTTAATATTTTCATGTTTTACATAGAAGTCCCTGGTTCATTTTGAATTAATTTTTGTATAAAAAGACTTAATTTAAGGTTAATTTTTTTGTCTGTGGATGTAGAGTTGTTCCAGTACCTTTATCAAAACTAGGTGGGCATATTTATGATTCTGTTTCTGGGTTCTCTATTCTATTCTGTTGATCCATCTGTCTGCCCCTACATCAATACCACACAGTATTGATTAATATAGCTATATAATTAGTCTTGAAATCAGATAGACTAATTCCTCTTATTTAATTCTTTTTTTAAATCTTTTTATTCTTGTCCCTTTGCTCTCCATATAAATGCTTGAATAATCTTGTCTGTATTTTCAAGAAACCTTACTGGAATCTTAATAGAAATTACATTAAACCTGTATAGCAATCTTTACCATGCGAAGTCTTCTAGCCCATGAACACAGTGTCTCTTCATTTTCTTACGTCTCTGATTTCTTTCATCAGCACTTTGCAATTTTCAGCATATAAGTCTTGTACATACTTCGTTAGATTTACCCCTAAATTTTTTTTTTTTAAATCCTCACCCGAGGACATTTCTCCATTTTTTGTACAGATAGAGTGGGAGAGAGAGAGAGAGAGAGAAACATCGATGTGAAAGGGACACATCGAGTGGCTGCCACCCGCACGACCAACCAGGGCCGGGGACAAACTGCAACCGAAGTACGTGCCCTTAGCGGGAACCGAACCCGGGTCTCTCCGGACCGCAGGCCGACGCTCTAACCGCTGAGCCAAACCAGCCAGGGCCTAAATTTTTTTTTTTAATTTCTTCAGATAAAGCAGGAGGGAGAGAGGGAGGAAGAGAGAGAGAGAAACATTGATGTGAGAGAGACATCGACTGGCTGCCCCCACACGATCCCATCTGGGGCCGGGGACAAACTACAGCCGAAGTATATGCCCTTAGCGGGAACCAAACCTGGGTCTCTCTGGACTGTGGGCCGATGCTCAAACCGGCCAGGGCTACCCCTAAATTTTTTATGAGTGATTGTAAATAGTATTGTATTTTTAACTTCAGTGTCCATGCATTAATTGTAAGCATCTAGAAATATAATTGATATTTTAAAGTATATCTTATATCCTGTGAATTTGCTGAAACTACTAGTTCTTCCTTTGTAGATTCTGTTTGCAATCATGTCATTTGCAAATAGGGACAGCTTTATTTTCTTCCTTTACAATCTGTATTTCTTTTTCTTGCCTTACTGCACTGGGTAAACTTTACAGTGGTATGTTGAGTAAGAGCAGTAACAGCAGACACTTTGCCTTGTTCACAGTCTTAGGGGAAAGTATTTAGGCTGCAGTGAAAGGTTTTTGTGGAGGCTTATCAAGTTGAAGTTCCCTCTTTTCCTAATTTTCAGAGTTTTTATCATGAATGGGTGTTAATACTTTTTCTGCATCAAATAATATGATCATACAATTTTTCTCCTATAGTCTGTGAGTATGGTGAATTACCCTGATTTTCAAATATCAAACCAGCTTTGCATGTCTGGAATAAACCCCACTTAGTTAAGGTGTATAATTTTTTAGATTGCTGAATTATGTTTGCTATTATTTTGTTAAGGATTTATATGTCTACTATATAAGGGATATTTCTCTCTAGTTTTATGTACTGTCGTCTGGTTTTGATATCAGGATAATAGTAAATTCATTATACTTTTGATATCTGTAGGGTCTCTGGTGATATGCACTTTCATTTCTGATAATGATAATCTCTTTTAAAAACCAACTCTTTGTGCGTCCGCCTGCGGTTCAGAGAGACCCAGGTTCGGTTCCCACTAAGGGTGTGTACCTCGGTTGCAATTTGTCCCAGGCCCTGGTTGGGTTGTGTGGGTGGCAGCCACTCGATGTGTCCCTTTCACATTGATGTTTGTCTCTCTCTTTCTCTTCCTCTCTCTCCCTTCCACTCTATCTGAACAAAAAATGGAAAAAATGTCCTCATGTGAGGATAAAAAATAAAATAAAAATAAAAACCAACTCTTTGTTTTATTGATTTTTGTCTGTTGCTTTTATGTTTTCATTTATACTGATTTCTGCTATTTATTATTTCCTTCTACATAGTTTGGGTTTATTTTGCTCCTTTTCTAGGTGCTTTAGGTAAGAGCTTAGATTGTTGATCTGAGAGGTTTCTTCTTTTCTAATGTATGAATTTAGTGCTATAAATTTTCCTCTTGGCACTGATATAGTTCTGTTAACACAAATCCTGATATGTTGTATTTTCAGTTCAATAATTATTCCCCCCACCCCCACCCCTTGAGACTCCTCTTTGAACTGTGGATGATTTAGAAATGTATTATTTTCCAAATGTTTAGAAATGGGCCTATTCTCTTTCTGTTACTCATTTCTGGTTTGATTCATCTGTGGTCACTTGATATATTTCCATTCTTTTAAATTTGTTGAGGCTAGTTTTATGACCCATGATACTGGTTCAGTGAGCACTTGATAAAAATGTCTGTTCTGTGGTATTGGGTGAAATGTTCTATAAGTATAGATTGTATCCTTACTAACTTACAGGATTCAAAAAAAAGAAAGAAAAGAATAAATGCAAAAGAGTGAAGACTGTATACATGGTTGGAAATGCTGGAATTGAATTACCATTGATTATATTCATTAATCAAATAAGAATGTTAATTTTTTTTCATGATGGTAGCAATTTGAATTTCCTAATTAGTTTCACCTCCATATAAACTTCATGAGAACGTCATGCTTTACAGAGCCACTTTAATAATTGATGAGTCAACAAGAATGATTTATACATCCATTTTATCTTTTCTGCATTGGTTATCAGGAAACTCAAAGCCAAATATAATCCACAAAAATTCTGTTAGTCTATAGTGTACCAGATTAGTACTTGCTTATTCTTCTTTTTACATGCTGTTTAATTTCTATTTTTTTATTATTTTTTTTATCCTCACCCAAGGACATTTTTTCCATTTTTTGTTCAAATAGAGCAGGAGAAAGAGAGAGAGAGAGAGAGAGAGAGAGAGAGAGAGAGAGAAACATTGATATGAAAGGGACACATTGAGTGGCTGCCACCCGCACGACCCAACCAGGGCCAGGGACAAACTGCAACTGAGATACGTGCCCTTAGCAGGAACCGAACCTGGGTCTCTCTGGACCGCAAGCTGACGCTCTAACTGCTAAGCCAAACCGGCCAGGGCTAAACAGCTTTATTTTATACAAATATTTTATATGAGATGTTCTTCCATTTTAGAACTAGTCAGATAGAATAAATAAATAATGTGGTACATTCCTATGTCTAGATTAACTGAGCCTGGGCCCTCCATTTAGGATATGTGAAAATCCCAGTAATTCAGAAAGGCTTTTTTACTTTCTTTCTTTTATCCTCACCCGAAGACATTTTTGCATTTATTTTCAGATAGAGCGGGAGGGGGAGAGAGAGAGAGAGAAACAATGTGAGAGAGACACATCGACTGGTTGCTACCCGCATGACCCTAGTGGGGGCCGGGGACAAGCTGCAACCAAGGTACTGCCCTTAGTGGGAACCGTACCTGGGACGCTCTGGTTCCGTGTGCCAGTGCTCTAACCACTGGCCAGGGCTTGACTTTTTTTTTTATTTTATTTTTTTATTGTTCTTTATTTTTTTATTTATTTGTTTTTGTTATAGATGTTTCTTATCCCCCCCATTGACACCCTCCTCCCCTTCCTCCTCGCCCCATCCCCAGCTTTGTTGTCTATGTTCATTGGTCATGCATACATGCATGTAAGTTCTGTGGTTTATCTCTTTACCCTCCCCCCCTCCCCTGAGGCTTGTCAGTCTGTACCCCACTTCTATGTCTCTGGGTTGATTTTGTTCATCATTTTGTTTAGTTCATTATATTCCACAAATAAGTGAGATCAGGTGATATTTGTCTTTCTCTGCTTGGCTTGTTTCGCTTAGCATAATACTCTCCAGGTCCTTCCTCCTTCCATGCCATCTCAAAGGATAAGAGATCTTTCTTTCTTACATAGTACTCCATTGTGTATATGTACCGCAGTTTTTTTATCCACTCATCTACTGATGGACACTTGGGCTGTTTCCAGATCTTAGCTATTTTAAATAGTGCTGCTATGAACATAGGGGTTTATATGTTCTTTCTGATTGGTGTTTCAGGCTTCTTAAGATATATTCCTAGAAGTGGGATCACTGGGTCAGAGCTTGACTTTCTTATCTTCACTTCTCTCTTGCCCCTAAGTTAGATCATAAGTGTCATATATTTAGAAGATTCTGTTAGTGATTGCCCTTTTTGAATTGCAGACTGTATGACTCCTGTAACTCCCTTTTAAAGTCTATTAGAGCCCAGCTGGTGTGGCTCAGTGGATTGAGTATTGTTGTATGGACTGAGAGGTCCCAGTTTGATTCCTGGTCAGGGCACATGCCTGGGTTACAGGCTCAATCCCCAGTAGGGAGCGAGTGGGAGGCAGCCGGTCAATGTTTCTCTCACATAGATGTTTCTATCTCTTCCTTCCTCTCTCTAAAAAAAATCAACAAAAACATTTTTTAAAAATAAATTTAAAAAAACAGCCCTGGCCAATTTTGCTCAGTGGTTAGGGCGTCGGCCTGCAGTCCAGAGAGACCCGGGTTCGGTTCCCGCTAAGGGCACGGACCTCGGTTTTAGTTTGTCCCCAGCCCCGGTTGGGGTTGTGCGGGAGGCAGCCACTCGATGTGTCCCTTTCACGTTGATGTTTCTCTCTCTCTCTCTTCCTCTCTTTCCCTCCCACTCTATCTAAAACAAAAATGGAAAAATGTCCTCAAGTGAGGATAGAAGAAAGAAAGAGGAAGGAAGGAAGGGAGGGAGGGAGGGAGGGAGGGAGGGAGGGAGGGAGGGAGGGAGGGAAAGAAAAAGTCTGTTAGAACTCTGAATATCTTTCGTTTGGGTTGTTGATTTAAAAGTTAAGATTGTGTTTGTTAACAATTAATAGGACTTTGCATTTGCATAGAAAAGGTAAAAAGATCATTAGTAGCACAGGTCAAAGTTACATTAGCAACAAGTGGAATAGTTAACGTAAATACTTATAGGAATACAACAGAGATCTCTTGGTTTCCCTTAGAACCCTACTAGGAATGGGGCTTTAACAAGTGGCTCTTTTGTGCCCTGGCTGGTGTTGATCAGTGGTTAACACATTGGCCTGTGCACCGAAGGGTCTCAGGTTTGATTCCTGGTCAAGGACACATACCTGGGTTGCAGGTTCGACCCCACTGAGGCCCTGAGAGGGGCGTGCAGGAGGCATTCTCACATCAATGTTTCAATCTCGCTCGCTCTCTGTTCTCCCCCTCTCTCTGCTTCTCCCTCCCCAGCCCCCCTTTCTTCCACTCTCTAGAAATCAGTGGGAAAAATATCCTCAAGTGAGAATTAACAAAAATAAACAAGTAGCTTTTTGCAAGGTAGTAGAGCAGATGATCTTAAAACTGGAGATTTAGATAGACAGGGTCTTTGGGTCCCATAGGTAATAGCAATCTTAATTCTAAACTTTACGGTTTTGTTATTTCATGAATAATGTGGGAAGTTGGGGAAGTGGCATGTAATTACGTACATGGTTAGAAACTCATAAAATATGAAAAATATTACAGGTAGACTTGTTTCAGTTATATTTAATAAACTGTTCTTGTTTTGATAACCTAACTTTTCAAGTAGCCTAAAAACATGTGTTTATAGCCCTGGCCGATTTGGCTCAGAAGTTAGAGTGTTAGCCCGCGGACCAAAGAGTCGTGGGTTCGATTCCAGTCAAGCGCACGTGCCTCAGTTGTAGTTTGCTCCCCAGCCCTGGTCGGGATCATGTGAGAGACATCCAATCGATGTGTCTCTCTTTCTCTCTATCTTTCCCTCCCACTCTCTCTGAAAATAAGTGGAAAAATAGCCTCGGGTAAGGATTAAAAAACAAAAACATTTGTTTACAAACTTTTTTATTTTTATTTTTAAATCAGGTGACTAATAAACATACGGGAAGAAATGGCTGCACAACTGCCAGAATCTGATCAGATAAAACAGGTAAGGTATTATAATTAAGGAGAAAGCATCTTGCAAACAAAAGGTGCTATTGGATGCAGCCATGTCAATCAGTGATCTATCAAAACTGTTTGTATTTCATTTCCAAAATTGGATATTAAATGAAGTATATTTATTTTTCAGATAATCCAGGAAAGAATATTCAACAAGAAAATCTGTGTTTTGTAGCTCATATTACATAGATCGTAGTATACCCATTTATGTTAGCAAAAGAACCTTTGATTTCAAGTATTATAGGATATTTTGCCTAAGTATAAACTTCAGTAAAGTTTCAAAACATTTTTTTTTTAAATCATATATTAAAGGAACCTTCTGATTTGTTTATAGTTTAAAGAATTTCTTGGAACCTACAATAAACTTACAGAAACCTGCTTTTTGGACTGTGTTAAAGACTTCACAACAAGAGAAGTAAAACCTGAAGAGGTATGAAAAGTGTTGCCCACTAAAAATCCTCTAAACTTGTAATAAGCCATTTAAATAGGATACCCCCTGCCCTGGCCGGTTTGGCTCAGCAGTTAGAGCGTCGGCCCACGGACCAGTGAGTCCCAGATTCAATTCCAGTCAAGGGCATGTACCTCGGTTGAGGTTCGTTCCCGACTGGGTCGTGTTGGAGGCAACCAGTCAATGTGTCCCTCTCACATTGCTGATTCTCTCTCTCTCCCTCCCACTCTATCTGAGGATAAGTAAAAATATCATTGGGTGAAGATTAATAAATAAATAAATATAAAAATAAATGGGATCCCCCTAAGCATTTTGCTTATTTCTAGGTATTACAGGAATTTTGGCTACCTTTTATACTCTGTTGCTTGGAGGAACTGAAGCAGCCAATGACTCATAACATTGACTTGATTGACAAATTTAATGTAACAGTCACATTGAACCAAGGCAGACTTTTTCAGAGAAGGGGCCTGGGGCTTGCTGAGTTATTGTTTCATTGCAGTCTTACTAATCAGCTTTCAGTCAAGGGGACCTAGCTAGAGAAACTTGATATGGCTTTTCTATTTGACCCTCATATTGCATGGGTAGATTCTGAAAACCCAATCCTATTAGAAGTTATAACTTTTAATATGCTCATAAAAACATTTCTATATTGGCTTAAAGTGACATAACTTCTTCCAATGGAAGATGTCGATAAACATTCATGCTAAGAACTTAACATATAAGCAGCATGAATAAAGACCTGTTAAACAAAGGACAAAGTTTAATAATCTAAGTGTAATAATCTTATTGGTAAAAAATAAAAGGTTGAGAATTAACTTAATGTTAAGAATGTAATTGTTCATTAAAAAGGAACAAACTTGCTACTGGGTCTACATTTTAATAATCAGAATAAGGGGCTAGGAATGTGGGCTTCAGTTAATGTTAAAACACCTGCAGAAAATCGAGTGCAGATGGCAGGGACTAACCATTGTTTTTAGTGCCTACAACTTGTAGGTATTTAATATGTATTAACTCTGAACAGTTGAAAGCTATGGTCACCTGCTACTTATTAATACCGTTTAATTCTCAGATATATTCAAAGAAAAGTACCCACCAGTTGGTCTTTTAGAATACATGCATTTTTTTTATAATTAATATTTTTGTGTTGCCTCTTCCATCTTCTTTTTTTGTTTGTTTTTTTCTAGACCACCTGTTCAGAACATTGCTTACAGAAATATTTAAAAATGACACAGAGAATATCCATGAGATTTCAGGAATATCATATTCAGCAGAATGAAGCTCTGGCAGCCAAAGCAGGACTCCTCGGTCAGCCACGATAGAGAAGTCCTGATGGATGGACTTTCCATGGAAAATTGCCAATAGCTTTACACTGGAAATGAGGATTCATCTGATAGAATCCCCTGAAAGCAATAGCCACCATGTTACCATCTGTCATGACTGTTTGGCAAATGGAGACCACTGGAGAAACAAAATTGCTGTTTGCCAGGGTTAATCAAAATAGGAGGTCTTCTTGTTCTATGGAAATAGTAAGATGCAACATCTGTTGAGGCCTTATGATTCAGGAGCTTAGTCACTGGATTAGAAAAATAAACCATTGTTTGTTCCATTGTGACTATTAATTTTAAAGCAAAATATGTGTTCAATCATGAATGAGATAGAAAATTTTTTTATTTCTTAAAATAAATGGAAATATCACTGAGCAGTTGTTTATGCTATATGGTAATACAGTATTCTGACTGGAATGTGGATACGTTGAAATGTTTTTCAATCAGGATCATCCTCCAAGTATTCCTGTTCATTCATGTCTGCCTCAAATTGCTGGTAAATACATAAAACAGTTACTTGCTAATCATTTCAATGCACAATTCTTTTCTTGCTTCCCTTGCATCAGGGTGGTCATTACACTTTCTTATTCTAGCTACATTTTCACATATCTTCAGGAAAACAACCCATCTGAGACTAGGTTGGGCATGTTTAAAAGTTGACTTACACTCTAGTGGAGTGTGTGTTTCGTTCAAAAGCTGAGAGTCTAACATGAATGATTCTGAGTCAGACCAATAAAAACTGTATTCTCAGCCATGACGTGATCAGTGTAATAAAAAGTGAACCCAAAGTTAAAATACTGTCTTATTGCTAAACGAACCCTACAATAAACCCATGCATTTTTAGGAAATTCTAGTGGATGCATATGCACACTAAGCAGCTTGATAAATGTAAGTGGACTACTACCTATTAATAATTAGCTTATGAACAGATTTCATTTGATATCAATCTTCAAGTTGTACTTTAGAAAACACTAGTTAGCCTATATGTTTACATTTACCAAAGTGATATCTATGTTTTGTCATACTAATGGAAATTGGAAGTGTTCTGCTTTGATAATTTACTGTTTTCTATGTTACATCTAATTTTTAAGCCATTAGGTCATTTAAATAACAAAATCATTTAACTTAAAGGCCTCCATTGACATTACAGTCCATCAATAACTGATATCTTTGAAAGTACAAAGACAAATAAAATGTTAACAATGCTATCTTTAAAATTGACATGCTGAAACATCTACTTCTCAACAAAAGATGCAGATGTTATAGCCAAAGGAACATGAACTGGCCTGTTTCATGTTAAGGCAAGAAAGGCAATAAAAAATTTCAGAGAATTTACTCAATTAAATCTTTGAGCCATTCACACACCTACTTTGCTATTTCTATGTTCACAAGCCCAAAATGGTTATTTTGCCCATTTCACAGAGATAATTAAATATGTGCTCACCTGGCAAATAAGGGGAATTTTGTGTAACAGCATCTCAAATACCTTGGGAGGGAGTGTGTGTTTAAAAATCTTCAGAAGTTCCCGTGGTTGCCCACACACTGAAAGGGCATTGCTGAGATGTTCAACACCCATTCTGTGCTCTCCTGAAACAAATTGATATGTTCAAAGCAAAATTTTAATGTTCTTCAAACTATACATTATACAAATTATCGAGAAAGCATCACTCATTAAAACTTAAAAGCATATCAAGGTAAAAGCTATGTAAGCAAATCTCATAAAGGGTATAAAGGTGGGAGGAAATGTTGAGCTGCCAGTTGGATTCACTGAGGTTGAGCTGAAATACAAGTCACCATGACCCAAATTACAGTAAGGACCCTAACTTTATTTTATTGATTTTTTTGGTATGTGCCCCTAACGGGAACCGAACCCGGGACTCTGGTCCTCAGGCCAACGCTCCAACCGCTGAGCCAAACCGTTAGGCAGGACTCTAACTGTTTAAAACTGTTCTTGCCCTGGTTGGTTTGGCTCAGCAGTTAGAGTGTCAGCCTGCAGACCAGAGAGTCCCAGGTTCGGTTCCCACTAAGGGCATGTACCTCAGTTGCAGTTTGTCCCTGGCCCTGGTTGGGGTCATGTGGGTGGCAGCCACTCAATGTGTCTCTCTCACATTGTTTCTCTCTCTCTTCCCTCCTCTCTCCTTCCTGCTCTATCTGAAGATAAATGCAAAAGTGTCCTTGGGTTAGGATTAAATAAATAAATAAAATAAAACTGTGTTCTTGAAAATGTACATTTTCTGCAATTTGGGTACGCAGGAGGTGGGTATTGAGGTTTGTTTTGTTTTAAAGGTTGTGTGCTATTCACATGAGGTAGGTTATCTTTACATGTGTTACTGATGAGATTATAGATGAAACATCTGTTTTTCTGGCTGACACTTTTAAAAACTGATTCTACTGTCAGTCAAAACAAGATTTAGTGTAACATGAATTACATCTCCAGAGGGAGAAATTAAAAGATTTAAGAACTTTCTAAGTAAAGTTTTTGGGTTTTTTTATCCTAACCTGAGGACATTTTTTCCATTTTTTGTTCAGATAGAGTGGGAGGGAGAGAGACAGAGAGAAACATCGACGTGAAAGGGACACATCGAGTGGCTGCCACCCGCACGACCCAACAGGGCTGGGGACAAACTGCAACCGAGGTACGTGCTCTTAGCGGGAACCGAACCCGGGTCTCTCTGGACCGCAGGCCAACCCTCTAACCGCTGAGCCAAACCGGCCAGGGTGTCTAAGTAAAGTTTTAAAATGAGTTTTAGGATGATTGGCTATAAAGTAAGAATGATAATTTGTGAAGAGTAGAAATCATAGAATTTCTATTTATTTATTTATTTATTTTTATCCTCACCTGAGGATATTTTTCCATATTTTGTACAGATAGAATGGGAGGGAGAGAGAGGAAGGGAGAGAGAGAGAGAAACATCGACGTGAAGGGACACATCGAGTGGCTGCCACCCGCACGACCAACCAGGGCCGGGGACAAACTGCACCCGAGGTACGTGCCCTTAGCGGGAACCGAACCCGGGTCTCTCCGGACCGCAGGCCGACGCTCTAACCGCTGAGCCAAACTGGCCAGGGCTAGAATTTCTATTTAAATAAAAACTGCAATCAGTCTCACTTCCTTGTTTTGGGAAACAGGCAAAGCTCAGTGAAATGATTTAAGGTTTCAAGCGTGTTAGAACTAGTAATGGAACCTAATTTTCTGAACCTTGAGACTACAGCATGCTGCCTCTCTTCTGCTGTTATGCAATAATAGAAGTTGAAATTTGACATATATTTAATATAACTAGTTAGGAAATAAAATATATTTCTCTAATTAAAATACTAGATTCTTATTAATGGAAATTAATTTTTCATTTGTTGGTTAGACTACATGGTTGTATGAAAAGTGCATGATGGACAGGAAAAAAATGCTTCCCAAGGATTTGTATTAATCTTAAAACTATTCCCTGGCAGGTATGGCTTGGTGGGTATCGTCCTGTGGACCAACAGGTTGCTGGTTCAATTACCAGTCAGGGCAGGGGTCCTGGCTTCCAGCTCAATCCCCCAGTACGGGGTGTGCAGGAGACAGTGGGTCAATGTTCGCTCTCACATCAGTGTTTCTCTCCCTCTCCTTTCTTTCTAAAAAAAATCAATAAAAATATTTTTTTAAAAACTATGAGAAAGACATGACCTAACCCAGATACACAGACAAAGCAAACCTTATTAATACGTAGATTTTAGGACTTATGATTTTGTGTCTATAGACACCAATTTTATATTTTCAACATAAGAAATCCTCATTGCTGGGTTTTTAGTAACTTCTTAGGCATTTAAAGAAGCTATTTCTTGCCCTGGCCGGTTTGGCTCGGTGGTTAGAGCGTCGACCTGCGGTCCTGAGAGACCCGAGTTCGGTTCCCGCTAAGGGCGCGTACCTCGGTTGCAGTTTGTCCCCGGCCCTGGTCGGTCGTGCGGGTGGCAGCCACTTGATGTGTTCCTTTCACATCGATGTTTCTCTCTCTCTCTCTCTCTGTTCCTCTCTCTGCCTCCCACTCTACCTGAACAAAAAAATGGGAAAATGTCCTCGGGTGAGGATTAAAAAAAAAAAAAAGAAGAAGCTATTTCTTGTTCCTGGCTGGGTAACTCAGTTGGTTAGAGCATTGTCCTGATACACCAAGGTTGTGGGTTTGACCCCTGGTCAGAATCAACCAATGAATGCATAAATAAATGGAACAACAAATTGATGTTTGTTTTTCCTCTCTCCTTCTCTCTCTCAAATCAATAGAGAAGCTATTAGATGAAGTATTTCACTGGAAGGTTTATTTTAAAGAAATAAAATTATAGCTTTATGAAAATGATACATGAAGTCAAAATACTTTGACTATATTGAGCCATTTAAAGAAAAAGATATAATATTGCCTGTTCTCAAGTAGATGGAGCTAATGTGACAAAAACAATTTGTCAATAATGTTTAACATAACTTTAGTCCATTTGTAAAACTACCTAAAAGATCAGTACTGAATAAAATTCTAAAATGTCAAAGTATGATTAATATGCAATGATTCTGAATGACTGCAGTGTTTTTTAAAATAAATTTTTCTTTTTTTAAAACTGACTTTAGCGAGAGAGAGAACGATCAGTTGCCTCCCATATGCACCCTGACGGGACTGAACTTGCAACCTGGGTTTGTGCCCTGACCGAGAATCCAACTGGAGACTTTTCAGTGCTTGGGATGACAACCACCTGAGCCACCCAGCCATGGCAGCTGTAATACTTTTTAGTTTCTCAGAACCTTTATCGTGGTTTTAAGCCACTGATTAAAGTTAAAATCCTATGAGTTGTCCAGGAACTGGAATTCCTCTGTGTCTTTATAAATCCTGGAAGATGCTACCCTCTTAAATGATGGTTGGAAAACAAATTTTTTTCAAAAAAGACAAAAGAAGCAAAAACAGGTATAGGTATTGTGACATGCAAGGGAATCTGCAACACTTGAAAAAAAGATGCAAAAATGGGTGTAATGCTCATTTATCGAGCAACATTGTCTACTCCTTAGTTAAGAAGCCTCAAAAAAACAAAAATCTTTTCTTTTCCAGGGTGTAACACCAGAATAAAAACATGGTCATTATTTACAATATTTATACAATACTGACATTATCTATCATCATTTTACCTGACAAGATTGTGTTTTCTCTCAAATCTATTTGGAATTGGGTGGAGATAAATTATCATTCAAAATACAGGTCATGGCTATTCAGTGCAGAGTAGTCCCTATAGGGATCACTATATTAGACAGAACAAGAATGGTCATTCATAATGGCTTTTTTTTTTTTTTTTCTTGGTACGTGCCCCTAGTGGGAACCGAACCCGGGACTCTCTAGTCTGCAGGCCAATATTCCAACAGCTGAGCCAAACCGGCCAGGGCCATAATGATAAGTATTTTACTAAGTAAAATATAATAATTATTTTACTAAGAATAAGAAGACAGGAAACATTTTATAAAGCAGTTAAACATGTTTAAAGTTTTGATTTACACAAGTAGTCATTTGGAAAATCCATTTGCTTAGAATTTTCACCTGACGACAGATGAGGTGTTCTTGCATCTGGTTTTGCTCCTCCATCGTCACTTCCAACACTGCAATGTAAACTCTAACTCTGGCACGTTGGAGCTGGACAGTGTGATGGAGTGAAAATGCTGGGAGTTTCTCTTGAAACTGAAGCGTATTGCCTGACACATCTAGCTAGCTAAGTTACTTGACACACAGATACCAATCAACTGAACAAAAATGATCATAAATACTGCTTATAAAAGAATATTTACATTCTTACCTCTAGATAACCAAAGTTCTCCCATTCGTATCTCTTGCAGGAAAAGTTCTTGCAATTTTTCATTCCTTGCTGGATCCCACAACTAAGATCCACAAAATATTTAACAATGAGTAATGAATGTAAGGAATATGTGAATAATCAAAAGTATTTAGTTTTTATTTTAAAATGCACTTATTGAACCTACTTTCTAAATCCAAAGTATGACAGATGTGGTTGTTCTTTATAATATTAAACCAATTTCTTAAAATGGAGTTACAATTTCAGGCCATAAAAAAATACATGGCATATTCAAATTAGGTTGTGATGCTTATAACTCATCCACATTTTACTCAGCTTACTAAGTACACATATCAGAAATCTTACTATAATTAACTATACAAAGGTTGCTTTGTATGTTATGAAACTATTTTCTTGCCTGGGGTATTAACATTGCACGTTAATTGGGAAACAGCGTGGTGGGGAGTCGGCAGTGCAGTTGGTGTTGAGAATGTTGCTGTGGTTTGCTGCTGCCTGGTTCATGAAGGTGACCAGGGTCACAGGATGCCACATCATTGGTACCATGCCCGGGGCTGGTCTTTAAAGGTAGAGAGAGCAACCCTTAGCCAAAAATATCAACTCCTCTGCCGGTCACTTCAGCTTCAGTTCGTTATAGACAAAGGATTTTTGTGTTTGTTTCCCAAAAATTCTGTTCTTAAACTGAGATGAGCCTGGCTGTGACTGGATAGCTCAATTGGTTAGAGCATTGTCCCGATACACCAAGGTTGCGGGTTCAATTCCTGGTCAGGGCACATACAAGAATCAACCAATGAATGCAACAAATCTATCTTTCTCTCTCAACCAATCAATCAATTGATAAAAATGGATGAGCCTGGGGAAGGGGTCAGATTTTAAGCTTTTATCAGCAAACATGCTAATGATCAGTAACAACCAAAGGTTTCATTCAACAGATACTTAGTGAGTACTAAAGAACAAGCCACTCTAGGAAGAGCTGGACGAGGAAGGAGACTAAGACCCTTGTGCCCATCCCCAAGAAACCCAAAGTGTGACCAAGGGAAAAGACAAGTATGCTTAAGATCAAAACACATTAACAATGAAGTCCAATGTCCTCTGGCATTCAATGTACAGAGATATTCGATCTGGGTGGGGAATCAGGGAAACTTTCTCCGAAAAGACAGCATTTGAGATACGGAGAAGCTCAGTGACAGTCTGATGAAGGAAGAGGACAGGCAATGCAACACTGCAGGGAAAAACCAAGTAATCTTTATTTAGCTGGATTATGCGAGGGTGAACACTGCAACAATGATAACTACCAATTGCTGACGGGGAGCTGCAGACCAGGAACTTTATGTATATTGTTTCCAATTCAGGAAAAGAAGGCTGTCTATTTAGAAGGCACCCATGGAAGGCTGTGGAGCCGAGCTAAGAGGTTTGGCCTTCCATCCGCAGAATAAGGAGCTGCTGTAAAGAGTTGCATATTCAGGGCTGCCGGTTGGAAGACTGTATTGGAGAGGCAGGGAGACAAGTGAGGAACTTTCTATAATACGTGGGTAAAAGGTAATAAACACCTGGAGTAGAGTGGAAGCAATGGAAATAAGGAAAAGCATATGAGATGAGAGCACAGGAAAATAAGAATTGGGGACTGATTGTGGAGGATGAGGCTGATATTTAAGCAGGAGGAGTCAGGGTCACAGCAGGGAGGTTAGTGATGCCAACAGCATTGTGAATAAGCCAAGAAGGAGCAGTGGCGAGGGATGAGACGATGAATTTACTTCTGAACGCACTAAGATGAGATGCCAACAGAGCACCTAGGCCAGTGGTTCTCAACCTTCCTAATGCCGCGACCCTTTAGTACAGTTCCTCATGTTGTACGTGGGCGTATCTGCACATGGCGGACCCGCCTGGAGACGGATGGAGGAGCGGGGTCTCGGTTCCTAGGAACATCGGAAATATGTGTTTTCTGATGGTCTTAGGAGACCCCCAAAGGGGTCGCGACCCACAGGTTGAGAACCGCTGACCTAGGCAATAGTCTGGCAAGCAGAGGAAATTTGGACCCTGGGTCTAGGGCAGTACATCTGAGGTCACTTGTGAAGAAAGGAAGGAGCCTCCAGGGACATGAGGTAACAGTGAAAATCTGAGGGCAGTGTTCACAGTCAGCTCACAGAGCTGTTAAAACTGCAGCTTCTTGCCCTGGCCAGTTTGGCTCAGCGGTTAGAGCGTCGGCCTGCGGTCCGGAGAGACCCGGGTTCGGTTCCCGCTAAGGGCATGTACCTCGGTTGCAGTTTGTCCCCGGCCCTGGTTGGGTCGTGTGGGTGGCAGCCACTCGATGTGTCCCTTCATGTCGATGTTTCTCTCTCTCTCTCCCTTCCTCTCTCTCCCTCCCACTCTATCTGTACAAAAAATGGAAAAATATCCTTGGGTGAGGATTAAAAAAACAAAACAAAAAAAACTGCAGCTTCTTGGGCTCTACCTAGACCTGCTGAATCAACCTCTAGGAGCAGGGCCCAGGAATCTGCATTTCAACAAGCTCCGTGGGTGATTCTTATAAATTCTAAACTCTGCATACAGTCGGCCCTCGTTCATCATGGTTCCTCGGTTCCAGACTCTACCGTAACAAATGAATTGCTGCGTAGGATTCTGTATTTATACAGTCGTCCCTCGCCACTTCGTCCTGCCACTTGGCGGCTTCACTCTGTGGTGGAAAAAACGATGACAGAGTAAAGCCACGAAAGTTGAAGCAGTGGTGAGGGACAGCTGTCCCTGGCCTACCCCTGGCCCCTAAATCAGAACTGTCCGGTCCTCGAGTCAAATGATCTGTTTTAATGAACGCCCCAGGAAAATCGAATGCAGACAGGACGTGGGCCATACTTAGGGAACTAAAAGGACCTGAAGGTGAATGGGAAGAGAGACCCCAGAAGGGTGGAAAAAGACATCTCTCTGTGCCTTAGTTTATTTAGCTATAAAATCGGAAGGCCAGCCCTGGCCAGTTTGGCTCAGCAGTTAGAGAGTCGGCCCGTGGACCAGCAAGTCCTGGGTTCAGTTCCCGCTAAGGGCACATACCTCGGTTGCAGTTTGTCCCCGGCCCCAGTTGGGGTCATGTGGGTGGCAACCACTCGATGTGTCTCTCTCGCATCCATGTTTCTCTCTCTCTTCCTCCCTCTCTCCCTCCTGCTCTATCTGAAGGTAAATGCAAAAATATCCTTGGGTGAGGATAAAAAAAATATTAGAAGAACAAAGTTGTGAAGATTACATAAAAGAACATTTGAAAAATTCTGCTTTTGCCTCTTCCTCATTTGAAATAATTCAGATCTTCATTATTTCATCTGCACTGCCATCAATGGATTTTCCTGTCTTTGACTTCCCTCCTCCACCCCATCCTTTAAAAAAAATTGCATCCATTCTCTGAAGTAAAGTCGCCATCACGTTATCCACCACAAGAAAATATCCAATCTTTCCAGTTTGGCATTCAAAGCCCTCCACAATGACAACAAACTACCACTCAGCTCTCTCTCTCTCTGGCCACAACACTCCTTAAATATTGGAATTTCGTGGTCTGTGCCTCTGCACAAGCTTCCCACAATAAACAACAATAATCAACAAATATTTACTGGGAGCCTAAAACATACCAGACACTGTTCTAGGCACTGGAGGGACAAACGGAGAGTAAAAAACAGACAAGGTCTGCCCTTCTGGAGCTTAGTCTAAAAAACAGAAGCATTACTCAAATAATCACACAAACAAACTATGTAACTGCCCCCATGGATAAGACCAATCATGGAGAGGGATATGGAGCTGAACCAGGCTCTGCCCCAGTGAGAAAGGTCAGGAAAAGCATCGTAACTCTTCCGTCCAGCTCTGTGGACACTCCCTGTCCTGCTTCTGTAACTATGCCAATTACACCTTTATTCTCTAAGTGACTCCATCCTAAAACCCCAGAAATCTGACTCCTGCCTCTCCATGACCCTTTACTCCATCAACACCAATGATCTATTCTTCCTGGACAATTTATCTCACAGCCCTCATCACCAGTTACCATGGACACCGTTATAGCTCAGGACTTCTATTAACCCTCATGTGTACGGCTGCAATAGCTTCTCCTTTGCTCCAGTCCACCTAGCACACTCCTGCCCGATCAATCTAACCTTGAACGGTTTTTTTTTCTTCTCTTCTTCTTCTTCTTCTTCAAAAAAAAAAAAAGCCTGCTCAGAAATCTTCAGCAATTCCACCACTGAATCTGAAGCCCTTAACCTCCTTAAATGTGATCCCTACTTAGCTCTCCAACCTTACTTCCTACTCCCCACTCGGACTCTTTTGTCAAACTGATTTACTGAATAGACCTGTCAGACCCCCATTTTGCACCTTTAAGTAACGGTGCAGTTCCCTCTGCCCTGAATGTTGTCTCCCCTGAAACCAGGACCCACATTAACACATCCTTCCACGCTTGGTTCAGTGCTACCTTTCCTCCAAAGTCTTCTGTGAAGGGCTGCATGTTCCACAAACAGCCACAGCGATATTCCCAGTCCCACTTCCGGAACCTTTTGCCTCTATGAAGAGAGGGAGCCTATTTCCTCTTCCCTTAAAACTGAGCAGACCTCAATGCTGCAGAAGTGTTGGGCACGCGCGCGTGCACACACACACACACACACACACACACACACACTTGCTTGCCCCTTGGGACCCAGCAATGACACTGTGAGGAAGACCATGCAACATGGAGAGGAATGTGTAAATGTTCAGGCCAACAGCCCTGGTTAAATGGACAGCCAGCATCAACTGGACATGTGAGGAGTGAGCCTTCAGATGACCCAGCACCTAGCCCTGGAGTCAACCAGCCTGAAGCTGAGTGGAGCAGAAAGGTGCTATCCCCACCTGGCCCTGCTCAAATCGCAAATGCAGGAGCAATAGACATACTGTTTTAAGCCACTATGCATAAAGCAGCAACAGGTAAGCAGAACACTTTATGAATGATAATTCTGCTCTGAAAATGATTCTCTCCCTTCTCTGGGCTCTTGTTTCATGGGAGTTACTCTTCCTCTATTACTAACTTCTGCCACAGCTAGGAAGACAAGGGTGGCAAATAGGTGTTGACTAATCAACTGAATATACAGATTAAGACCTAATTCCTCCTGAAGGTTCATAGAAGAACCTAAGAATTCTTAGTAGCACATTTAAAATTTTATTTTGACAGATCAATTTGTTGTTCCACTTGTTCATGCGTTCATTGGTTAACTCTGCACGTGCCCTGCCGGGATCAAACCTGCAATGCTCGGACCGACGCAGCATCCGGGCAGGGCTCTCAGCAGCACGTTTAAAGCTGATGTTAGGTTGGGCCAACCAAGATGACTGTGATTGATAACTTTAAACACGGCTAATCAAATCAGTTTTGGAGAAAAAGAGGATGCGTTCGCTCCGCAGCTGGAAGAAAGGCGCTGCGCGCCAGAAGTGGGCGGTGTGGGAGGCCATGGCCCGGCCTGGGTTTCCAAGTGTCTGGTGCGGCTCTGGGAAGGCAAAAGCTCCTCTGCCTGCTTCCAATGAAAAGCACCTGTTCCTTTGCCTGTTCATAACCCCAAATGGTCCTAAACCTGAACTCGACGTGGGCTCGGAAGAGCCAGCCAGGGACCGGATTCACCTGGGCGCCCGGGTCGTCAGCCCCTTGCTGCCGGGCTCTTCTTTCTGCAAACACAACGCGGCACGTGCTGGTTGGGAGCCATCCCGAGGCCAGCGTGCGCCCCGTGGGCCCCGACAGCGGGGCACCACGGCCCCGCCTCGCCCCGTGGGCCCGCCCCGGCCACGCCGCCGCCGCACTCACTGTCCCGCAGGCGGCGCTTGAACGCGGGGTCGTCACGCCGCTTCCAGTCGAAGTACACACAGTAGCCCAGGAAGGCGACGGCGCCACCGGCGGCCACGGCCGCCAGGAGGCCCAGGAGGGTGCGGACGCAGGGCATCCTGCCGCGGGCGTCCCGGAGCGGAGCGTTGGGCGCGGGCGGGCGGGCAAGCGGGGGGTGGGGGGCGGCTGCCGCCAGGGGGCGTCGGCGCGGCGCCCATCCCGGCCTCGGGTTCCAGGGCGCGGGGCCGCAGGCGTGCCGAGTGTGGTCGCCTTGTTCAGCTGTTGGCGGACAGAGCAGACCGAGGGTCCCAGGGGACGTGTTAGGCGATCTCACTGCCACCCAGTAACAGAGCTCTGTTCGAACCCAGGTCTGTTCCACTCCAAATTCTGAACCTCATTTACCCAGCACACCCCAGTCCACCCAATCAGGCAAAATCACAGCACGTCTGCAATCTGGTTAGCGGAGGAACTGGATCCTCCTTCGGCCTCTCTCTTCCCTCACCTGCAAATTTAAGTTGATGCAAAACTTGGATCATCTCCTAGTGCACAGCACTGCCCATTGAGCTCCTGAACACTAGCCGTAATCTCCTTCTTAATTTCAGTATTTTAGTTGGCATATAGTGGATTCTCACTGTGGCTTTTTACCTTGTATTTTCCTAATGTCTAATATTGAACACCTTTTAAAAATAATCTTTCTTTTTTCGGAGAAGTTTTAGATGCATAGCAAAATTGAGTGGAAAGTACCAGAGGGTCTTCATATACCCCCTGATCGCACGCATACACAACCTCCTCTACTACTAACATCCTAGACTGGCACATTTCTTTCCTTTTTTTTAAATCCTCACCCGAGAACACTTTTTGATATTTTGTTCAGATAGAGTGGGAGGGAGGGAGGGAGGGAGAGAGAGAGAAACAGAAACATCAACGCGAAAGGGACACATCGAGTGGTTGCCACCCACCCCACCCAACCAGGGCCAGGGCCAAACTGCAACCGAGATACGGGCCCCAGCAGGAACCAAACCGGGGTCTCTCCAGTCCGCAAGCCAACGCTCTAACCACTGAGCCAAATCGGCCAGGGTGAGTGGCACATTTCTTATAATCGATGAGCCTACATTGACACATCATTATCACCCAAAGTCTATAGTTAACATTAGGGTTCACTCTTGATGTTGTGCAAATAAATAAAAGGTTTTGACAAATGTATAATTACATGTATCCATCATAATATTATGCAGAATAGTTTTACTCTTTGCTATATATATCTATCCTTCCCTCTCTCAACCCTGATCTTTCTACTGTCTTCATAATTTTGCCTCTTCCAGAATGTTGTGTACTCAGAACCATACAGTATGTAGTCTTTTCAGATTGGCTTCTTTCATTTCAGAATATGCATTTAAAGTCCCTTTGTATCCTCTCATGACTTAATAGCTTATTTCTCTTAGTGGTAAATAATATCCTGTTGTCTGGATGTACCAGTTTTTTCATTCACCTACTGAAGGGACATCTTGGTTGCTCCCAAGTTTTGGCAATTTTGAATAAAGCTGCTGTGAACATCTATGTGCAGGTTTTTGTGTGGACATAAATTTCAACTAATTTATACACACACACACACACTAAGGATCGTGATTCCTGGATCGTATGGTAAGAATATGTTTAGTTTTGTAAAAAAAAAGACCACCAAACTGTCTTTCATATTGGCTGTACTGTTTTTGCATTCCCACTAGCACTGAATGAGTTGCTCTTGTTCCACATTCTCACCAGCATTTGGTGTTGTCAGTGTTTTGGATTTTGGCCATTCTAATAGGTGTGTAGTGGTTTCTCATTGTTTTAATTTGCATTTCCCTGATGACATGTGATGTGGAGCATCTTTTCATATGCTTACTTGCCTGCCACCTGTATATCTTCTTGAAGTGTCTATTAAGGTCTTTGGGCCATTTTTAAATTGTATTACTTCTTATTGTTGAATTTTGAGTTTCTTGGTATATTTTGGATAACAACAGCCTGCTATTCTGATGTTTGTCTCCTCTCACCTCCCAAGTCCTATGTTGACGTCTTAATACCTAATGATGGTATTAAGAGGTGTGTCTTTTTGGAGATGATTAGGTCATGAAGGTGGAGCCCTCATGATTGAGATGAGTGCCCTTATAAAAGGGGCCCCCCAGAGCTCACTGGCCCCTTCCACCCTAGAAGGCCCTTACCTGACCATGCAAACACCTTGATCTGACTTCCCAGCCTCCAGAACTATGGGAAATGTTTGTTTATACGCCTACCAGTATATGGTATTTTTGTTATAGCAGCCAAAACAGACTAAAACAGTTCTGTATCAGGTGTCTTGCATAAATATTTTTTCTGGTTTAGGGTTAGTCTTCTCATTCTCTCAATGAACACTGTTTATAAGTGCTTATTTGCCATCAGAATATAATCAAATCTTTATGAAAAGAATCCCAAAGACAACTTTTAAATGTCTGACATTGTATATAAGGATCGCTAGTAAAAAGAAAAGAAACAGTAACAATTCAAAAGGTAATTCTTCTCAATGTAAGTAAACATAGTTTTTGACCTTTTTACTGTGTTAGATGCTGGAATAGGCACTTTGTGGGATACAACCGTGACTAAGAAGTATGTAAGGAACTAAACATCTTGTAGGGTAGAAAGACACATATATATTAGGTAAACATAATACAAGGTAAGTTGTAAAGGAAAATAATACTGATTGAAAATACTATCAGAGCATAAGAGAGGGTGATATTTGGGTGGTGGTGAAAAGTCAGCAAAGCTTTATAAAAGTAGCCGCTGAGATAGCTCTGGACAAGTAAGGTCCAGAATTTTCAGGGGAACAAAAGAAGCAAGAGGCAGCAGTAGGCAGGTGCAAGGTTTGGGCACTACCTGAATAGTTCTGCTTGACCTGGCCCCTGCCTTAGGTTTATCCTTGTCCTGGTTTATTCTACCCATTTCTCCTCCTTCATGTGATTGGAGCACTTTACTCTCTATCATCTCTCTCTCCCCATTTACCTAGCCAATTCATAATTGTGCACAGCCTTCCCAGACTCTTTGCCTTCAAACTTGGGCTCTGTAGCACTATCTCATGGCATACCAAAACTTCATATGCTTATCACACTTGCAGTTAAGAATTACATGGGTTAACTGTTTAACACCTGCCTTGTTGGATTATACAATCCACGAAAATACAGGGAGTTTTATTTCTGCCTTGTTCACTGTTGTGGCTCCTGGGCCTCAGCACAATACCTGGCACGTTGCGGATGAGAATTCCGGTAAGAGAGTTCATGTGTGGTTGAATATAGATTTAAATGCTTTCACAATGTTTATAGCTAGGTTAAGTTACAGAGTTTGTAAGAAAGGTATATAAGCAAATTAATAGCTTAATCTACATAGATGTCAATAATTTAAAGAAATGTCACAGAAGATATACTATGTATGTGCTAACATATGTACAAATATATTTCTTACTGAAGGACCAGAAAACTAGAAATTTAACACAGACAACAAACAATAAAAGTACAAAATGGAATACTAAAGTAGAAATCTCCATGATCTTCAAATAACTTGATTTTAATAGATAGCACTTTTCATTTCAAGATATTAGAGTGTCTTTATACTTTTACTGTTTTAGTAACATGAAGACCTATCTATTCAAGGGTTAGCTAAACTCAAAATATGCCCAATATTTGAATTTAATGCCTAATCAATATTCATTTTTCATAATCTTTCATTTTAATACCTTGTCAATGTTCACTTACTTCCATAAGCCTTTCTAGCCCCCAAATAAAAGGATTAACAGTGTCCATACATTCATTCAATGAATATATGATTTTGCTCTCTGTAACAAGGCCCCAGTACTTCATTACCAGATTTATACCAATTAGAAGGGACAATATTCAAGCCAATAACTAGTTATCTCTAATTTACTGAATTGGTACTCAAGAAAATCATTTAAAATATCAAATGTATGAATCTAAGGTTGCCTCCTAGTTCCAACTGGATTTGAATGACACACTTTTTTCAATTTTATAATTAAGTATTAGAAATATTTTATTGTGAAAATTGAAGAATATATTGAATATGCTGTTTTATGAAGTCTGATTTTCCAACTGTAAGTTACTGGCACTTAGGAAAACAACAATCACTTAAATGAAAACTAAATATATAAAGCCTATGTTTAAAACATGGCCTTTATTAATACTGCCCACTGAGCTCTATTTTTATTTTACATTGAAATACTTCTGCTTTGCAAAGAAAAGACAGAGAAGTGCATTTTACAAGAGTACTTTTTCGTTTTTAATTCTCTGCGAAAATGGAAGGAATCTGAATCACAAGCTCACAACGTGGTAAAATGGAACTGAGAAACAATGATTTTAGTAATGCTATGCCATCACTAGTGTTTGGCTCTGACTTTGTTCTTGTAAATCAGATCCTGATATACAGTCTAGAGCATCTAGGTTATTACTCTACAGCATATTAAACACAGAAAAGGAGGTTTAAAAAAAACCCCTTTCAATGTACAAACATGAATTTAAAAACCGATTTTAAAAAATCACTTTTTTACATAATGTATATGGCAAAACTGCTTTAAATACATGATTTTGGAAGAATTATTTACAAAATGTATCAGCCTGTGGAACAATTCACAGACATAGCATACATAATTGTTTTACTTAGTTGTTGCATCTCAACTTTGGGAGATATAAATTCATTCGGCAGTATAGCAAACATAAAAACTGTGACAAAGTATCTTAAGGGCAACCAAAAATTTGATCCTCAAAACAGTTTAAATACTAGGACTGCCAAAGTTTCTAAAGGAGGACATACTTTAATGATCCAGATGCCCATGTATAGTTCATACTGTTTGAAGGACTGAGAGACTCCCTTCAACACAGGCAGAGCTGCGGGGTGCAACCTCCTGCAAAGGGACAGCTGAGAGCTACTGTCATCCAAAGAGTGAATTAACCTAGAATTTTCTTTTTTTCAATTTTATTAATATTTTAAAAAATACATAAAAATACAACATCCAATGTCTGAATAAATATATTTAACAAGTTGCAAGATAATACCTTATTTTACACAAAATTTTCAGCTTTAGAAATCTTGTTAAATAACTTC